AACTCTTGCTTTTTAAGCCTTTTCAGCTCATTGTTTCTGTAACTTTCAGCTGAGTTGTCACTTGCTGGGAAGTTTAGTGATTTATGTTTTTAGTGATTTAAGCCTCACGGGGCTTGAACTGGGAGAGACGGTGCTGCTCATTTGAAGTCCATTCATACCAACCATGTTTTATATTCCTGTTTCTATTGTCTGAAACAAGCAAGATAGTAGTCCACAAGTCTATCAGTATAGACGCAAGATGATTGCCCTTGCAGCAGGTCTTCTACCTATCTTTAATACAATTCTTTATTGCTATAGTAGACTAAATGTTTCCTCTTTTCTTTTACTTCCATATTTTCCTGTCTGAGTTTCATTAAAGCATTAAGAGGTAACAGTTTTAAACTGAAAGAGGGCAGATTTAGATTAGATCTAAGGCAGAAATTCTTCCCTATGCGGGCAGTGAGACACTGGCCCAGGGTGCCCAGAGCAGCTGTGGCTGCCCCCTCCCTGGAAGGGTTCAAGGCCAGGTTGGACGGGGCTGGGAGCACCCTGGGCTGGGGGAAGGGGGCCCTGCCCATGGCAGGGGGGTTAGGACTAAATGGTCTCTAGGGTCCCTTCCAACCCAAACCATTCTGTGATTAAGTGTCTCATACTGAATCATGATTTGTAGCCATGCAAGTTTTTACCTGGTAATGGGAAAGTTGCCTTGCCTACTGCTGAATCTTTTTTTTTTTCTTTTTTTTTTTTTTTTTTTTTTTTTTACAGCATTTCGTTTGTGCCAAATGTGAGAAGCCATTCTTGGGACACCGACACTATGAGAAAAAAGGACTGGCTTATTGTGAAACTCACTATAACCAGGTAAATTCTGCCATCTATACTGTAGGTGCCTGCTCTGGCTGGCAAATGCTTTTTTGCATTTTATATGTGCAAAGCTATACAGATTTTGCATAATCTGAATTTGTAGAGGCAATGAAATATTAAGAAATTAGTGAGATATAACAGAAAACAGTTTTTCTTGGTAGATGTGAAAAGTGTTGCTGAGTACAGAATAGAAATGTCTTGGGGATATTGATTTTTCTTTGTGCCATTGACAGAAAAAAACCACTGGTTTGTGTTGTGGGTTGTAATTAAAATTCCTGTAATTCTACTCCAAAACTATTTGTGTGGACTTCTTTGATAATCACTTGCTTCCGTGGGCCTAAGATAAATGTTGTGCTGTCTAAAGCATAAGAAAAGTAACTTTCAAAAGCCAATCAAACCTATTTTTTCTGTATGACTACTGAACAGCTATGAGTTTGGTATTTTATTCTGTCAGATAAATTAGTCTCTTTCTCTCATAAGAGATAATTGTTACTGTTTTGAAAGTAGCTCTAGGTTTTATTTTGATGCTTATAGTTAAGCATCAGGAAATGTTTGTCTACAGTAAGCATCATACTCTACCGATCCTCTTTTCTTCAAATTGCCACACATACAGGACTTTAAGATCACATAACAGTGGTAAAGTGTGAGGCATCAACAAGAAAGGTTTTGTAGTATTTAGTGGTATGAGATCCAAAGGAACATAGACTGTTTGGCAAGTGTATGAGAAGTTATTCAGAAGATTTAAATTGGTATATTTGGGGGCTACTGCAGTGTCTGGGAATTCTTTGATTGTTAGGATTTAATGTTCACACCAGCTGTGTAATTTGGGGAGCATGAGTAGTCAGTAACGTGAATTCCTGTTCTTATTTCTTTTGCTGTGCAGCTCTTTGGAGATGTCTGCTACAACTGCAGCCACGTGATAGAGGGAGATGGTGAGATTTGTTCTCTCCTTGTTTTGGGTTGCTGTCCCTATTCCATTTTTTTAGTGCAGCTGTTGCAGTCCCACAGTTGCAAGGCACCAGTGTTTCTTTTCACATCTGGCCTCATTTGAATTTGGATACAAATTCAAATTCAAATAATCCGTCAGTTTCTTCTTATTTTATGCTTTTGCTTTTCCAGTGGTATCAGCTCTTAACAAGGCCTGGTGTGTGAATTGCTTCTCCTGCTCCACCTGCAACATCAAGCTTACACTGAAGTAAGTCAGTGTTTATGTTTTGGACCATATGAGACATTTGCCTCTAAGGCAGGGTGTCAGCTTGGGGGAGCCATGAGCCAGTGAGGAGCATCTGGGGGGCAATATATCTTTTCTCTTTGGGAGCAGGTGCTTATAATTCCACTGATTTCAGAACTAAAAGGGAGCTGGGACTCAGCATCATCTCTAATTTATTTTCCTTCATTAATCTGTTCTGTAAGAAGGTTGGGTAAGGGAAGAACTCATTCAGCAGTACAGAGGGAAGGCTCTGAACTTCAAGTTAACTGCCTGTCCTGAAATACCTGCAGCCTCCATGTCTCCTTAGTCTGGGTGCTCCCCTCAGTGACAGTATTTACAATCCTGTAGATTATTTTAAAAGAAATATTATTCTAGGTACCTCAGATATGTAGAAGAGGAGCAGAAAACAGAACAGTCCTACATTTTTTCCTTACTCAGGTTTAAACCCTTATCCTACTATGCTGGGTTGACCCCACTGGCCTTGCATATGAAGGAGCTCTAATTCATCACAAAGAGGACCTTTGAAGTGACACTTCCATTCTACAGTAACATCATTATTCTTGGCTGTTACATACAAATATGTAGCAAAATTTTGCTCTTTGTTGAACTAGCAATACTAAGGACCCTAGCTCCCTAATAAGAACCCAGTCTCTTACATGGACACTTACATGACAAGACAAGGAAGTGAGTTGTTGTATACATGTGGTAGAACACAAACAACAGCATTTACATGTATGCATGGAGACTTGATTTAGTGAAGCATATAGTTTGCAAATACCATTTTAATAGCCCGCTGTTCTTTGTGTTAAAGGAATAAGTTTGTGGAGTTTGACATGAAGCCTGTATGCAAGAAGTGCTATGAGAAATTCCCTCTAGAGCTGAAGAAACGCCTGAAGAAGTTGTCAGAGCTGGCATCCAAGAAGGCACATCCCAAAGCTCTGGATTTAAACTCTGCTTGAACAGGTCTGTCAGTCTACTGACTGCACTCTTACAGTCATAAGCTGCTGCTCACAGCAGCTGTTGATTACAGAGGCAATTACTAAGAACAGGTAAAACCCAAGTAGTTCCTTGCCCTGCCTTCTGGTAATGCAGCTTGCATCTTGACTGTCCCTTTTCTCAAGCAATTGTCTATTAACACTGGCAGAAAGAAGAATATGATTTCTGCTTGAGCAGTTAACAGGCTGATTATTAATTTGCTAATAACAACTTATTCTGCTTTTATGGAACTGTACACAGTCTTTCCTTCCTCAATTGAACTGTAGTTCTTTCTCCATTCCTCTATAATCTAAGGAATTTGGAAACAGTGGTTGAGTGTAGGGGTGGAAGAAATGTGTGATTTGCTCTTTTTTAGTTAAAGTATAAAAATTTCTCTTTTTATCCTAGGTGAAGACATTTTAAAATTTTTTAATATGTAGTCAAATATTCCAAAAGCTGTCAGTTTTTGCAACATGCAAAATGTTCTGGTCTTTCTCCAGCTTCCCACTAAGCATATACAGTTGCTGTACAGTCCTGGTGTGCAGGTTTACTGGGAAAGCCCAGGAACCAATAGGTATGCCATCTGCACTGCCCACTTATCTGGCTTAGATCCAGGGTTAAGATGGGTGAAGGAGTTTGCTTTGCTGCTTCCCTGTTCGGTTCTAAGGAGGTTTCAACTGTCAGGGCCATGTCAGCCTCTTCAGAATAGTTGGTCTCTCCTTAAGGAGGAGGTGGCTATGGGAAACAAAAGATTTTATTAGAAACTGACACTATATTCTCAGTTTGTTCTCTACTACTACATGGGTACTACAGCTTCTAGTGGTCAACATAAAGTATGTCCTACCCACTGGCATGGCTGACATTTCTTGAGGCAATGTGGCTGGAGCCCTGGTTATTCTTTTGCATGATGAAATCAAATTGATAATACAGTACCAGTTTAAGTGCTTCAGTTTCCCTGTTCTTCTCACTTTATTTGAAAGATGAGTACACGCTTATTGGTCAACCTCAGAAAGCCCAATCACATGAAGGGGTTTCTAATATTTACAGTTCCTAGCAAATGTGTGTCTATGAAGAAAAAAACCCCAGGAAGTATTTTTCTTAAAATCTTCACCCAAATAAGAGTTTCCCATCACCTTTCTTCTTAAGACCTGAGTGTACTTAAAGAGAGCACCTCAGGCATGAATGTGTACATCTTAAGCATATAGTTCTGCTCTGTAGTTTTGCCTGTCGTTGGTGAAGTTTCACTGGTCCTACTGTGTCTGCTAGTACAAACTGAGGTGCTGAGAAATTTACTGGTTTTGAACATTCTCGATATTTCTTTAGGGGTGAGCTATCAGCAGTGCTGTTTCTGAATCCACCTGTGTCATGTATAATCACAGTGAGCTTCTGAGACCTCTGGAGGTGTCCCCTGTAGTTTCTCGTGCTGAACTAAGCTGAGCAGCCTGAAAATCCCTTTCCATGAATAGTTGGAGACTGTGCCCGCCCTTTTGCAAGGTGGACAGGATGAAAGGCACTGGAGGACTGCTGTCCCTTGCATGATCTAAATTTTCAAAAAAGTGGCTAATTTAGTAGGTCAAATGAACACAGCAGTTGGGCCTAGGCACCACCCTACAGCTCCAGGTGAGTTAGCTAGGAAGAAGTTAAAGCTTCCTCACTTCTTATATGTGTGAGCAGCAACTGGATTGGGGCAGTAATCTACTTTAAAATTGTCCTCACTGCCATTTCAACCTGTTCAGAATAGATCTAAACAGAGTAGCTAGAGCATTGATAGCTGTTAACACGCTTGCTGTAGCTACTACCCATGAAACTGCACCAGTGGTATCACAGCAGTGATGGGACATCCTGGTTAACTGTGTGCAGATAAGAATCCCACATACGAGACCATGTCTTAGATACTTACTGGCTTTGCTAATTCAATTTCCTCCAGCTGCTTTGCTTTTTGTTGCCATAAGTTACCATAACCTTTCACCTGGGGTATACTGCATCCACTGTAACACTGATGAGGGGGTAGGCCTAATTTTAACAGTAGAACTCTTCTACCCTCTTTTGACCAATATGCAATATAGATTACAGTAATAGTAGCTGCTTTTGTCACTGCTTTAGGAGAACATGTGGCTAGTCACTATTCTCCCACCAGCCTTTAAATGGCCTTTTAGTTAAGGGCACAAAGAGCAGCATGTCTTTTGGTGCAGTAGTATGTGGCCACTGCAAAGACTGGTCGTGTAAGCCTAGTCTTTGACATTTGTTTCACAACATAAAACACAAGAACTACTGATCTAGGTGCAGTTCAGTATGTTGTGCAGATTCTTCTCAGCATAAAGCATTCATGTCTGTTCCTATCATTTTAGTCACATGCCAGGTCTAAGGCTAAATCTGAGCAGCTGTGTACCTCCAGCCTTCTGGGATGATGGTGGAGGAACACACAGCCACATAGCTACTGGTAAATACAGGAAGACTATGTAACTAGCAGACAATAGGTAATACTCTTTCAGTGGCCACTCTCAAGTTCAGCAATGGAAAATGCATGTATGTAGAGGTAAATGGAATTAACGTCTGTACTGCAAGTAGAGGTCTAGAGATCTAGTGTGTGCTCACAGTCTTGTCTCATGTTAGAAATTCAGTAGACCTAGTAAGCTTCAGTGCTCAAAGGACAGTTGATACCATTCTCTTTGATACGCTGTTCTGTTCTCTAGGATTTGGATTATGTCCCTATCTTCAGAGAAAATTAGTGGTGCAAGGGGAAAAATCATAATCCCTGACCTCTATATTAGCAGAGGGTGATGTTCTCGTAGTATCTCTTAAATTATGAATTTTTCACAATTATTTTTCTTATACTCCTGCTTCCCATAACCTGCAATGTACAGAGTTACAGTAGTGAATATTACTGATATACCTTTTGTGGGACAGTGGAATTAAAAGAGTAGGAGAAATAACTATAAATAGTTTAAATAAATGCATCTTCCTCTACTTTGAGTCCACTTTTTAAAAATTAAGTAGAATATAATGCAGACTTATGAATTCTTCTTAGTGTGTTGATAGGCTGGCAGGTTGATTTTTGTCTTGTTTAGTTTTTAAATAAAGTCAATGTCTAAGTCAGAAATTAGCTGCATGCTTTTTTCCATTGCTGTAAATAGACATGCTGGCCAAATTCATCCTAGGTATCACACCACTGGAGAATATAGATTTATATCAAGGTTGAACTTGGCTCAGAAGTCTACAGTTACTAAAAGCTGTTGTCTCATATACATTTATGGTTTACATTTATATTTTTCCATACTGAATTAAAATCACTAATATTCACTGAATACACTTGAAAATGGTTTTGCTTTTAGAAACCACAGTATGTGAAGCTTGTTTGTATTCAAAGGGTATATTAATCACTTGCAGTCTTTCTTTATGGCAACCTAATCTGCTCTCTGAGGTTTTCATCCTGGTCTTTATTTTTACAGTCTGTGCAATGTAGGCAAATATTGTTCAATTTTCTGTACAGAGAGTTTCTAGATGTTGCATGTTTTGTATTCGATGATGTGACTGACACTTTTAAAAAGTGGTTGGATGGTGAAGGAATAGATTGCAGGCAAACATGTAATAAATGTGGTTGTACTAGTCTGTAAAGCACTATTAAGTGCTGAGGATGGTATAGACTGAGTAAAAGAATTAGCAGCTACTTGCTTTGGTTCAGGCCTTGATGAGCAGTGTGGATTCTGCACCATGGCGAACTCTCATTTTATCACACATTGTTTGTGCTGTCTAAACAAAACATGTGATTGTGGATTGAAATGTTGTAATACTGTACCTTTTTCTGTTCCTGTAATAAAGTTAACTGTAATACACTTTAAGTCTTCACGCAAAAAACAAATGTAAAAAAATTGTATATTGTACAGTTTAAAAAAATTACATGTGCAATGCTGAGCCAGAGAGCATTATGCACGCTGAGGAACTCTGGGGATTGCGGAAATCTGATGCACTGTCATGGTGAATTCACATTTTGGATCTTTGCTGCTTCTGTGGTAATGTGTTGTTTGACGAGGATGTGTAGAAAAGGGATATCATCCTTCTAGAGGCTGTACAAATTGTGTTGTATATATGACAAGTGGATGGGATGCTATGATCAGGCTGTAGTGGATGTTTGGTAGGTTTAGGTTACATGGATCTAGAGTGAATATTTAATTTTTTTGTTAAAAAAAGACATTGTGGTTAATTTTCTGCAGTGTTTATTTAAAAACCAGAAACAGTAGTTTGGCTGCAAAATTTCTTGTTTGTACAGGTGAAGTATTAAATGCTTCTCACTTATAGCCAGTTAGGTCAGACGTAGGATGACAAAACAACTCAAAGTCATTAGTCTGAAATGTTTCCATTGCCCACAGTGGATGTTACAGCAGGAATATCTAATTGCATGCAAAAGGATCAACTATTCTGACAAGCATGGCACTCATTTAGATGCACAAAGGGAGTGGGGCTCTTCCCTGTCACCCATGTACAAAACTCCCATTAGTGTTTGAATTTCACACACACACATCTGAGGGAACAAGAGAACCATTGTGCATACATTGGCAGATTTGAAAGATCTAGCAGAGCTGCTTTTCCAGCACTGCCACATCGTGTCTCAAGGAACTTGGTGTAAAAGCTTTAAGACATGTCCCCGTCTCACTGTGAGCAAGGGAGGGCTCGTTGTTGAGGAAGGAGTACTTGTTCTCTGATGGGGTGAGCATCTAGGCTTATCACCACCACAGTGCACATATGCTTTACACACTCTGAGCACAATTTGGTTTCTGTAGGACCAAAGTTGTGTGTTTACAAAGGTCTGAGAGATGAACAAGTGCTGAATCAAATTTTATCACTCAAATTGCGTGCTAACCGAAAAATATAAAAGATTGGAAGAAATTAAAGCTATTATTGTCTCATGAACGAATGTCTGCATAACTCCAAGCTGAGAACATTTTATAGAGCAGAAAAGTCTCTTTTCAACAGATGTCTGTTAGATGGAGTTCTTTTGATTCTGATTTACATTGAATAGCACATCCATAACATGAAATAAGAGCAACTGAGTGAAAGTCATGGACCCAAAATTCAGACTAATTTCAGAGTTTGTTTATGCTTACTAGAAACTGCATAGTAGAAAACAGTTGTTAGTTTCCAAGTGTATTATAAAATGTGGACAAAACAAAACTATTTAATTTAACCAAGGCAATGGTAAACTAGTGGATGGCTTGCTAATTTAGCAGCACCCAGGAATGACAGTTATATTCTGACAGTAACTGTCTGTCATAGTGTACTGTAACTTGCAGCACATAACCTAGTGATAAAAGGATGAAAAACCAGCATCTCACCTTTCAAGGTGTCCAGTTATCCCACTACCAAAAGGTATTTCGCCACTCTTAGAATTTCCAACAGGAGGAAAAAAATAACATTACCTTTGTTTGCAAAGAGTCAAGGATTTTATGCATTTGATAAGAGCATATACAACAAGGGGACATCTTCTTTCCAAAAGGAGGACAAGTGTTAATGTGTCTCTCTCTTTAAAAATGGAGGAGACTGAGAGTAGCAGAGGCGGCTCTCATATTAGGGCCCCTCCCCCCCCATAGTACATTAAAATCCAGCTAAAGTTTCTCTAAATCCAAAATCTGAATTGAATTCTTACACTACATCTAAGACAAGTGTTACAGATATTTGAAAGCGTATGCTCACTTGAGCTTCTCTTGTAATATTTCAGCAACACAGTTCATTCAGTGTGTGATCAGAAGACTGATCATCAAGATTAATATTTTTTAAATGGCATTTCTTATGAGAGCCTAAATTACAGGTAGTTTGGCACAGGTATAAGTCATGGATTCTATTTCCACTCTCAGGCTGCGAGTTTCTTTTGCTTGTTTACAGCGTTCATTAGCAGGCGTACATAGGATGTTAACAGGTCATCCATTTTGTAACCCTGTCAGAAAAGAAAAAAGTCTTAAGTCTCTCAAAGAGCTCCAGAAGCAAAAATAACTATAATTTCCTTCCTGTTTTATCTTCTTCTTAGGTTCTTTCCCTCAAGGACATCTCTTCTTCCAACAGTTATCACTCTTTTGATAATTATTTTTCTGTTCTTCCCTCTGCTCTTCCCTTCATAGATTTACAAAACTTTACAGAGCATAACTCTACTGTCTTCTTGTCATTCATTTTCTAGGTTGACACCTGTGCTTAGGAATACAAGCTTTTCTGTGAGAGAAGTTAGCCCTTAGATGTTTTTATGTTGTCTTTACAAATTTCCCTTTAAATGTCAATATGGTGATGTTTGTCTGAGTGTATGGACAACCTGAAACCAATTCTTAAAGGTGGTACCACTCATTGAAAAGTGTAAAATCTTACAAGGATGATGTTACTGCATAGAAGGATCAAACCATGCAAGACAAAAAGCCTCTTACGTAGTTTTGTGGGTAAGTGCAGTCTTTTCTTAATGTCTCAGATAGATAGAATTTTGATGTATGGGAAAAAATTTGGAAAATTACTATTTCTCCTTGTCCCTGTGGCTTATGTCTTACCATCAAATAACATTATATAGCACTGAACCTGTTCTAAACTGCAGTTTTATTGACATAGTAGTGAATGTTTTTTGTATCTGCACTGGTTTTAACATCTGTCTTGGTACCATTGTTTTGCAGAAATTCTGGATGTAAAGGAAAAACTAGGAGTTTCTTGTGTATAAATTGAGAAAAGTCTTCTTACCAGAGATGTCTCACATAAGATCCGGTTTCCTCGTACCAGGTTCCCTATTGTCATGTGAAAGTATGTGCTCCCACTGCTCCAATTGGAGATTTTGTTGAAGGGGTAGACTGTTAAAATATCCTGTAAGGGGAAACAAACTGAACTATAGAACATTTCACAAATGAAAATGGGCTGTTATGTAAGAAAATCTGTAGAGCCAAAGCATTCTTTTTCTTTCCCACTTCATATATAAACACAGTGGATCAAGGTAGATCTTGCATCCAATCTAGTGGTATATTGTATTTTCACCAAGCAGGTGAGTCTTAATCACTGTAATGAGACTTCCTTTCATTATATATTGATCTTTTCTGTAACATACCACCATAATATTTACAGTAATCTAAAACTCATTGGAAACTTGTTTTCATAATTAAAAGCAAATAGTGATATTCATAAACTCTTTTGCCTGGGAACTTGGCAAGACCAGACTGGGTTAGAGACTGGTAAACACTGTCATTTGACCCGAACTTTTAGGCTGAAAAGCATTTTTCTAAAGCAGATTCTCTAGTGCACTGTCCATCCATCTGCCTGATCTTACCACTTTCCCCAGGTCCATCATGTTTACCGCTTCCTTTTCAGAGATGCTCTACACTGTTTCCAGTGTGGAACTACAAAGAAGTGATTTGAGGCAACAACATTTTCTTCGGTTTCCCAGATAAAATGAATAGAGGGACTCTATCCTCTCCTACCATTCAGGGAGAAGGTTCTGTTGCTGTCCCTAAATTAATACAGTCAGTTAAATCCTTCCTTAGACTCTTGAGAAGCAACTGTTACCTTTGTCTTCTGATGTATCAGTGAGACTCCCTGCTTGTTGATTGCAATCAGCACAATCTCTGGGAAATTTGGCTCTGAGGTTTGCTATAAGTGAGTAACAGAGCAAGATAAGCAGAAAATTAATAAATTATCAGTATCAGGTGCATAGTGACCTTTAACAGTGACCAGTGCTGCTTGTTCTCTTTACCAAATATTGAAACAAAGCTCTTCAATATTATGTAACTATTGCTAAGTATGACTTTTTGGCCATATATTGATGACTTGAACAGCTACTACATAAAAGCAGAATCAGGTCCATTATTTCCTAGACAATCTGATAAGAGGCTTAATGGTTGGTTGCAAACCAGTTAAGAGCTTAACAAGGAGAAATTAAAGGTAGCAAGTGGGAAATGATTCCTGGAGGTGTCCACTGCAGAATGAGAGGATGAGTGCAGTTCTGCTCTGAGGGAAGAGTCCCCAGTGATAAAACGTTTGGCAGCATTTTGTTGTGGAGAACAATGACAGGGCACTTAAGTATGTACATAACTAAAAGCCCCCTACTACAAGTGCTACAGAGTTGTAATATTAGGTGTTACAACTGGAACAACAACATAGCCAGTAAATAACAGGCATGGTCTAGAATGAATGAAGAACTCATCTCTCCACTTTCAAGGAACTGAGTTTTCCTCAGTAGATGATGGGAATTCAGCTTTATAATCTATTCTTACTTACTATAGTCAGTCTGTATCCCCCAGTGCTGGTCTACTACCAAAGCCATACATACAGGCCTTTAAACCTACCTTCACCTCAAAGAAGGCTGATCCAAATGTTGGCCACCGGTGTATCATTTTCAAGAAGGCAATCTTGGCCTCATCCACAGTTTTTCCTTCATGTTTACTATATGCTACAGTAATGCTCTGTTTTGAAAAAAGGATACAAAGCCTACTCAGTTGGAGACAGGCAAGTTTCCAATGTCCAGCATTAGCACTAAAGACAGCATCAGATCATCACCAAGATCAGTCTTTTGCCCACAGCAACAGAAGACTCTGAAAATTAAAATAGCCTACCATGCCATGGGGCAAGGTGGAGGCAGAACCTCCCCAGTGTTCCTAACTAATGAGTTGGGTGAAGGAAGTCCAGGAGCCAAATGGAATGGATTTCAGGGCAGCAGGGCAATATGGGGTGAAACAAAATTTGTAAAGCCAGTGTTTAACACCCACAGGCATGTATCACATTTACTGGTGAAACGTGTAGCGTGAATTTTCCCTCTGTATTTGATACAGGGTCCTGTGTCTTCCTCAGTGGACCAAGTGATAAGTACCTGCTGAAACTTTCTTGCTTTTTGGTGGATAAGAGTCTTTGGCTGTGAGTAGCATGCACACAGTGCAAGATGACTGATTTGCTGGCCAAACTATGAAATATTTAGGACACGTCTTAATTTTCTCTTTGCCTACAAGATGCTCAAATCCCCAGTCCCATCACTGACTTTCCTATCTCCACCTCTTCTGGGAACTGAAAATAGATTATTATCTCCAAGAAAGATGAATATCTCAAATCAGTCATCCAGGCCTCCAGATATCTTTCAGAGCTTTGGTATAGAGGATGCAAAATCTGGATTGTAAGATGCGAACCAGCAACATCCAATAGCATCCCTTCATAGTGCTGTCAAAGACTGTCAGATCTAAAGTAGTGTGGCTCAGTGTCTTTCTTCTTGTAAAGGATCTGTGGAAGTAGTGTGATTAATGAAAGCTGATGTTCTTACCTTCTTCCACTCATCTGGTGAGACAGCTCGGAGCAGATTGTCTGGAACCAGCTCCTTCAGGATTTTGGGGATGGTTGCCAGCTGCGTGCGGTCATTGTTGAAGTGCACTTTATAAATCAGCCCTGCCAGCTGAACAGCTTCATCCTTGGAACACTTGTGGTAGCCTCTGAGGTACTTCGGCAGCTCCTGGAAGAGACCGGTTCTGAATCCAGGCAGAACAGGCTGAAGCAAACACTGACTTACACATTCTAAATCAATGAGGTCAAGATGTGAGTCTTGCCAAATACAGTCTAAGGACGTCCCAAGAACTTGTGGAGGTCCTCTGAATGACCTTTAAAGATCCTTTCCAACCCAAATCATTCTATGATTCCTCATACAATTACAGAGCAAGACGAACACCTCCAGGAAACAATTAGAAAAGGGAGCTGTGCTCCTAACATAACCAACATAGCTAAGGTGTGAACACAGTGAGAAATAAATCTGCTCCTGAGGCTAGGCTGTGCTCTCCAGAAGCAGTCCTCTGGAGTCTCTGTATAATGCAGGCCATGGTGAGGGAGATGGTTATACTCTAGCAGGCTTACTTTCTCAGGAGTGTTTCTTGGATAACATTGCCTGCCTTTATATTTATGCTTTAGGGAACTGGTTACCTGGTGGTAATGAAAAATGGAATCAGCCTTCAGGTCCTTTCCAGGAGTTACATTCAGCCACAGCTTTCTCATGAAGTATACATTATAAGCCATGGACGTAGTCGTCCCTAAGGAAACAAATCTTGGTAGTATTCTCTGTACCACTGTAGAGTTCCGCAGTTTTTAAATGGCTTGTGAGTTTCTTCAGAAATCTAATTCTGGTTTTAATAGTAACAAACAAAATTACTAACAGAAAAGTACAAAAGGCCATTTTAGATGACCAAAAAAGTGATTGGTTGTCAGTTCCTGGACCCTGATCATGTGATGATCTAAGGTTCAGGCTCTTCAGAGGTTGAGGAAGAAGTTGAGGATGCCTGCAATAGAAGTGTTTGTTGTTTCTTGGTGCTCATGACAGCTGCCTGCCAATGTGCAGCACACCTGAGTTGTTATACTGATGCAGGCACATCCCCTGATGGCTGTGTTTACAGAAATTAATTGTGATTTAGTGCATCCACATCTTTGTGCTGTGATTTTTGGAGCTCCTAGCAACTGCATCAGCTGTGAGGAGAAGAGGGAAGTTAGAAAGTCTTAGATACATAGATAGTACTTCAGGAAGTTGAACCTCAGCTGTCCTGAAATAAGCAAAGTCAGGAAAAATGAATATGAAATTTGAGTGGAGTTTGATGTAGATTTCAAAATGTGTTACACATTGGGGTGAAGTGCAAAGAATTGCTGTCATTAGTGTTATATTGGTTTATTCTAAGAAATGTTCCCCTGACAATACAACTTGTGCTTTGGAATCACCAGGTAATAATCTAAACAATTTTCTAACAACACAAAGAATGGGAGTGAAACTGTGTAAAGAACCTATTTACATGTGTTGGCTGATACCTGATCTGGTGATGCATGAGTGTTGGACGGTAAAGAGGATCAACCTATCTAACTTATGTGCATCCAGCTGTGTGTTTTGGATGCAATGGGTCAAAAAATCTTTGGTATCAGTTTAAAATTTCTGGAGAGATCCCTCCACAAAGATGTTCGTTTCTGATAGCCAGTGCTTGGCTGAATCAGGTCACTGGATCTTACTGCCCGTGCAGGCAGTAAATGTGTATTTACAAACAAAAATGATACCATAAGGCTCTTCCACACACTTCCCAAGATGAAGTAAATCCTACTGGATGAATTTGCTGCTTCCCCTGTTCAACACAGCATCTCATGCAGTTTCTTGTCAGGCTGGCATTCTCCTTACCATCTTTCCCTGGTTTGTTCCTTCTGTTCCAGTCTGTCACCTGCCTTAGTGAGTCAAAGAAATAGTCTGCTTCATTCTGACTGATCACCTGGAAGAAGCCAAGCAATGAAGGAGAGAAAGGAGGGGTGAGCAGATCATATAAATACTGCCTGTGCCAACATACCCAAGTAGCAGGCTGAATTTTTGTTCCCCGTCTACAGTGAGAGACCACAATTATGGGAGGAAACAGGCAAGGGGAAAGAAGTAGAGGAATAGAACGAAGGCTCAAATGATTTACATTTCATATAGGGATTTTTGATGCATATTTCTTTCCAACCTGCTTATTGAAGCCAATCTGAAGATGCCTGCCTTATTTTTAACCATCTCTGCTTTGTAAAATATTGGCACATACTGGGTTTCTCTTTTCAGGAATGCAGCACATCAGAAACTCTCTGTGCTTGGACTCAGTGTGATTTTGCCTTGATCACAGGTCTAGAGAGAAGGGACCTCTCAGTGAGACAGCCAACTCAAGCTTCAGGTCAGGCAAAGCAAGCTTCTGAGAAACTAGAGAGCGATCAGCTGGTGCTGGTCAGCCACTGCTCTCCCTAATACTAGTGGGCACTGTACATGTGCCGCACATCTCCTGGGCAAAGCCTGAGTGGAAAAGGGCTGAATTCAGCAGTATGCAACATGTAATTATCTACCCTCCTAGCAGCTGCAAGAAAGCCTGTGTCTTCTCTGCTTTTAGTACCACCTGTCTACTGGTAGACCGATAGAAACTGCGTCTCCATCCAGCCCCTTCAAGAGACTCAAAATAATTGTCAGGTGCTAAAAGTTCGAGTCTATGTTGTATCCCCTCAGCAAGACAGAAGCAGTAATGACCTGATCTGTTGCTTGGCTTCATATATGGTTGTTTAGGTGGTCTGGTAAATAAGAGAGGAGGGGGGACTCTGGCTATCCTACCATAGCCAAGAAGAGTTACCTTGTCTGCAATCTTCACAAAGAGGCTGAAACCTTCCCAGGAACTCAGCTGCAATTTGGAAGCGATTTTCTGACACAGAGTCCGGATTTTGGTGTTTGTTCCCACATCAAATGTCTATGACATAACAAGACTCTTATTACACAGAGGAGAGGAAGAAATGAGAACACTGAATGCCTTGAAGTGTGCCACTGCATGAATACATCATGGATGGGAAAACAAGTAAGTTCTTACCTGTTCTGTTTCATTGGGGAAGAAAATCTTGTGTGAGATCTTAGTGTTGTTCTGTAAGATGGCCTCAACCTCCACAGGATGAGGTGCCCACTTCCTGGAGCCACTCCTGGAAAATGCCACCACCATTGTAAGAGAGATCAGTGCTGGATCTTTAATATTTGAGGAGCTGAACAACAGTATTCCAACCGAAAAAGACTCTATCCAAAATGCTAGTACTCTGATGGGGCGGGCTCCAATGGACCTTCACCCCAATGCAAATTCAGTGTATTAACAGCAAAAAAATGAGGCTCTTATTGGCATGTATATTAAGTCTATCTACTCTGCAAGGGGTTGCATGAATAAGGCACCTTCCTAGCCAGTACGATTACCCCCTTCTATGTATTCATCAACATTTTTTCTTACTGTTATTGAAGCGTGAATATAGTAACCACAAGGAGAAATAAATTTTATTTAATTCTTGGATCAGCAAAAAGATATGCATTTAGATAAAAAATAAGTTACAGCTCAGGTAGCAAGTACTAGAAAAGTTTGGAGAGCCACTAGAAGCATTACATTTTATGTAAGAGCTGACATGTAATCACTGACTCAAGAGGCACTTAAACTGTACAATCTCAGTTCTCTGAAATTATACCTCAGAGCAGAGCTGCCTTTTAAAGCAAAGGACCTGGCCCTGAAGTCTGAGTCATGCAAAAACCTTGATACAGATAAAGTGAGGCCAAAGCTAGCACATTACCTTCAGGGGCTGGTATTTTCCTGCTCTCAGGGGCACAGAGCAGGCTGTTTGGAGATTTTGTACACCGTAGCTTATGGGTCAAACTCCTTTCTCACACTGGGCCAGTCTCTCAGGAGGAGAGCTTAGTCTGGCATCCAGATTTAGTTGTATGGATTTGAAAACTACATTTTTTTTCCAATAAATAAAGTAGCAGTTCCATTTGGAGAAGGAAAACCTGACTAACCAAGTTGAACAGCATGTGCTTTGGTACTGTGCAGGGACTGTAAGGAGTGTGGACCTTCCCTACTCAGTCACCTATTCCTGGACTTGCAGCAGACAGAGGCCATAGGAGACCAAGGAAGTGCGGCAGCTTGGATGGAGGCACAGGGCCATCTCTCCTTGCAGCCTCAGCTAGGAATTCATTGCCAAGGCAAGATCTGCTTAACACCCGTCAGGGTGCTAGCTGGTTCCCTGCCCCGGAGTGTAGGGATGAAGCTGTAAAGCTGTTCATGAAGGAAAAGGTGTACCCAAGGGCTCAGTTGTCTTCCATTCCAAGTATTGTAGGTCAGTCCTTTGAGCTGCCTGCTCGCCCCTTTCCAAGGAGAATTTGGACTAGATGATCATTGTAGGTCCCTTACAACTGAAATTATTCTATTCTATGCTATGCTATGCTATTCTTATGCAGGTTTAATCTCAGGGAAATAAATGTTCTTAGAAAACAACATTTGTCTTTGTTCCTCTTCCCATCCCCCCAGCTCCAGATCTGGGGCAGTTTAGCAGATAGAATTCTCCTCTCAAACAGCCCATTCTGCTTTCCATTTCCCCACTCTAAAGAAGCTCTATACAGCTCAACAGGGTTTAGAGCATGAATAGCACATGATATAAGGAGGCAGGAAATTTTCAGTCTTCTCCATAGAAAAAAACAATGAATAGCATTCCTCACCACACATTTTTCAGGCATTTCAAAGGCGAGTTCAATGTGCAGTGACATTTCCCCAGCAGTGCCAAAACCCATCCACTGCAAGGGGGACAGCCACTGTATTAACAGCATTCGCCTCGAGCCTGACACACAGGGCTCACAGACCAAATGCAGGGCCCAGCCTAACAGAAGGAGGAGGCTGGAGGAGCTGGAGGGAAAAATCATTGAGCAGTTTCTTTACTGAAGAGGTCTGTGGCAGGCAGGTGGTAACTCACAGCAGCATCAAAAGGGAGAAGTCTGGGGCTAACCTTGATGCCAAAGCACTGTATTCTCAGTGTCAAGCTGGGTAATTCCACAGCCTGGAGGAATCTAGGGAAACCTTCCTCCTAGAGTTCAGTTGATCCTTCCTGAAATCCTGGTAGCCTTTCCACTCTCTCTGGTTGTCATGTTCGCTACACCAAAAAGTCATTCAGAAGCTCAGAAAGCACTGTGGTTTGGAGGCCTCATTGCTTCAACCCTCACCAGGACTAGGGTAATGCCTAGTGGACTGCAAAGTCCTTACTGTGAGCAGCCATATAAGAGTCCGGGTTTGGCTCGTTTGGGTTTCTTCAAAGAGTAGGAATTGACGGTATCAATCCTCTCTTCCCAACACGGATCTGCTTTGTTTCACCACCAGAAAACTAACAGAGCCACATTAGCACTCTGCAGATGTCAGTGACTTCAGTGGTGCCACCCCACTACAAGTAAAACCTAGTATTTTCAGTGCAGCTCTATGCTACTGAGATTCAACAAACTCGAGAGTAATACTCAGGCACATGTAAGGGGGAAAAGGACATGCTGCTTCACCAAAAGAAAGCAAGACCAGGACCTCATCAATGACAACACAGGATTCAGTTTTAAGCTGCTTACCCTTTAGGGTGTTTGAAATACCCAGCTCTGGGAGTCAAGTGATTATGTGTGATGATGAACTTTGAAAACTATTGCTAACTCTGTGAAAGAAAAAAGTGAAACTGTGACACAGACCTCTCTTAGCGGTTCAAAGTCCATAAGAGAATTAAAAAGAATGATCACCTTAAAAAAGAAGGATGTAAAGAGAGAAAGGAAAACAAGAGTCTCAATGTTTTAGCACATATGCTTTTTTGGAATCTGCTTCATGACTTTTGAACACTTTGAGCTGGCTATATACTAGATCATTTACCTCATCACTGTCTGAATCCTCTGACTGCACTCCAGGGCCAGTCTTTCTTTCTGACGTGTCTCCATGAACTTCTGGGCATGTTTCAGCAGTGACTTGCTGGGTGGAAACAGGCCAGTGCAGAGCCAAAGGAGCTGCCAGCCCTTGGTCACGCTGTACCTGTGAGCACAAAGCAAACGGTTCTGCTATAGCCACATATAATTCTTTGCGTGACCACACACCAGCTACAGGGGAGAGAAACACACTCCCATCGTGATATGTTGTGACATTCAGCAGAGAGCTGCAAATCAACAGAGCCTTCACACAGGATCTGGCAGCCATTTTCTCTGCAACAACCACGGCCCGTATAGGAAGACAATGCTAAATCCTGTCTGATAAATATTCATGACAGTTGCAAATCTTGTGAGTAAATATAAGCTCCAGTGCAACAGTCATCTGGACAGCGGTGATGCTGGTGCCATCCTCTTGGAAAGCTACTATCAATTTGCTGTTAAATCTCACATATATTTGGATTGTACTTTATCAGCTGTTTGTATTCACCTGCCCTCTGTGCCAGCCAGCTTTGCTCAGGGCACAAACACTTTGCATGCAATTGACTTTCCCTTTACACATGCTCCTGCTACAATTAGCATGTAGAAGGCATTGTGTAATGAGGTAGTTACAGTTCTTAAACACTTCAGATCAAGTTTGTACAATTTTCAGGCAGAAATCTAGTTCTTCCAACCTCTGGACCTGTGAAATCTGCCAGTCAAAGCTCTTCTGGTATCTCACCCTCACCAGTAAGAAAGGTTCTGCAGCCAGGAGGTGGTCAGCCATTCTACCTGCAAAGTCAGGAGCAGAGCATACTTCAGCTGTGTCCCAGGGGTTGCTCTGAAATGCTAAATGGTGTGAAGCGGTTTTGGTTGGGAAAGTCAGCAGGTCTGCCTCTGAATGGGCATCAGGCTCTGCTGAATAAAGAGGTCTTGGCTCTTTTATTCCCATTTACTTTTCTAATTTTGCAGATGAAGATACACTATTTAAATCCCATTTATACTCTATAGGTCAGTGGTGTTTGTGTCTATGTGAGAGCAGGACATGGTCCACAGTACCGTAGCCTGGGAAGGTTGAAAGATTTGTTGCTCTGGTTGTTCTAATGAAAATGTATGGAAATAGCCACCTTTCAAGAATTGTTTTTTCCACATCAATGACCCCTCTCAAAACAGTGACTAAATTGGTAGAATACATCAGGCATGGCACTGGCACCATGGTTACAGTCTGTGTGTTAAATAGGCTTGAAGATTTACTGCACGCAAGGAATTTCACCATTTAATAGTTACACACATGGTAAAAGTTCCACTAAGTTCAATCTTTGTGGAACAGTAAGAAATAAAATAAACAAATAAAAGCTCATTTTCTAACTTTTGCAGTGACACAATGCAGCTAGAAACAGACAAACCATTTTGTTAATACTTAGTGTTATTTTAAGGTTCTTCTTGCAGTTCAGTTTCCCTGGAAGTGGATCAAATTATAATTTTATGAGTGGGGAAGAAAACAGCAGCCTGTTTCAGAGACTTACACATGGGCAGGGGCCTGTGTAACCAGTCTGTTCTGCAAGGCAGCTGCATACCCTAATTAATATAACTACTTAAAATTATTCACAGGTGGTAAAAGATCTAGTGTGAACTGTGTGCTTGTAAGAGGGAAATACTGTCATTGGGAAACTTAAAATAAAGGGAGAGCTGGCAGAGCAGTCACTGAAAGCATGCAAGGACTCTATGCAGTGCCATATTTTCTCCACAGAGTGCCTTGGGAGTAAGAGGGCTTCAGCAACACCTTGCCTGCCTCACACCATACTGCACAGAGACGAGCACTGAATGCTGATGGGAGCAGAGCAGCAGCTCAAGGGAGACGAGTAACGGTCCTGCTCTGTGGCCTCTCACTGCCAGTCATCGATCCTGAGTGCTCCACAAAGGTGAGCCCCACAGCACTGCCTGGAAAAGGGGGGAAGGGAAGGTGTCACTCCAACATTTGGCCATCCTTCCCCTCTGCCCCTGCCCCATCGTAAGTGTAGCAGGTGTTCCTGATCACCATCCGCACTTGAGCCCTGGCTCTGCAGAAGTGTTTGCACCCAAGTGAGTACCTGTTTCTGTTCTCAGTCAGTTGCTTCATAATCTGACAGTAAATCTCATCCCGCAGGACCTCCTCCTGGATAGCTGCTACAAATATCTGGTCAGTGACTTCCACGGAGGAGTGTGTCTGTTTTGAGGGATAGTCACCCATGAATTTCATGATGGGTGAATGTGCTGTTAAGGACAAAAGCAGGCCAATTTTAGAAGGTAAATGAGAAGTCTCACCTGGATCCTAACATGTTAGTGACTCTGTTGATGTCCAAATGGCAAATACTGGAAGGAGTCTGGAACATATTCCCTGCCTATCCCCTACCCCGTTTCCCTGTGCAGCAGTCACTGTTTGGCTGTGATTTGTACTGTATTAGCTACTTGCTCTGGATGTATGCAGTAAATCTCACTCACTCCTAAAGTCACACTGTCAGTTAAGTGAGCCATCAGGAGTTGTGGAGCATTGGGAGTGAATAGGAACCTTTCCTCTGTAGACCAGGAAAAACAGAGCTGATACACCCCACCTTGATGTAAATGTATCCCCTGTAATGTGGATGCGGTATTATCTCAATGGAATTGAGTTTAGTGGAAGTAGCTAGCTCTTCCTTCTCCTGAGTGAAGGGTGAAAGGATATCAATGAAGGCCTGACAGGCCAAATCCCGAAGATCAGGGTCTGTGCATGCTCTCTTCAGCAAGGGCTGTTTCAAGGGCTCCTTAGAGTGTGCCCACAGTTGACTGCGCCCGCGGGATTTCTGAAGAACAGCTTTACTGATGGATTCCTTCTCAGGAGTCCTGAATGAAAACAAGCACAGGCAATACAAAATTACTGGATCAGTATTGCTATGAACATAGGAGGTCATTATCACAAAGACTTATCTCTAGGCATGTTCTTTCCCAAGACAGTGATCTCGTATCTCCTTTGATTATGCAGGTCAACAAGAACAGGAAAATGTAGTTTCTTGTACATCCAGAAGGGAGAAGGCTTGCAAAAAGAAGAGAGGTTTTAGAAGACTAGTTTTTTCCTTACTCTCAGAGGCCTGGGTAGTTGTGTATCCTTGCTAGCTAGTAAGTGCTGAAGGAGAGGTGAGAAGTAAGAATAGGGCCTGCTGGGAAGAAGTAAGTCCATCTGGGGTTCTCCTACCCTTCTTTTTGCATTTATGCAGACAAAAGATACAAGTAGGCCATGTGACAGAATCTCTGAATGTCCAAAGTCACACTTAATTACAGGAAACAAAGAGAAGAAACCTAATAAGAGATGGGAGATACTGTTACACCCTAGGCTTTAAGGATCACAAGAACTTTCCTAGGGCACACACTACACAGAGAGCTTCACCTGAAGTGTTCATAGGAGAACTCCTCCAGGGTATAAGGCTTCACTTTGAGATCCTCTTCATCAGGTTCATCCATGTAGGAGTTCTGTGAAGCTGTCCTCCTCTGGTCTGGAGACATCATTAGCAAACTCTGGAACGAAACAGCCATGTAGAGATGTCAGGTGGACACAGGTCTCTGCACAGATTGTCAGGTGTTACTCAGAATATACACGCAGATGGCGTATAATAACTTGAGTACTCTGTGCTGCAGGACACCTTCTGTCCCCTAAGCAGCATATTTAGAGACTCAAGAAAGATTTGGGAATAGTTGACTCAAGGAAGTAATTTCCATAGACCCAACAGTAGTGGCCGTCAAAATGTATGTGATTATCTAAAGCACACCATTTGTTAAAAATGCACCTGCTTATCACTACTGTTTTTTTCCCCCACTTTTCCAGCTTTTTACTTGTTAGCACAGTATCCGATATACTGAATCTCCAAAACTGAAAACAAAATTTTAGTGGAGTGATCAGTGGGAAGCCTTGACTCTCTCAGCATAGTCTTTTAAAGTAACCTGCTGCACATAGAGCTTCCCTTGAGACGTAATGTACGATCACCAGTCAAGCCCCGTGTGAATGCAAGAAAATTCAGCTGCACACCCTTTTCCATTAATTGCTATGAATTCCATGCACTGAAATCCCTAATGGTGGATGGACCATTTTTTTGAAAGTCACTGCTTTTGTGCAACTGCAGTCTTCTCCTTAGAGTTTGGGCTAGGTTTAGTTTTGTTTTCAGACAGGACAGGATGAAATGCTTTGCTTCAATGGGAAGTATAGAACTTGTCTGATTTTGGAGGAACGATTAACTTCCAGTTATAAATTTAATCATATTTAAATGTTATTATCATTTATCTTCCAGTGTCTTCAAAGATAGTGTTCAGCTTTTCTTACCAGCACTTGACTAGAGGGTTTTGTGAGAGAAGGAATTATGTAGATCTCTTCCAAAAATACATTCCCTGTTTTGCCTGTCCTTTCATTCTGGGCACAGATCCAGCCAGAGTTTGGGTCCAGGCTTTTGTCTTCAGTGAAGATTAGCAAATCTCCCTTCTTGAAGGACAGGATGGCAGGGTCTTCTGGGAAAGAGAATAAGGGAGTACTGTTCAGGCTTGACAGTCCAAGAAAATGCAAAGGGATTGCAACATGAAAAACAAGGGAATTGTATTTTGAAGGCCTGAATTCAATTAATAGAAAGAGATTTGTGTAAATATGGCTAATTATCCAGTAACACTTCAGAGAAATCATTTAAATTTCCTCTGACAGACTGATTTTGATCCACTGAGGACAATGGTAAAATTCCATTAGATTCAAATGGATGCTGACCTTGTGTCTAGAACTGGCAGCAAAGCATGGAAAGAAACTCAGTAGTTGTAAGTAGAATAAATTAATGTTTACATTTTAATCCCCACTTGTCTGTTCCAGCCAACTACCTTCCACAGAAAATTCCATATTACCACCTCTGTGAAATTTTTCTGGAAAGTATTTTCAGGGAGCCCAGATCCAACTTCCTACTATAAGCAGGCTGAGTTGTTGGACACTTTACTATCTAAATAAAATATGCAAAGAAATAGAGGGAGGAAGTAAAGGTAATTTGTAGGCAAAGGTACTGAATCACATTGCATTATGCTCTGTATTGCTGTTCTGATCACTGTGCAACCAACCCTCCTGGAGCAACAGGACTCTTGCTGAAGTTCTCCACCTTCTCTTTGAGCTCTTTCAAACAAGTGCTGAGGGTCCTCTCAAGATTTCTTCCCTATCCTGTTGAAAATTTATAAGGTTTACCTTGGGATTTTTTCTCATGCATTGCCACAGCAAATCGTGATCTCTTTTTCAGTCCTTCAAGGAACATGACCACCAGTTCAGCAATGACAACGCTGTTGACGGATGTCAGGACAAACTCCTCGGCACGAAGTGTGATGAGAGTGCAACTCTGTCCAAATGACTTCGCTGCCCTGTGTATTATTGAATAGTTTGTTACCAGGGCATCTGAAAAACTCAGAGACCCATCTGCAATCATAGCCAAGACACCTACAACTCCTTACAGACAACTCCCTTACAGTGAGTATTGGTAGTTCTTAATTTGCCTTTTCATGAGTTGGAAGGTATGAAGGACTGAAGTGGGTCAGGTTCACTCTGGAATCCACCATGTTTTGTACAAAAGTGCTTCATTATAGACAAAAGAACACCCTTTCTTTGGAGTAACTGGGCAACTAATTAAATCTGTGACAGTCTTCACAGAGTTATTTTTTGTGTATGTAAGACCATATTCTCTGAGTGATCTGATGCAAGGGTGTGTGCCCTGAACAAGCCAATGGTTACCCTCTTTCTCTCAGTTATCCTGTTCAGGTCCATCACACCTGAGAAATATACAAATTCCCGACATGCATAACAGACGATGGCTTAACTATGTTAGTTATTTGGGAAATTCTTGTCTCGATGCATGTCTGTGCTTCCTTACACCTTTCTGACTGAACAGGATCATCTTTCCTTCCACCAGCTGGGAAGATTCAGCCATTTCAGTATTTCCTTGACAGACTGCTCAGAACTTGTCCCTTTCTGTTTCCCAGACCTAGGCTAAACCACCTTTCCAGGCTCAGATCAAATCACCTAGAGAGATAGCAGAGAAAGTACCCCTCCCTCCTACATGGAAGACCCTTTCAGAGTATGGGCAGAGATGCCTTCTTCAGATCTTGTCTTCCTGGGGCACTCACCTGTTGGTGTGGATGCCAGTTATCTCTGGGAAGGTCAGCTCAAGGAGCCGCTTTTCTGACTCATCCAAGAAACAGATACCTTTCCAATTTACAGCAACAATGAAGTGGTTCTTGGGCAGGCTGGGACCTGAAAATGCAGAAAAAACTCCTTATCAGTGCTATACAAATCCTCCTCTATTGATCTTATATCTGTCCTATATCTACTCCCAGGCTCCAGGTATTACCTGAAAACTTAGTGACTTCAAAGAATCGGGAAAAAAGCAAAGGCCACTGAAAGCGAGCAAAATCTACAAGTTGTTCCTTCACAGTCTGACGGGAGAGACGGTCTTGTGTGTATGGGGCCTGCAGTATAAAGAGATATGCAAGGTTTTCTCAGTAAAATCTGGTTTGCACGATCTGGAGATAGTAAAGAGCAGGCCTGATCCCAGAGGTTCCCAACAGCCCTCTGCTGTCTCTGGTGTCAAGAGTACCTGGAGAAAGGTTCAGTCAGGAACAGCCTCCAGGGGCCCAAGCCACATGCAACTGAGGCTGCCCACAGGCATGTGGATTCCAGATTTCCCTCAAATCACCACTGACTGATCTGTTCAGAGTCTAACACACTCTTGTTGCCATGGAAATAATTCAGGTAATCCATTTCCAGGTCAAAACCAATACTCTATCCCATGCCCATCCTGACTCAGTTGCCAGATGGGAGATAGCCTTAAAAGATACTCTAATCAGAGATTTAAATGTACTTATTTCATTCTGCTCCCCCCCTGCTCACCCCTCTATGGAAAAGTGAGTGGAAAGGTTTTCTGCTCCCTCAGTTCTAATTAACTATTTGGGATATACAAAATGAGATGGTTTTCCTTCTTTCCCTAACAGACTATCCATAAATGGAAATGGTGAAAGAAACAGAAGTGGGTGCTCAAGAGTGGTTACCCAGCAGTGCCAGACAAACCTCTTACCTTAGCATGTGCATAGGTTATAAGGCTCACCCACTTTTCCAGGGGCTTGTACTTCAGCTGTTTCACTGGAATACAGTCATGGAGCACCTTCTGCACAAGTTCATTGTGGATGGAATCTCCAAACTGGATGTAACAATATTTTGCACTTATCTCCACTAAATCCTCCTCCTGAAACAATTAATCCATTAAAAGAGGCCTAGAAAGATGTCACAAAGTCCAGATAGTCTCATTCAACCTTGAAGCCAGTTTAGGAATGGGGTTTTCTCCATCTTTGTCTGGATAACTCTTGACAGTCATCCAGCATAAAGAGAGGTGAACTTCACACAATCAGAGCATCAAAGAGATTATTAGCAAAGATATTTTAAAAGGACCCCTTTAGACATGCCTTCAGCTGCCACATGAACTGAAAGTTGCAGAAAAAAAGGTATTAATTACAGCTGCCAGTGTGACAGCTGGCACAATCACCAGGACAGTAATTGTTCATTAAGAAGGGAAGGGTTGTTCACAGCCACTAGAAACTTCATTCATCTTCCTGCCTTTTAATGTCCGAAATGTTAATATAGTTTTGTCTCTTTAGGAGTGTGAATAAGGAGACCCACCTTCTCACAGCGGTACTCTCCAAACCGGATGCCACGAATGACTTGGTGGTAAATAAGATCAGTGCTGATAGGATCTTCCTGGGAGTTGTGCCAGGGGGTGAAGATTTCTTTTCGGAAGTAGAGCCGCCATGGTGCATTGCGCTCGTGTGTGCCCCGCTCCTTCACTAGCTGTTCACACTGAGAGATGGCATCCAGGACGTGATCTCGTCCCCCACCCAGTGACCAGACCTAGAACAAGGGACACGGCATTTACTAGCATGCCTGCTTTGGATCTGCGTGAAGGACAACAAACCCAAGGCTCCTGGTCTCCTGACAGCAAGAAAAACTCTGAAAAGGTAAGCAGATAGATGTTCAAGTCATGCTTTGGTAAATGTGTGTATTGTTATGCACAGGGATGGTATTGGGAAAAATAAGTTGGAAGTTAAGATAAATCAGCTCTGGTTTGCAATCTTCTATTTGTGTCCTTGTGCTTTGCTTGATCCCTGTGTATCACCTTAAGCTCATGTACAAGCATTTCTGTAGTCTAACCAAAACATGCCATCTCTGAATTAATTTCTTTGCCATTGATGCCTAACTCTGAGCACCAAGATGTCATCCTGCTTACAGCAGCACCATAGAAAAATAAGAAAAGGGAAGGAGAGGCTAAAATGCCAGCATGTGAGCTAACAGTAGCAGCCCTGGCAAAGACCTTGGCTTTCAATGCCACATGATAGGGGCTGCATCAGCAGCACTGTAACACAGAACAAGAAAATAATGTGCAGCAACACAGGTGAGAAATATGTTTTTGAGCAGAGATCCCCAGTGTGTGAGACCTGCTGGTTTCACCCTGCTCCAGCAGTTCTACAGTGCTGCATGCATGATGAGCAGATGGGATCTCAGAACATGGGGAGACCACAATGCTGCACCACCCATGCACGGGAGCAGAGACACTAGTCAATTGTGTGACCCGGCAAAGGAAACCTTACAGGCCTGCAGCAGGAACTGTTAAGTGAGTCGGCAACAGAAAGGCAGAATAGGATTATCAGGTCTCGAGATTCAGCTGGGATTCAGAACTGATTTGGTTTGAGTGTAGGGCTGGGATGGGGGTGCTTCCAGAAGTCAGAGGAAGTCCTCAGTGTGTCTGGGTGGATCACAGCAACTCCACAGAAAGAGAAGGGAGCTTTCATTCTATTTTTTCTACACTTTACCTTATCAAACACAGCAATGTAGAGTGAAAAACCAAACACATCCTTCAGTTTTGTTTTATCTGCTATGAACTGACAGATCTCTTTGGCAATGGAAGCAGAATCTGCAGGGACAGTGATGCTTTGGCCATTCATCAGGGTGACATTAAACATAATGGCTTTCTTCTGCTTTGTTGCCTGTAAGTCAGAGTTAAACGAGAGAAACGAATTATGGACAAACCTTATTTTTCTGTGAAGAATGAAGAAGGCATTTAGATTTAAGAGCTTCACACACTGTACACCCTAGTCAAAAATCTTTAAGTGAATCTCCAATGCCCACACAGTTTCTTCAATGCATGGTGAGTCTAAAATATAAATTACATCCCTGGAGCAGCTCTGGACTCAAGTTCTCTCCTTCCCACAGATCAGTGGAGCTGATTATCTCATAACAGTGTGGACTGATAGACTTTTCGTGAGCCTTGTTTGGCCTGATGACTTTTGGTTACAGCCTTATGTGCATCAGTGGAGAGGTGGCCTGCAGCAAGTACTTTGCCCAGGGAGATGAGTATTAGGCAATAAGGTCACTCAGTTTTAGGAAGGAATTGAACTGAGGCCTTCAATTGAAGGGGGTGGGGGAGTACACATGTGTGTGTGACTTTTAATTAATAGGGTGACATTTAAAGGAAGTGGGGGGGACAATACAGCCCTATCATACACACTCGCTCCCTGCATTTTAAAAGCATAAGCCCTGCTCAGTTCTTTCCACAAATGATGGTAAGAGTTTCCCACAGGAGGTGGTTCTGGCCTGTGGCTCCTGAGTGGATGGAGGTATCTCCCTGCAAATCATGTGTTCCAGCTTTTAACTTACATCCTCCACTAGATTTAGGTTAACTGAATAGCCAGAAGAGGCGTATCTAAGAAACTGCCTAGACCAAGGCATCTGATCTTCTAACCCATTGTGCAATTGATTTCCATGATTGGACTTAGGAAGATTTGTTAGCACAGGTTAGTAAATGCAATCCAGTATAAAATGACACAGATCAATATAATGAAGCAAAAAGGGAGTTGCTACCTGAAGTTCCAGCCAGCTCGGAGGTTCAGTCCGTGCTCCATTGACATAGGTACGTCTCAGACGTTCAGCACAATATGGCGCATAGCCTGTGGGGCCATGGTGGATGAAATTCAACAGGTACTGTATGCACATGCCATAAGAAAGAGTTAGGGAACACTAATCCTCATAAAACATTAGAAATGTTCTGCAGCTGATATACTAGATTAGAGGGATCAGTTAGCTTACAGTTCACCAGAAAGTATTAAATGTTAGGGTTGGAATTAGTGTTTTGAAAAAGGAGGTTTGAGACACCAAGTTTTCCCTCATTCTGCAGAGCTTTTACTTGAAAGAGGAAGACTTGTGTCAGTCTATTCACCATATTTAATTACATGATGAATATTAGACAGTGGAGACTTTATTCTTATTATTATTTTAGAGCAAGGGTTAGTGTTTCCAGTTGAAGAGCCTGAAGTCTCATGACATTCTATATGAATAAAAGCACTGGGAAGACGGCTAATTGCAGGTTAGGACTGATCATGATGGTTACTTTTAGTTTTACTAAGTTCTCTGGCAATATCAATAGTTGAAGTCCATGATTAAGATTGGACATTGGAAGAGAAGGATTGGATAAACTGAGCATTTGGAGTTTGTATGGCTCTGATATCTTGGGTGTTATGGTGTAAGCATGGACTTTTATTTACATACTTGTATTTAGTGTCAGCATGGGTCAGTCACCTGGTTATTTTAATGATTAAGAATATTCCTAGAGATAGGGTATATTAATGTCTTTCATGAATTCTGCATGGTTCACAGCCTTTGCATGAAGACTGGTGTCAAAATATGTCTATGGTTTGGGTCTGGTCTGTTCCAAGTAGTATCCATTTAGCAGCATTTATGATTAGATTAATCATTTGAGCTAGGGTGTCAGTAAAGCAAGGCTGATGACTCAGGCATATCTATGGATTCCGTTTGCCTCTAAGATCTAGGAGGAAGGCTGATGTCAAGTTGGAGCCACAGGTTATTGGGGTTTTTTCCCTGTGGTGGAGTGGACTTATCATCCATTTAAATCTGGAAATTAATGAATGATCAATGATGTAAAAGCCCGAATCTCTATTGGATTGTGTAGGTCTTGGTGATATATGGTAAGAACGGGTAAAATATGGGGCTTGATTTTATACTGGCCTCCTGAGTATATTTAATTGGTAGGATCATAACTGGAGACACCCTTTAAATGTTGGAAAGGCAGAACTGGAGAAGTTAAAATCTTCCAGATCTAAAATGAGGGTTGTGATCAACAACAGAATCCAACTTGTATGACATGTAGCGAAAAAGAATTAAATGTGAGTACAACAATCATTTATTTAAATTCCCAGATAAGCACACAAGATGAGATAATTTCTGCTAAAATCACAGCAACAGCTGCTATGGCAGCCAAACAGTTTATGTGGCTATCTGTATCAAAACATCAAAACACACAAGAAACCAGATCACCTAAGGCATTTAAGCTGCTGTAGGAAAGGTTAGTAGTGTACCTTCACAAATGTGTCTGAAGGAGGAAAGCAACCAAGGCAAAGTGACAGAAGGATCCAGCCTCGAGCATAGCTGCTCCTGTTGCTGTTTTCAGTGAGTTGTTTGCAAATCTGGCAATAAATCTCATCTCTGTAATAAAACATGTGAAAGCAACAGATAATGATTCACTGCCTGAACTGTCTTTGGCTATGTTTCCACTGCAAGCGGGGCGTGATTGTAGCATGATGAAGTAGATCTGAGCTAGGTTTAATCGTATCAGCTGGGATACTACCTGCAATGTACCACAGGAAATAACTGTGTCATTGGCTTTGGCAGGGAAAGGCTCAAGGTATACTTGGTGCCATTTGCCACTCCTTGTTACTTGAGCGGTTCAAGTGCAATTCCCATGCTGGATTACCTCCTGTGACAAGCAGGGGGACTATGCAAGGATAACAACTGCTGGGCCATCCAGCTGTGAAACGGAATTGCTGTCCCTCCACATGTGAAACTTGCTCTAAGATCTCTACAGTATGTGGCTCATATCTCATGGCTCTTGTCTGTCTGTTCATATGTGAATTTTGGGATAAGGATAGGGGGACACCCTGCTTAATTTTACATTTTTAGTAAACTTGGAGTGAGTCCTTAGACAGGAATGGAGGAAAGGGTGCTTCAGAGTGAGCTTCTGAAAATGCAAGTTGCTTGCAACAAGGACATATGGAAAACAGATGCAGAAGTCTGCATACAAACAAAACTGCTATTTAAAAATCATATTAAAGTTTCTGGACTCTTGGAACACACATTTGGCAAGTCTGATGTGGGAGGGCAAAAGGTGGATGAGGTTTTTGTTTCCAGATATGACATGTGATGGAACATAGACTGAGGGAGTAGATACTAAGCCTGTGGCTGTTATGATACATTGGTTGAAGGCAATTTTTGCCAGCTGAGAATCTGCTTCTTGTCTGAAACAAAGCAACTACGTAGAGAGGAATGCAGCCCATGACGCAGGTCAAGACTGAGCCTGTGCCTATGGGCTTTGTTACAGAAAAGTGTTGCATAAGCTAAAATGCAGGAGAGAATTCATGGAGTCAGGTCAGAACCAACCAGCTTCTGTCTTATCCTCACAGCATGCTTGGTCTAAGGTCCAGCCTCACACCACTTGTGAGCAGGATTTAATTTTCTGGTGGCCAATAGGTCTAACAAGCCAAACCTTCAACTGTCTCTGAGTTGGGGACATTTCTTGAGGGCTCAGCAACAGGCTATTGGGAAACTGAGGTTATGAACACCTCTCATACATCTAGTGTACGTTAACTCCATATTTCTTACACATCTGAGTGTTTCTTCTCCCTCATACTACGGCTGTGTTCCACTTTCAGGTGTTACTGGGTTACAGCCCTGAGCTTTGCCCCACTGCATCTGTGGGGTGTTCAGAAAGCCATACGTAGAGGCAGCTGACCTAAACTCCAACATAAAGATACCAGAAAAGGCATAAGGGAGTCATTCTCTGTCCCCTCTGATAAAGGTGAACCGTCCTCAGAAGAGGTATGTGGCCTACAGTCTCAGTTCTATGTGACTAGCTTGGGCTTTCAGTCATGAATCCCCAGAGATAAATGTGGGACATTTCCAACATTTGGAAAATGCTCTGGGACTGTGGAAGGGGGATTCTGGATTTCCTTCATATAATGGGTTCCTGGTCCTAGGAAGGAGATACAAATTTCCTACCTGATGTCAGGACGCAGAATTGCATTGCCAATAATGAAGTGCACTTTTTCTAGGTTGGACATAGGTCTCTCAGAGATTGAGCTGTCCTCTTGAAAAGCTTCTTCTCCACTTCTCAGCTGGTCTGTCACCTGAAAGAAACCAAGCAGAACCCCAGCGTGCTCTAGAAACCTCCCCTATTACCAGGCAGCTCTCCCTGAAATGAGAGACATTGCTTCTCTATCTTTCTGGTTAAAACTCTCTCTGCTCAGTGCAGGAGCAGTTAGGAATAGGCTGTATTTCCCCCCTTCCTTCTCAAATTAACTCATAAAGTGCAAAAAAACTTTCTTGTATTGCCCTGTACAGCTCTAAGCACATGGTGGTTCCCAGTCTGCTCAGGGATTTGGTCAAACTCTTTCTTTAATACCAACAATTCTCAATAACAAATTGTTCCCTGTGTTCAGAGGTCACTCTCCAGCAGGAAGGGGTGGTGTTAATCTGCCTGAGGATGAATGACATCAGTGCACATGAGGATAGTTTCAAAAGAAGAACAGTGCACCAGGTATTCCATACACAGGGCTGCACTGGCTTGACAGGGGAACAAGTTCCCAGCCGGGAGGTTGCTGTCACATAACATCAGTCAGAAGGTGAAGACAGGGTTCCAGGCAAGAAGTCTTAAGGGAAGCAGTTTATTTCCACCTCTTACCTTCCCTGTCAACTTGGATGACCGTTTCAGCTTCAGCGAAGAAATCCCCTTCGAAATCTTGTTATCCTTTCTGCTTTCTCTCTACAACACATATTCCCGTTATAGGAATTTAGTTTAATGCACAGCAAGAATGATTCATTAAGGATGGAAAGATGCCTAAATGGAGATGTTTTTGTTTTGTCCCCTCCTGCCAGAAGGAGCTGTAATGTCCTTCCAGGACTGACAGGGGCCCTTTTGTATTTCTGGCATTTCAATTACAGTAGCAGGAAAGGGTTCCTTTGCTTTTCTCACTCTTGGTAGAACACCACAGAAACCAAGTAAAGCAAAGGAAAATACAAGCACAGCTTGCTCCTCTTACCATATTTGGGCTGTCATTCCTGAACTGGACCTGATTCTTCCTGCCAAGTGTGTCATATAGCTGTGTCATCACGGAGCCACTCTTGGTGGTGGCATTCTTGGCAAACATTGCTGGCTCTGGCAGGTCCCCCATGAACCTCAGGATGATAACCCACACAACTAAAGAAGCCTGTAATGGCAGAAAGCAGAGTCAGACGCTGCCAAGAGAACCAATAGCCTCATGCCATTTCTGCCTATTTAGAGAAAAGCATTTTCTTCCTTTACCCAGTCCAAGTTGTTAAAATTCCCATCTCCTCCCGCCACTTACACCACTTCACTTTCATGTCAAACAACATGAAAGCAACATTCACAACACACTCGTGCTAAAGGAAGAGGGTGCATCTCTAGTGGGAATGTCAGATTTGTGATTGCTGAGCCCTCACCATTCCCTTTACTGGCACCTTGCAGATGTGCTGTGGCTGGAGTGAGGTGGAGAAACCTTGGCTGAACTGCAATCTGCATTTACACACCTGGACAGATAAGCAGTAGAGTGAACTCCTTCAGGAGCCTTCATGCCCAGAACTAGAAAGCAAAGTTTTTGCAGCATGGGATCCTCCATTTTGCAAGGCTGCCTATCATCAACAAAAACTCCTCTCCTCAATCCCCCTATAGTTCAACAGGAAAATTGGAGGCCTGGGCCACCCCCTTTTGTCCTAACTCACAGACCAGCAACCTTAACAAGAGCAGAGAGATGGATGAGCTCTGATGCTTCTTCTCTCCAGTCTGTTTTTGCCCCCAAAGGGTATCTGGAGAAGTCAAAACAAACCTCAGAGTTCCCTCTTTAGGCAGACTAAAGGTGACTAGGGATCTTGTGTTGGACAGGTATCTGTGTGAAGTGACTGCCTGGAAAGTGCCAAAAAATGCTGATGGGAACTACCATTTTCGTACAAGTGCTTAAACTATCTGCTTGGCTCTAAAGTCTCTGGTTCCAAGGGCTGTGCCAGAGGTGAGGGGGACCCAAGGATGAGGGGAGCTGTAGAAGCCAGGCCTGTAGAGGGAGTAGGTTCAACACCACCACAGAGGAAGATACCAGGACGTTGTCCTTGTCATCATGGTAGAGTAGTGGGTGCCGCAGCTGTCTCCGGATATGTGTATGTGTAGAAGACCCCTGGAAATAAGTAGCTGCAAACTTTGGGAAGGTGTACTCTTCCAAGCCATCTGTTTCCTCTTCTAGCTCCACACTCATAGGAACCATGTCCAGGTCCACTTCGTCCAGCTTATTAGGCTTTGTTTCCAAGTCCTGTGCAGAACATGAAGAAGAAGCATATTTTCTTTCCCTGTACTCTGACATTCTTATTTGACATTCTTTTTTTTCCCCTTTTCTTGGCCCTGGCTTCTCCAGAATTTGGATTTCCAGCTAATCCCAAAGCCATTTTCAGCTGCTACCAACAGATCATTGGGACTCAGAGCTTGTCCTTCTGAGATGCATCCATTCCATATGACCTTCCTGCCTTGGTCTTCAGCAAGAATATTGCTGATGGAAAATACAGGTATTATCCCATTTCTCACATCCTGCACTAACCCTGACCATTCTACTCTGCCTACCTCTCCCTATCTGATTCCATCCTTCACAGCTGTCAGAATCAGTATATCTCAAATTTTGCTTTTAAGAACATTCGATAACTTGGGTCAAGAACTTCCAGCTTACTTCAGCTGCAAAATCACTGAGAGCACTGTCAGCAGAACATGGGGGTGGTGCCAAAATGTAGAGAATGGCACTATTTAGTGAGTGTCTGCTGTGTCAAAGAAACAAATGTGCAGTAGCTTTTGAAGACATGTAGTCCCCAAACTGCATGTGACCAAAAACTTGGGAACTGACCTCTGAAAGCAGATCCTGAAGAGACTGTCTGGATGACTAATTTGGGTGATTCTTTCACTGTACAGAAGTTCATTAAACAGAACTGACCACTGATGGTGTTCCAACAGTCAATGGATTTACATAAGGGATGAACATGACCCATTACCAGTCTGCAGCTCTGTACCTCAAAACCCAGAGGAGCCTGTCCTTCTTGACCTCCAATCATAGAAGGTAAAAACCCAAAAATTTTGTCCACCATTTCTTGGTCACTGAGAACATCATGATTTGTTGGTTTATTGGCAAGAGCATTCCTCCTTTGTCTTGCTTCTGCCTCCTCTCTCCCCAGAGTAGTCAGGTGTTCCTTTAAACAAAGAAGCTGGTTAGTCATGACCAGAACATCATTCGCTAGAATGAATGGGTGCAAGGATGAAATACTACTACAATGGTGTTATGACAGTGAGGTCCAGCTCTGCTAGTGCAATGTTGGAATGTGAAGTCAAATGTTGCTTGTGCTAAGCAGTCACAAAGACCTAGCACATCAACAGCAGGGCCTTGCTCTTACAGCTGTCTTTATAAAGACAGTTGGCCTACTGGTAATGATGTGCAATTTTTCAAAAACTTTATCAACAAGGGATAATATAGAAAAAACAGAAAATTGCTAACATCAGAAAACCCTACATTATTTAGGATTTAAAAATGTTTTGTGTTAGGGGGCTGTAATAGTGTTGTGCATGTTTGGCTAAAGTGCCAGCTCATACTGCAAACAGAAATGTGCATGTGTTTGTCTCCTCCCATTTCTAAAGCATCATTACAAATAGGTTTACAACAATGTCTGCTTTTTATTAAAATCTAGCAGTGCTCAGATCTTTGAGCAAGTCCACAGGTGTGAGATGGGCAAGCTCTTGTCAGCCAAGGAACATAGCATTCAGTGTTCCTCTGTCAACATGCCTACCTTTTATAATCTCATGGTTTCTTCCCTTGCTTTCACTGGTCCAAGGACTTGGATAAGATGTTTCTCTTCTACCAAGCGGATATTCCTGGCTTCCAGTTTACACTTGTTCTGCAGTCAACAGGACCATCCTGTGACTGCTTCCACAACTGCTGAGTTGGTGCCCTTCTGCCATTAACAAGCTATCCACACTGGGACTTTATCTCAACATGGACTCAATTCTAGATTTGGCATTTTAGGGAACAGGCCACAGGCAGAAATCTGCAAACTGGGTTTGTCCTGTTTGTACAGCATTAATGCAGAAATTAAATCATAGAAAGGCCTCCCATGTGCTGTGGACCGTCAAGGTAGTAAGTACACGATTTTCTCTGGCAGAACATACCAAGACACACTGCATTAGGATTCCATTTTGAATGGATCCGTAAGTGACATTCTCAGGCCTTGCTGCAGAAAGTGATCTTCCCTTGCAGGAGTGACTGATACACATGCACATTTTATCTTTTCTCCTCCCTTCTGTCAAAAACATTTCATCTCTGTCAGTGAAGTTTTGATTTGTGATAATGAACACAGAAAGCAAATGTAAACAAGATCAGTCTGCTTAAAACTCTGATTTCATGCTTGACAGGAGATCAAAATAAAACATCCCAAAATAAATATTCACATCCAGTGCTATGCTACGGCAACACTTGATGGTCATTAAATCTCCAGCAGAACTTCATAGAAACAACATGTTCACAAGGTATCTGTGAACATACCTCCCCCTTCATCCTCTGGTAGATTCGGCGAGCAAGCATGCCCCTTGCATATGCCTGTATAACACATACAGCTTTCTTCTGCTCTGCTGTCTTTTTACGCATTAGATAACCACGGCACATGGCTTGAAGCCTGATGATGTGATCCCGAGTTGTTTCATACTGTTTAGCAAGCTGCTGGCTCCGGTAGAGCGCCTGCATGCGTCCGAAACCCAGCATAACCTGCAGGAGGTGGAAAAAAAGAAGTGATTATGGTTCAAAAACGTAGAGACTGGGAATAAATTGCGATGAGTAGAAGATAACAAATTCAGTAACTGGATAAAGAAGCTGAAAGGGGCTAATGTGATACTGCCTTTTATGCTTTATTTTCTGCCAGTAATAGACTTTCAAAGCTAGATTATATAGAGTTCTTTTGAGGACCTGTTCTAGGGAGTGGCTCCAGGAAGTGACAATGATAGCCTGGGATTATGACAAGGGAAGGAAGAGAGCAGAAATAAAGCTAAGTGAATGGAAAAAAAACCAGGCACATCCTTGGAGAGATTGGTGTGACAATCCCAACAGAAGCAGCTGAGGATGATGGGGCAGAGTGCAGGACAACAGCCTTGCTCTTCAGACAGGGATTGCATCACTGATTCAGAATAGAAAATGTTTCTGACTGAAACTGGTAGTTTCTCCTCCTGCCCCTTGCACATGGGATGTATGGGATATATTAACAATAATCCCTGCCACACGAATACACAATATATTAGTCCCCCCAACATGGTGTAGCTTTCCTCACCCAGAAAACCTGCCTTCTATAGAAGATCAGCCAGTATGTTTAATAATGTGAGATTGATACAGTAGCTTTTCTGGTTATTTTTTAGATTCCCAGTTTTTCAGTAACAGTTGTGGAAGACACTTTGCTCATAGAATGGTGGTGATGCACAAATGCTAGCTTTGGAATCCTGACTAGAAGTGTGGGATCGCTCATATGTCAGGTCACTGGAGCCAGGCCTGCCTGAGGTTAGTTGGGTTACTATTTCACTTGAAGCAGAAATGCCACAGGTTCATCAGGCCTTGAGAGGTCCCAGAGCCCTCCTTGGACTTTACATCCTTCTTTACACCCTGACATCTTGCCTCTCCTCCTTTCAGTTGTGAACATCTTTATTCTTAATACTCCACTCAGTCTGGCAGGGCATAGTATGTGTGTGTGTATATATATAGTAATATATATATATTTTTTTTTTATATATACACCTGCATCTTACCATTCTGAAGTTCTTCCGGCAGCAGTAGCCTCGCCAGGCTGACTGAATGGCTACAGCAGACTTCCTCTGCTTCAGGAACCGCTTCCTAAGCAGACAGACAGGTGAGGTGACAAACAACAGGTTATTTCTGCTGCTTTTAATGATACTAGTAAAGAATGAGGTGGCATTGTTTTCCTTTGATGGGATGTCTATGGTCTGATCTCAGCCCTGTCTGCTGTATAGGAACACTAGAGCCAGGAAAGCTATTGTTAAATGAACTTTCTCAATTATTAGTAGACATCTTGCCAGAGCAAGTTTGAAGCTCAGCAAAAACTGTTCTTCCTGATTCTGAGTAGCCCAAGAAATGTATTATGTTGCAGCAGAAATATTAGCCTGGTCAGATACTTTTGTACCACATGCTTCAAAATTATCCTCACTCAAACATTTTGTCTGCTTACATGTTCTTCATGCTGATGGAAAGGCTAGAATAGGCTGTTTTGCCTGACCTTTTCTGTAATTAAAGGCCTTAGGAGATTTCACCTAGGCTCAGCTCATTCTGCAAGTGAAGTAGCACCATGAAACAGTTGAGCTCACAAAGTGCTTTCCTATTTGCTTTGCTATCCATTTGCTATTAGAAAAGATGAGATAGAAGTATTACTAATCCACCTTGATACATCTGAACTGACTTTGCCCTTAATGCTGCAAAAATACTCATAGCAACTGTGGACCAAATTAATTGCTGTGGTAGAAGAGCCCTGTAAGAACTGAAAAGACCGTTGCATCAAGCCTGGATAAGTTAACTCCCCCATCTGATGACCACTTGCTCCTCAGTGTCATAACTGCCAGGACTAGGAGCCCATCTGAGCAAGATGAACTTCCCATGGTAAAAGCTGTCACACTGTGGCTGTCAGAAGTAGCACATAGCTCTGATGGTTTAAAAATAAAAGCAAGGTGAGGTGATATTCTGTTAGATAGCAAGCAGAGTTTGAAAAAAAGGGGGAAGTTCTGGGGCGTTTGTATCATCATGGTTTTTAGTTCTTGTTTCTCAGGATTCAGTCTTATATCATGGTTCTGGTTGGGGGATACAAGATTGGTAAGTACAAATCATGATGTAAAGAATTTAATGAAGGCAAACATTTACTTGACAATGACTAAATGTCACGTCTGAAGATATTTCAAAATAAACCAGACAAAATGCAATAATTGTGCATCTTTGACAAAGAGAAGGACTAGTTAGTTTCTATCTGATTCTTTTCTATGCCTTGTATTAAAGCAGCATCCTAAATAAGAGAGTTCTTGTAGCTCTGAGAAGGACAGAGTCCATCGGGATTTCCTGTTTTCCAGATGCCTACTGTTTACTAGAAATATGAAGTGCAAATCCTCCTTCCACCCCCCCTCTTCATACAAGCTGCATGTGCCACAGTCCTGCATTTCGAAAAGCATCATGAAAATAAAGAAACTGAGCCAGAACAAATCTTTGTGCAAAATCTGCATAGATGCACTGTGCACTGTTGCATGATGAGCACTGATTTTAGGGCTAGTGGAAGGTATGGACTGATACATTTCATACTCAGAAATGCTTCACAGAGTGTGCTAAACTGCACCACAAATATTACTGCATCAAACCAAAGGAAATTCCCTTCTGTAAGATCACTGACCTGTCTTTCAATCCTCTCATCACCTTCTGGATAAGAAGAACCTTATCTGTGAGTATATTTTGGCGTTGCAGCTCCAATACAGTATCATGATGATCCTGTTAAAAGAATGTGTGGATACACCAGGTGAGCAGACACCCCCACAACTTCTGAAAATTGGTCACATGGTCTGAAAGAGGCCCCATATCAGTGTGATGTAGTGCAAGCTGTGATTAAAATGCATTTATGGAACTGCAGTAGGAAGAGTGCATACCACCTGACCACACCGTGTCTGGCTAAAGCCATATACAGAGAGTCTGCCTGCAGTAAGCTGGTTTTTACCTGGGGCTATGCTATAGTCAAGGAAGTCCCCTGCAGCAGTGTGCTGGTATTCAGTTCTTTTTTATTCTCAAGGCTTGAGCAAAGCCCAATACATTGCATTGTGCTGTTTCAGCTGCAACACTGGATCAGCATCTCATAATCAAGGTGTGTCCATTAAATAACTTGGCCTTCAGGAACAAAGATCCAGCCTCAGATTCAAGAGAGAGTTTATAGAAGAACCCAGTCCTTCTGGGTCACCAGTCTGGCACAACAGGTCAAGCTATATTGTGAAGCACCCAGTTTTTCAAAAGAAAAGACAATAAACTGTCCTTTTTACTTACTTTAAGGAAAATCTTGGTCTTTCCAGCTTGCCAGCTTTCATCCTTGCCCAGCACTGCTTCGGAGATGCAGATACAGCTCTGACGAGCATCATTCTTCAGCTGATGTGCAAAAGCATCATCATGTTAGGGCTTGGTTGTGAAACACAGCAGCTGTACTATGTAAGCATCTATTGCCCTGCATTTCGAAGGGCAAAGAATAGAAACAGATGAGGTCTTACAGACCTCTGGGCTGACAGAATAATGAGTGAAAGTGGTTCAGCTCAAATGGCCAAGAAAAGGAGGAACATGACTGCGTGGCCAAACATTCCAGAGTTCAAGTGTGAGAAGGGTGTTAGAGACCTCAGAAGTGTGTGATTACAGAAAAGAAACATCTGAGGACAATGGGGATGCCACCCTGCCTGGGATGTCTGTGTGGAGCAGGTCAAGGATAGCTGGACCTAAAAGCACCTCTACTGTTTCAGCTAAGGTCCAAGTGAGTATGTAAGTATTTAGCTACAGCCACTGTGGTAATGGTTCTTGTGATGACAGCTCTCTCAACTGTGCCAGCAATAATCCAATACTGTGGGAGAGACTAAAGCCTCCTAAGGCTTAGCCTTAAAGCAAGTTTTTTGCTTACATACCTGTTCTCGACGAGCCCATGGCAAGAGAACTCTGTATCTCTCAAAGAACTTCTCAAAGCTGTAGCGAACTGGGTAGCCAGATTTCCTGATCTGAATGGTTTCCATCATCCCTGAATATCGCAGCTGTTTGATACACAGCTCCCGGTCGAACAACTGAAAGGGAAAGCACACAAGGAGGAGACTTAGCCCTGAAAGCAGCTACACATGCAGCATTCCTCAGACCATACCTATTAACCTCCAACCTCAGACTGCCTGCAAAATAGCAATTTTTAAATTTTTACTACACTTCTTCAAATTGCACTTCTTATTTCTTTAGTGCATTAAATGAATTCATTACAGGCATAAACAAGTCAGACCAAATGGTCTTTAAATTTGTGTTTATCAGCAGTGGGAACAGTCCACTAACTTCAGTCTGGCTTTAGCAACCATTTTCAATTCTAGATCTGCAATTTCAGATGAGCAATAAATTGTTCATATCATTTTGTAGGTATGAATCATTCCAGTAGCAACTTAGGCCCTTTGGGCATAGCCATACAAAGCACAGCATGTGTGCTGCTAGTTTCTTGTAATGCAGATTAAAAATAGGCTCACTAAGCCACATGTAGTACTTTAAAGTTATTAACGCACTTGACCAACACCATACAAGGTTTTACTGTAGAACTGGGTTGTGATGTCCCAAGTTTCAGCCAGGCATCTTAATGACAAACTCACTCCTCTTCTCCTGTAGTGTGAAAGTAAGCCACATCACCCCTCTCTCAAATTCCACGAGCTCTCCTGTTCTCTCTCAGGCTATTTCATAGTATGATCATTGTTGGATCCTAATGTTTTTCATTTGTCCCCCTGCTGAGGGGCTAAGAACTCTCCAGTTTTGTCTTTATCTTTACAGGAAAAGCTGTTACAACTCCTCTCAGGAATACAGCTATGTGTTTTTTTGCCATCTATTACTCCATGTTGCTTTTTATAGATGTTTTTGTAAATTAACAATGTTATATCCCACCACTCTTTATTGCAGTAACAGCCTGTACTCCAGCTCTTCTTGGCTGAAGTACATATATAAAATGCTACATGGCAACTGACAGCTTTTTCTCATTAAAAAGTTTACTGAAGACAAGACCTCATATTGTTAAAACATTACCAGTGGTTTCTTGTAGTCATTTGGCTTGATGCAGCGGATGAAATATGGCTGGCACTGCTCAAGGATTTTCATTAGTTTTTCCAGGGATTGCTTGAACTGTCCTCCCAGAGTAGAGAGCCGTTTGGTGGTATCCATGCCCTGGGAAGAGTAAGCACATGCTGACTGCTACATCATTTAATGTCAGAGGACAATTAATAAATCTTTGTATATTTTGTACAATGTAACAGTATCACACAACTGACAGGAAAAAAAACAAAAACAAAACAACCAAACCTGCATGGGACCTAAACTGGCCAACTGCATCTTATTAATTTAGGTTTATTCTTGTGAAGAAACCCCACTGAGCTCTTTCACCTACTTGGGCACTAGTAGGGGTGGCTGTGGTGGAAGAAATTTCACCCACATGAGTCCACATGACTCTTCCAGCCAAGGCTGCATTTAGTGTAGGGCCTGTGTGCCAAGCCATTCACGGGAGTGTGTCTGAAAGCCTGGTGAGAAACAGCCATTCCCAAAGCAATAACCTCCAGGCCAGATATTTTTGCTGTCATCTCATGGAATGCCAATGTTCCAAACAGTTCATTCTTTAGTGATTAGGATGACTAATTGCCTTGCTCATTAATACTACAGTAAAGAGTGAAAAGGCAAGCTTTTACTGGAGGATGAGGTAAGAGCTACTCCACTTATGGCTGCATATAAAGTGCTTTATGTCTCACTGCTCCTTGGATGAATTTTGCTCCCGGTTCCAATAGTGTAGCGCCAGAGGGATTGCACATGGCTGCTGTTAGTTTCTGACTTCCCCAGCTTCTCTGAAAGCACAGTTCCACCTCTGTCTTTCTTGCACATATCATCACAATAGGCCTAGGCTTCTACCTCCTAATATGTTTTAAGGGCACATTAAATTACAGTGCAGATTCCAAGTAACAAAAGGACTCTACTGGCCTTTTACATACAGGCATGGAACTTAATCATTGTAGCACAATATTATTTTTTTGTAGTTTTGGAGGTTTTGGTAGGTTGTGGGGGTTTTGTTTGTTTGCTTGTTTTTCCCAAGTAAATAATTTAAAGTCCAGTGGCTCCCATCGCTTCCATGGTCTTTACGGTACCTCATTCTGCTGGTTCTTGCGCTTAAAGCGCCCTTTTTAACGTGCAAGTCGCCACCTTCTGCTTTAGCTACAGGGCAATGCTGCCCTCCAGCGACCAAACACTCATGCCTTTGGAAAACAGATCCTGGGAATGTCTAATATGTCTCCCATGCATCTTGGGGCTAGCAAACATCTGTTTGAGTAGGTAATGGTACCAGCATATACATGTGTCGTGGTTTCAGCTGTATCAGAGCTCAAAGCAATTTGCACTCCTAGATCTTAGAGGCCTTTCTGCTGTACCAGTAAATCAGTGGGGTGGCCACAAGTCTGAAGCCCATGCACTCATGATCTCACACATAAAACATTGTTAAAGCTGAATTTGTTGTTGAGATGCTGGTGACTTTTCTCCCCTGCTGTGTCAGGATAGCAACTCTGAGACCTCAGAACAGCAAAGTTTTTTACTGGCACTTCATTCACTATTCTTTCTGTAGCCTGCTTCTTAGGCTTCCTAATGGTGGCTCAACCTAATTAAAATTAATAGGGGTATTTCAGCTAAATTCTGTGCATTTTGAAATGGGAAGTAGCCCACATTTAGTATCTCCTTTCTTGATATGCTGCTGTAATTTCTAAATATAAGGAAAGGGTTTTTTTCAGTAATATAACCTTATTTATATAGGCAAGAACCATTAGAGCATTAGAGCAATGTAGATAGACCTGATATTTAATCTGAAGGCATTTATAGGATTTAAGAGATGCTAAGCCAGTTCTCTGATGCTTCTTGTACCACTTCTGACATTCTTCTGCTTCAGGATGTTTACCTGTACACGGCCAGATGTTCTGAACAGCAGAAAGCCATATTGGGATAAAGACTGAGAAAGAAAGGACAGGATCAGAAAACAATACCAGGAAAATAGACAGATAACAGGTAAGATAGCAAGCTGACTGTTTGTTCTGTACCCTGACAAGAAAACTCAAAAATATAAACATTAGAATCAAAATTACCTTCACACAATGATGACACTGCATAGTCAAATGCTCAGAAATCAAGGTATATGAAAGTTGCAGCAGGGCAGAGAACTTGAACTCTGCCCCATGTTGTTTCCAGTCCAGTGAACTTTACAACCTCCCTTTCACTAGGCATGGGACAAAGCACCCTACACCCCTAGGTACAAATGATTCTGTGATAATTAGCCATTGTGAACTCTGTCACAAAACCTCAGGGCCAGGAGGGAGAGCTGAAGTTGCAGCAATCTGCAGGGCAGTGAGACTGCGTCTACAGGTGTCACTGGGAGGAGGAGAGACTGTATCTTTGTGACAGCACAGCTATTTGCTCTGTTGTGCTAGCCTTTTAACCCACTGCAGGAATGAAAAAGCCAGGACCCGCCTGCCAGTTGCCCAGTCTGACCCCTTGGTGTTATGGACTGGCTACATGTGCAGTATGGCAGCAGTTTAGCTGCTGGCTTCTGGACAGGTACTGGCTTTGCAGAGGGGTCTCTGGTTGGTGCCCTGTTCCGTTCCAATGAACCTTTTCAACTACAGTTTCCTCCTACTAATTCACACCCATCCTGGCGATGTGGCTGCAGTATGGCTGTCCAGGCAGACAGAGAGCAAACCCATCCAGTTGATGACAACATGTGGGGATGTAGCACAACTCATGCTTCTGTGACAGCCTGCAGGCACGGCTACACAGATGTCCAGGGATGCAGTCCTGAGAGGCAGGGCTAACGTTACGCTTGTTTACATCATGAACACCAGACCCTGACTTTTCCTGCGTACTCCTTTGCAGAAATCAGTTGAATGAAAGCAATAGGGATTTGCAGAGACAGTGCAAAAGAAAGAAGAGATTAAGTACAGCTAGAGCCTTATGGGAAGGAGGAGAAATGAGTTGTTTCTGCAACCCAGTGCCAGTAAGCACACCTTGTAGGCCTGGTCAGTTCCAAGATGCCGGATGGTCCCACGTCCCAGACTAGGTGGGGTTGTTTCCACCTGGAAAATCTCTCTCAGGAATTTGTTTTTGGAGGAATGAACCACTTGCATTACGTTAGCACTCAGTGTGTCCCGATTTTTCTCCAGGAAATCTATAGGATGGAAACAGAATCAGCTTGTCACCTCTGCAGCCTGCTGGTTCTAGCGCCACTCTGTCTAGCTAAAATCCACTTCATTTACAGTAATTTGCAGATTAGTTTAGAGTAATCCTCCTGATCTCCTGATCTGGCTTCAGATTAATGCTACCCTGCAGTGCCACACATCCAGGGCAGGTCATGCCCTTCTCTCCACCCTTTGTATCCAGCAGAGATAGGCTCACCTTTTGATTCATAAAAGACAACCCCAGCAAAGTGGTTGATGCCAAACTTGGTGTCATGGACACTCTTAGGTGGGATGTAGACTTTACTTTTGCCATGCAGGGAGTTAATTTTGATGAGCATGGTGGCATCTGTGCCCTAGAAACACAGGCAAAAAACGAGGGTTTAGCAGATTCCTCCCAGCACTAGCCTATGCTCAGCGAACAAATAGAAGTGGTACTCAGAGATAACAAAAGCTCAAATTCTGACCCTTATTTGTACAGTAGATCCGGAGGAAGCTTGTGCCAGAAGTGTCTTCCCTTTTACACAGACCTTTCTCTCAAGCATCAGGACAGAACACACCACCAGAGCATAAGACATGGTATTTTAGGGCTGTACACAAGCACCCATAACATTACTAACATCATCAGGTGCACTGGGAATTTCCCAAATCTTTGGACCTCACAAGCAGAAGCCCCCATCAACCTTCCCATGCCATCCTACCCAGCCATGCTCTAAAGGGTGCGTGCTCCTTCTCCCAGGCAGGCACAGTTGTTCTCTCACTCTCCAACTGGTACAAGACTCAGACCCCTGGAAGAAGGTTGCCCTGAGCAGATACCGGTCAGTATGCCCAGACCATGGCTTCCACAGGCAAGGCTGTCAGCTGGGTGCTTCTTTTCAGGGGGTGCCATCACAACTTCATCCCCTTGTGCTGCATGTGAGGCTAGCTCTGCTCACTGGCCCATGCGAGGGGTAGCAAGTGCTGCTATCTGAGAAGTCATGTGCTCTGGGAATCATAGAATTGATGCTTTCTTGTCCTGACTGCAGGACCACCCTCTTCTTAGGGGAGAAAGGGGAAAGCTGTCTGCCTCCACATGATCGTCTCAAATAGTTACCTGAGGGCTACAAATGAGCTGAGGCAGGGGCTTGCTTTTCTGGGCAAGCCCACATTGCCATCTGATTCCTGTACCAGCAGTCCTGCTTAGCCTCACCATGCTCTGGAGACTATGCAAATGCTCTGCAAAGATGTCTGAGATCAGACGCTGCTTTGGTCTCTTCTCTCCTGTTTGAGATGCCTGGCCTTTGCAGAATAACATTTCACAGAATCATAGAATTGTTTAGGTTGGAAAAGACCTTTAAGATCATCGAGTCAGACCATTAAACTAGCACTGCCAAGTTATCCACCACTAAACCATGTCCCTAAGCACCACATCTACACATCTTTTAAATACCTTCAGGGATGGTGACTCCACCACTCTCCTGGGCAGCCTGTTCCAGTGCTTGACAACCCTTTTGGTGAAGAAATTTTTCTTAGTATCCAGTCTACACCTTCCCATATCACAACTTGAGGTCATTTCCTTCTGTCCTATTGCTTATTACTTGGGAACAGAGACCAACACCCACCTCACTACAACCTCCCTTCAGGTAGTTGTAGAGAGTGATAAGGTCTCCCCTTAGTCTCCTTTTCTCCAGGCTTAACAACCCCAGATCCTTCAGCTTCTCCTCACAAGACTTGTGCTCTAGACCCTTCATCAGCTTCATTGCTCTTCTCTGGACACGCTTCAGCCCCTCAATGTCTTTTTTGTAGTGAGGGGCCCAAAACTGAACATGGTATTTAAGGTGTGGCCTCACCAGTGCCAATGATATTTCTGACACAAGCCAGGCTGCCGTTGGCCTTCTTGGCCACCTGGGCACACTGCCGGCTCACATTCAGGTGGCTGTTGCCCAGCACCCCCAGGTCCTTTTCCACCGGCACCTTTCCAGCCACTCGGCCCCAGGCCTGTAGCGCTGCACGGGGTTGTCGTGCCCCAAGTGCAGGACCCATGACTGAGCCTTGTTGAACCTCACACAGGTGGCCTCATCTCATCAATCCAGCCTGTTCAGATCCCTCTGTAGAGCCTTCCTCCCCTCCAGCAGATCAACACTCCTGCCCAACTTGATCTTGCCTTTAAACTTACTGAGGGTGCACTCAATCCCCTCATCCAGATCATTGATGAAGATATTAAACAGAACTGGCCCCAGTACTGAGCCCTGGGGAACACCTTGTGACCAGTTGGATTTAACTCCATTCACCACAACTCTGTGGGCTTGGCCATCCAACCAGTTTTTCACCCATCCAAGCCATAAGCAGCCAGTTTCTCCAGGAGAATGCTGTGGGAAAGTGTCAACAGCCTTACTAAAGTCCAGGTAGACAACATCCACAGCCTTTCCCTCATCCACTAAGTGGGTCACCTTGTCATAGAAGGAGATTAGGTTAGTCAAGCAGGACCTGCCTTTCATAAATACATTCTGACTGAGCCTGGTCACCTGGTTGTCCTGTACATGCTGTGTGATGGCACTCAAGATGAGCTGCTCCATAACCTTCCCCAACATTGAGGTCAGACTGACAGGGCTGTAGCTCCCCTACAGTTCCTCACAATGGTGACGTTGCTCAACTAAGTCTGTCATCCAGGAGAAGAAAGAGCAAGCTGCAGCACAGACCAACAGCAAAACAATACTCAAACAATATACAAATGCAAAGATTTCCTAAGAAGCCCATGTGAAATGATCCAGACTCCTTCCTTCTCTCTCTGGAACAGCTGTAAGTGTTTTAGCAGCGAGGTACCAGGAAGAGCACATTCCAGCAGAGAATGAAGCATTTGTATAGTGAGTTGATTTACAAGAAACATCTGTGGGGAGAAGACATTGCCTCTTATAATGTGTCTGAAAGCCACTTTTGCACTTTTCTGTGTGTTACCAAGCGTTACCTGGGAACTGTGTGCAAAGCCAGGCATTACAAATGAAAGCAGAAATTCACCTTTGGGAACTTGCTCTCTTCATCAATGAGGGAGATGATATTCATAGGCTTGAGTGCAATGACTTCCAGAGCCTGGCGGTTATCAGTGAAGTCAATGTTATTCCAGGCAATGTGCTCTGCGAGGTATTCTTCTTGCTCCAGCTTGAAGACATGGTGCACAAAGAACTGCTGAAGGTGCTCATTGGCAATGTTAATGCAGAGCTGCTCAAAGCTGGGGGGGACAAGAAGGGAACCCATAGTCATCCTTGGCCAGTGCTGCACTGCTCTATGGCATTTGTTTATTCTCTGTATTAAATACATATCCAGATATACTATTGCTATATTTCACAGTGTTAATGATCAACACCACTGCATGTTGCCAATCTTAGCAGTAGAAGGCATACATCCTCTGCTATGATGAAAATAAGCAGAAATGAACCAACTGACGATTGAGTATTTCTGAGTAGGCAAGGAAAGATCTTTTATGTGTTTCAAGAAACTCTAGAGATAAAGGGGAATATATAACTGTAAAAACAGCTTGACTGTACGAGTGTGTGATGTGGTTTTACTTGCACGGACACTGCCACTTCTTTTGTTAGTCACTCCTTAATGGTGCACCTGAGTTTCTTTACCTGGTAATTGCTGTGGCACACTGCATGTGCCTGTGGAGTGCTCACCATAGTGAGGCCCCGTGTGGGTTGCAGCCTTTGGGAATAGCATAAAAAATATAGGAGAGAACACAAAAGATGGGCTGAACAGATCCTAGACCATGTTCCAAAAGTCAGTGAGGAATATTATCTTGTCAAAAGCAAGCAAGATGCATCAGTTGAAATGGATTGGAAAAGACTGCAGAATATGTGCTGATGGTTTGTGGGGTAGTGATGATATGGTACCATACAACTGAGAGAATTGAGGCCCCTGTAGAGAAAGGCAAACAGAAATGGTGCTTTGGGACTGAAACCACCAGTGGGAGAAGTGGCAGTGGGACAATGGTGTACTGACCACGTATTTTGTTGACCTGTTCTTAGGAGTAGAAAAATGAAGCAGCCCCAAAAAGGGGATGAGAGAACACTGACCAAGATGGAATTGTGAGCTGAAATGGGAAACACAACATGGCCTCCTTTGTACTTTGTGCAAAATATGCCCCAAGAGACAATGTGAAAATGCTATGAAACAAGAAAGTTTGGTACAGAGACATGGGGACATACTACATCCTCACATAGTGGCTGCCTGCTCATAGTAGCTTCATAGCCATCTCCTCTGAGAAATTTCCTGAGATTTTGGAGTAGGCATGTGCAATGGCTACACTAAAATGAAGGTTGGGGAGGAGGCAGAAATATGACAAAGACTGAAAAAAAATGGAATCTGTGCATAATCATCATTGGGAAAATTCAGTGATGGAAAGTTCAGTGCTTTTCCGAGAATCAGGATGACAATGAAAGAGCACGTGTCTGTTTTTTCTTTCTTTCCCTTAACATCAGCTGTGTTTCAGCTTCCCAGTGGAAATTAATCTAGAACCTCATACCTGTTGTTGCTGAAGTTTTCAAACCCAAAAATGTCCAACAGCCCTATAGACTGACATCTGTCTTTAGGCTTTTGAGAAGCTGGGTTGAAAATGGCTGAGTTGATCTTGTTCACTATCCACAGGAAAATACGTCCATATATACCCTGAGAAAAAATTAAAAAGGAATTAAAGCCCATCATTACAGTCTTTTGACATAGCTTACTGCTCGCTATCATGCTGCTACAATGCTGTCAAATTATGCCTGAAAACTGTGAGGGACCAGAGCCCCCGGATAGATGTTTGTCCTCAACCAGTAAGAACAGACAGCTCTGAAAGTATCTCCAATCTTTAAACAGTTAAATTGTAAGCACCAGTACCTTCACAAAGGCATCCCTCCCATCTGCAGCTTGAGCTATGTTCAGAGGCCTGGACACGCTTTCTCCTCGGACAATGATGGAGAGGTTTGTGAGGCTGTTCTGGAGTTCACTGGAGTCCACCTGGCAGAAGAGTCATGGCAACCTGGTCATTCCAGGTAGATAAAGGATATTCAGCAAAGGCTCTCTCAGGAAGAGGGCTGTGACAAACTGCCTGTTCAGCAGCATTCACTGGCAGCCTGCTAAAATCTCCTAGCTCAGAGAGACATCTGCAACAGCATCACTTGAGTGTCAGCAGGGAGAAGGGATGTACCTGTTGTATGTGCATCCATACATAAACCCTCCACAGAGACACGCTTTGTCAGTATGCTCAGGGAGCAGGGGTGAAAGAAGAAGATGAGAGTCCATTACCTCAAGCAATTTGGTTGCGATTGAAAAGTGTGGCGAGTCCATCACATCAGAGCAGTCCAAGTTGTCGTACACAGCCGCTACAAGGAGGAAACAGCCAAGCCCAGGTGAATAATTTCTGGTATGGGATGGGGGGCTGTGCTGTTATTGCAGTTGTATTTCTGTAACCCTGTAGCTCTGGGAATGTGGCAAGGCAGTAAATTCTCCTTTGAAACTCACACGTTTGATGATTTTAATAAGGGGAGAGTCCTGGTTTCACCCAGGGATCCTGGGATGTACAGGGGCCTCACAACTCCAGAACATCAGGCTTAAAATAGTAGCAAAACTGACAAGGTTGTTAATTTTAAATAGTAGATACTGGGGATCTGGGAAAGTGGTATCTGACTTCAGAAAATGTGTTTCTGAAAATATTTTTTTTCATGTACCTGGCTTGTGGGAAATTTAGACAACGGAAGGGAATGAGGGAAATCCCATAGCAACCAGCATTACTCCAAAGAATCCAGCTGACATCACTGTACTGGGCCCTCTGTACCAGAAAGTGAGGAGGAGACCTTTTCTAAAATGTGAGAGCTTCTGGCATCCTACTGGTGGGTGTCTCACACTGTGCCTGTGCCATACCAGAAGTGTACTTCTGCAGATGAGTGTTCACCAGACCTAGCCAGGAAAATGACCTAGCCAGCTATCATCTCCACAGCAAACATCACAGAGCTGCTCCTGTGTCCTCTGGCTTGCGTAGCACAACAACCAGCAAATGTAACATGGCATTATATTATCTGTTGTTTCAGTTTGTGTGATAAGGGCCTATTTATAACCATGGAAACCTGACAGCGTGACAAAATAATAATAAGATTATATTTTTCAAAACACGAGGCAGTGGAGTCACGAATCAGAATTTCATGGTGCTTATCTGCCTGCCCTTCCAACCCTGTTCACCGGTTTAGACAGGGCAGAGCAGCATAACCTAATCTGTACAGATGGAAGCAGGCCTTTACCATCCAGTCTGAGGAAATGCCAAGCACAGACAATGCTAAGTTTACCTTCAAACTCTATGTTCCCTAGGTGCAGGATTGCAGCCAGCAGCTTGCTGATATCCCAGTTCTCAGAGTCTGAGAACATGAGGATCTTCATAGCCGAGCGGATGTGGGCATAATCCTTTGCGTCATTCCGGCCATCACAGGACATGCAGTTGCCCTGCAAGGCACCACACCCACAGGTAAGGAAAATCCTCCTGGTACCAATACAAGGAAGAAAGGACCTGCAGGCTGACAAACCTTTGTACACAATGTGGATACCCCGCTTGCTACAAGAGGCAAGGTAAAAACCTATTTAGACATTCTGTCTGCTCTTCCCATGTCCGTTTCTTCCCTCATCTCTACTCTCAAGAAGAACCCATTAGCAGAGGGCTAAATAATGCATTTCTCCAGGGCTAGACTGAATACTGGGGAAGCCAAAAGGAAAAGCTGAGGAGAAGGCTGCTCCGGAGCATAAAAGGACAGGAAACTTTGACAAGGTTATATACACATACAACACCGTGCCTGTTTCTTTGATTTTTCTCTCTCTGCCTTGTCAGTGGACAATTAAGAGCCCTAATCCCAAATCAAAGCAAGTAAGCTTGAATCAGTACTAGAAGACAAATATCAAAATAAGAATATTAGGTTCTAGTGGAAGACAGATCAAAGGCAGCATCAGAAGAACCTTTAACAAATCCCACACAGTGGGTCCTAGGAGGCTGCTCCTGATGGAAACTATTTTCAGCCCTAGTGGAGATGGGAAAATGCCTTTTTTATCCCTGCTATTATTGACAATATAGTGTGATGATTACAAAAGTGAAGTATTCCTAGACATTTCAATTTACAGCATGTAAACATGCCAGCTTGTGCCAACAGCTGACCTGAACAAAACCATGGATATGTTCTCCTGTAATCTAATCCTCCTATCTCTGTATTATACTGCCCTACTGCTGACCTAGGGAACTTCAGACCTTTTTATGGAATGGCCAATGTGCAAATTGCACTCATCGGCTTTCTGCAAGATCACTGCTATTTTGAAAACTTTACATTTGAAAAAATCTCCAGCAACTTTAATGGTTTTGCTTTTGAGACTACAGAAACAGCTCTATAGGCTTGATTTTATTTCCTCTGAGACTAGATGCCCAGCTCCCATTAACAACAGAGGCAGAATTTAGCCCCATTTTTTTCCTCAGCTGTAGAATAGTCCAAATCTGACCAGCTGACATATTTAACATGAGGTATCTGCATAAGCTAAAGAACAGGATTTTCATGATGTCTTTCATGCCCTAAACCAACCAATTGGCTATTTTCAAACATCTCACCTGTGAACATCCCACTCCTACCACTATGGCAACAGTGGTACAATGGTATGATTACAGCAATGGTAAACCCAAGCAGGGACATTAACATCAGCTGTTGGAGGTTAGACTGAATGCCAGCTTCCTGCATTATGTATGTATATAAGATTTATCAGATATAAGGACTAGGATTCTTGGCACTGCTTCTACTTATTAATTTTCCCCTAAGGTATACATACCTGATTAGTATTCTCCCTGGCATGAGAACCCTTGCATTCATCTGAAATGTGAGTGCCTGTGAAAAATGGGGGATATTTCCCGCTTGCTTTAAGATATCCTTCATGTTTCTTAAGTCTGGCTTTGATAGAAAGCTTTGAACTGCCACAAGCTGCCTCCCACTGGTGGACATTACAATAAATCTCTGAAACTGAGACTCACAGCACTTTTGGTGTTATTGCTTCTGGTACTCTAAGGAAAGGACTGTTCCTATTTGGTAACTACCCATCTGCAGCTCCTACTGATTGTAACTGCTTGCTGGGAAAAGCAAGTGGCAGAGGAATAATGGAGAATAGAGCAGAGACTATTACCATAGTGAGATAAGTGTACTCTGAAGCAGTGCCCAGATTCAGCATCTTTTTCTGCTCTGTATTCATTCCCATTAGCATGCAGTAGAAGATGTGATAGTTCCTCTCCTCTGGAGCCTAAAAGAAAGAAATAGGCCAATGGACAGCCTTGTCAGCATAATCTTGTAATGCAGGAGCAGGCGGAATGTACATCTGCCAGTGACCTTACCTGCCGGCAAACCCGGGACTTCTCCAGAAGAAACTGTTCTATCCGAGCTCCTTCTATCACACCATTTTGGTTGAAGTGAATATCAATGTATTTCCCAAAGCGGCTTGAATTGTCATTTCGAATTGTCTTGGCATTTCCAAAAGCTGATGGGCAAGAGACAGAGATTGTATCTGGGTTATTGCAGTTAATGAGCATCAAGTTTATTTTTTATAACCTTCTTTTTTGCTGCCGGTATTTTACATGTTGTATTCCAACTGACAGTACTGACAAGCACTGAAGAATGTCTGGTCTCAGACTGCCTCCTAAAGAGAGAGGCAGGCATACTGCGTAACCAGATAATTGGATCTTAAAAGATATATTCAAATGACCCAAATGTGCCTTAGATCTAGCCAGCCAAGAGAGCTGTGCAATTCTGAAGACCTCCAGGACTTGCTGGGAACACACTTGATCCTTCTACAGAGAAAGAGTCTCAGGGAGTTGCCCTACAGACACATCAATGTTTTGCCAGTCACTTTGCCACTATCAAGTGCAAATGCTAAATCAGGGGTCTTTACCTTGGGCTCTGCATTCCCAAGGGCTCTTGTGCTCCTGGCAGTTCCAGGTTACATACTACAGTGGCACCTCCTCCTACAGCATGGGAGCTGCTGTGGACTTCACAGGGACATGGCAGAAAACTATAGAGAACTTCCATCCTGCATCACCAGTGTTTCAGGTTTTTAGCAGTTATTCAAATACAATGGTTCAAAGATCTGTTTCTGAATTTTTTATCCTGATAAAAAAATACCGAGATAAAGGTGGTAAATCAGGCATGGTTGCTAAATAACCCACCTTCCAGAATGGGGTTGGCCTCTAGGATTTGCTGCTCTATCCAGGAATGCTGGCCACTGACAGCTGCCAAAAACTGTAGTATTAGCTTTGTGCTTTCAGTCTTCCCAGCTCCAGATTCCCCACTGCAGTAAGAAACAAGATTGCAGGTTTCCTTTCTTCTTTTTTGGATAGGGCGGCAAAATGACACACCAAGTTACAAAAATAAATAAATCCCACTTATATTTACCATGTGAATGGTAGATCAGACTGTCTTTCATGGAGGGATGGAGAATTTTAGTCTTTCATCATCTTATCTGCTAAGATTTAAGTTGTTTTTTAGATTTAGGCTGAGGACTAAGTTCTCCCACTGATTAAAACCAAGCAAATCCATGGAAGACATTCTGTACCGGTGCAAATTAAATGACCACTTGCTTTTGTTATTTAATGCAGTACCAGATTTTCAATGCTAGTCTGAGCACATCAACTGAGTTGCCTCATCTACATTCAGATATTATTGTAATGGGACTATCTGGTTCTTCACACTGATGATTAATGGAAAATAGATACATGTTATGTGTCTATAGGATGAAGAAAGCTTCCCTCCATCTTCAGGTTAGCAGAGGTTGTTTCTCTCCAGGAAATCTCTATCCTCATAAAATGCATGTACCATAAATATCATGTCCCCAATGTAAAAGATAGCCTTACATCACACAGGCTCATGTTTTATGTTTCTTCATGTAGTGACCATGTGCAAAATGTGTTACCACATTCAAGGATTCTGGGGGAAAACAATGGACTTCAGAAATCTCTTGCTTGTGTTCTACCTTTTGAAGCCCTAACGGAAAATGAGGAGGCAGGGAAGAAAATACTTCCTTCCTGTTATCTCTAGTCTTATCTGTGCCCTTCCATTTGTAAAGTTTCCTATGTCCACAAAGGTGCCCCCAAAACATGCCAGACTTCGTTTCTGCTCCTTGTCCTCTCTGAGTCCAGTCACCTGATCACGCAGCACTGGTCTCTCTTATTCCTCTTCATATTGAAGTAGCAGTTGTCTGCAATGGCGAAGACATGAGGTGGTAGCTCTCCAATCCTCCTGTTACAGTACAGTCTGATCTGATCGACTGTGTAGAGAGGCAGCAGCTGGTATGGATTCACTGCTACCAAGATGGATCCCGTGTAAGTCTGAAAAACAGTTATGAGCATTACTTCTAGCAGCAAACATGCAAACGAGAATACAGCCAAAGCCATTTGCAGTATAAATCTAAACAGAGACAGGAGGGAAGCCTGGGAGATCCATGACAGCACTTAGGTGAGGCTGAGAGCCTGGTTCCTCACTATAAGCTGCTGTTAAAAATCCTAGGGTCTGGAAGTTTTTGCGAAAGGAAGAATGCTACCTATAATCTTGACAAATCACAGGTCAGTTCACTGTCTCAAGCTAAAGAACAAGAAAGTCCAATTTGACCTGGCATTTTTGTGTGTTATCATAAGCTGTTTTGTAGTGGTTTGTTAAGCTGCTTTTGTGTTCTAGTGCAGTGGTAGCTGAACTTTGCTAACGGGTAACATTATGGTTGTGTTATTCACACAGTCATTTAGTAACTTTTATAAACAACAGCACCATTGAAATGAAGGAGGCTGTTGAAGGCTGTGGAAATGCAAGGCAAGAATATTGTTCAAGAACTTCTATATAAGACAACTTCAGACTGCTAGAGTCTAATATAACAGGTCTATACGCACATCTTGGTAGTTATAACTGCAGTATCTATAAAATCAGTCCTTCTTTACACTAAACATTACCACATCTGAGTTGTAAGAGGCAGCTCCTCTCCTATAGTATATATAACATGGAAAGCAAAGCATGGAAAAACTTGAGTAGTATTATCATATTACAAACTAGGAACTGAGGAACAAAGAAACTAAAAATGCCAAATTGCTCAGTCACAGATAAAACATGTAATGGACAATAAATTAAACCAGGTGCCCTAAATATCCAAATTTATTCTTTATCTATTTTATTACACCAAAATCAAGTAAACATTTACTTGGACTGGAGGACAATCCAAATCATGTCACCGTACTAGTTAGATTGATCCTGGGTCACAGCTGCAGGTAATAGCAGCACTAGGCTGTAACATGGGCTGGATTTAGCTGTTGGTCGCTGGTGGAAATGATCACTCTAGGAGGAATTAAGCAGGGTCACTACCTATGCATATCTCTGTGATTCCAAAGATTGCTATTAGCGCTCTGTCACAGCCAATGCACTTAAATGAAAGAAAAGAAAAACTATGTCGTGTCTCCTTGGCACCCTCAATCAGTAAAAGAAGAAGAGGGCACCATGTATGAAAGGCTTGTAGGCTGCTCAGGTAATTCCACTAAATGTGTAGTAGAGGTCGTCCGTGAAAGTACTATGCCTGGTGACCTTGGCACTCACATAGATTTTGTGCTCCCGGTGGCGGATAAGGAGGTTGTGCACCATGCCTGCTTCATGGAGATCCCCAAGGCGGATCATGTCTTCCACCCCTTGGACAGAGGAGGGGTGCATCAGGTGCACCATGTGCATGTTCTGAGCTGTGATCCAGTGTTCCTGAAACAGGCAAAGCGTCAGATTTAATGTGTTATGCTGTGGCTCAGAGGCAAACGAAGGAGAGATATGTTAGCCCAGAGCAAGTTTCAGTATAATCCATGCTCAAACCAGCATATTCTAACAAACAGCTGACTAAACTGCAGAAATTAACTGCTTTGCTGCTCCCTGGCACCAGGTGATTTAAAACACTGGATGGAGCCATTCAGGTGGGTTCTGAACATCACCAAATTTAGCATCATTCAGAGTGCAGCTCTGTCAGGGAATCACAGCCACAACTTTGTATAAGGTGGGGATGAAACCCCAACTGACTTTAGTGGGATCATGATTTCACCTAAAGCTCCACCAAAATTAGGCATTGGAGCCTGTCCATTTCCTTGTACCTATGTAGATATAACCTCTATCTCAGGAAGCTCTAAATCTTCATAGTGCCAGGACCTGGTGATACTAAGGTATTACTCTATACTTGCCTCATTTTTTATATTCTTTCTTTCAGTAGATCTTACTAAATGTTATCAAAGTCAGACCATTTGGCTAGATGGAGCTTTGGTCTGACCCAGCAGGGCCATTCTTTTGTACTTTGTACTTTAAATTGTATGTTCATCTTTTACAGAAAGTTATAGCGTAGCCCACCTTGCCTTCGTCATCCTCCAGCAAGATCCGTCCTGAGTCAGAGTTCTTCACAACTGCCCCAATAGGGACGTTAAATTCACTGTTTGCTTGGGTGTCCAGCCATACATGATCACCCTGGGGAGAAGAAAAGATATTGTCAAGTACAGTGACATACTTGATGCCATGTAGCTCACAGGCATACATCTCTTGGTCTTATTTTTTCAGTGATTTGATTTCTTTAGCAGTGCAAGCAGCACAGTCTAATGGTTATAGTATCAGGACCTCTGAGTTCTACTCCCAGCTCCACCACTGACCTGGAACATCACCTTGGACAAGCCATCAAGCCCAGCTGTCTCACAAGAGGAAAAGAGGCAACACCTTTTACAAGGACAGCAATTACTCAGCTCCACCACCTCCCAGAGATTGGCAGGGGGCACAGTGAATGCTGGTGAAGTGCCTTGGCAGCCTCCTATCAGATACAGTATTATTTCAGAGGAGATGCTTGAAAACATAGACACTACTAGGAAAAAAGAAAAACAAAGAGATGTACAGACTAGATGCCTGGATATGTAGAGGACTCTACTGGAAGAGTTTTTAGATATATACTCTTTCTGCTATAGCTGAGATCACTTAGAAATGCAAGTGCATCCATGATCTCTCTTCAGAAAAAAAAAAAAAAAAAGCAACATCTTTATTCAGATGAGTTCCTCTCTTCATATTTGGAGAGGCATGGCAACATCCTGCCTTTCTGCACAGTGAACAAGTAAGCAGAACTGCTCTGCTCCAGGACATTATCAAAGTCCCCAGCCCCAAGTCCCCAGGAATACCTTCTCTTGCTCCAGGAACTAATACAGATTCAAACTGAAAGCTTTACTGTAATGACTGGAATAAAAATTGAACAAAGTTGTAGGTCAGATCTTCAATATCTTGAATATCTTGAATATCTTCATACTTACACCTGCTGAGGAACCAGCTTTCTAGCTGAGTGTCTTTTCTGTTACAACTTTTGCTAAATACTGTAGCATTTACTGTCAAAGTCTCAAGTTTTTTACTGAAAAAATATTTCGTTTTCCTCTCAAAATACTTCATGGGCTTACATTTAAAACCAAACAACTGTAGTGTAAAGCATCTATGAACACTGCAATTGCACAAGGTTATGAAGAATGTTGTACACTAACAGCTCTCATTTGTGTTGAATGAAACCCCAGAGGTAAGCTGTGCAGTCTCAGTGCCACACCTTGTGACAGAGGTCACCAGCTCATCATGAGCACAGCCAGACTAGGCAAGACACCTCCACATCACTACTCTAGATTGATATTATTTTATACCTTGTTGATACTGGGTTACTGCTACTTTCTTTTTGAGTTGGACCATGATGTTAAGGTAATTTGCTCCTCTTTGGGCCTCAGGCTAATCAGTAAATCACAGCAAAAAATAGGACTTACCTTTCTGAAAACCACCATTATGTTTCAGATCACTGAATGTAACCTGCAGTGCCAAGAACATAACATTAGGCCAGAAAAGGACTTGGGCTTTGATTGGAACAGACAATGGGGTTTCCTTGAGATGTTCCCTTGCAAAAAGTAACAGCAAAATGCCTTAAAGTATTTCTGGATATGGATTTTGTTAAAGCAGAAGAGATCATTAAAAAAATACAGTCAATGTAGAAATGAGACCATCTACCCAAAGCAAAGTACTTGCAGCACTGGGGTGGTAGTCTGATTTGAGTTCTGCCACATAACTCTGGGGATGCTCTTAACCCTGAACAGGTCACTGTGCATTTTCATACTGAACAGTTCCTTCAGTCAAATGCTAGGCACATTTATTGGCTGAACTACAAGTTTGGCTCACAAATAAAAAGACCCCACAATGCAATGTAATTCGATGCCCAATAGGGTTACCTTTGGTTGGTCCACTGACCCAGCAGTTCAGTTGCTATGAGTGGCTACCTCAGTGACAAAGATTTAATTCATACTTTCCTGATCTGCTTAGTTCCCTCAGATCCTCACAGCTTGAAACTACTACCATATAGAAACTGAAGTTTAGAGTTCATGTTCTTTGTCTGGAAAAAACCCTCAAGTTCAGGGTTAGCATTTTTTTCTCCCTTTTGTTTTAATAATCTTCAATGTTAAAGCATTGCAGTGAGAGAATTAGGGCTCATTTTATCACTTGCTTTCCTATAGCTGCCCACTTTTTTTACCTATGTTATTTGGGAAGGTATAAATAGCTTCCATAAATCATGGTCTTATTTAAAATCAATGGGGTGCATCAACCTCTCTTCTTCAGACTAGGAAGGAGCAATTATACTCCTGTATGAAAGACACTGTCACTGTTGTGGGTTATACTAATATCTTAACCCTAAGGAGGGCTATTAGGGTAGGAAAATGGAAACCAGGAAGTGCTTGAAAAGCTACATGATCTTTCTCCCCTATTTGTGGCTATAAAGTATACAGTAGTGTGGACTGAACAGGGTTTCTAAGCAAGCCCAGAATGATTTACTACTTTAAAGTTATCATAAGGTATGCTGAAAATAACTAATTAACAAAATTACAAAATGTATTGTGATCCCAAACTGGAAAATAAACAGAAACTTCAAGAGATGACAGACTGCTGATGTAGAAGTCCAATGCTAACACACATTTTAAAGCAGGAATTTTAAATTTAATTTTCACACAGGTGACTCAATAACAAGAAAAGAATGTCACCACAATGTGGAATGTCACCCTTAATAAAAAAAGCTGGCACATGGAGAAACTGAAAGGAGTGTGTCCCCAACAAAACACCTGCTGATTATATTAAAAATTGATTTTCCCTGTGAGACTAGGGCAACCTCCAGAGCTCATCTGTAACCAAGATGTAAATTGTGCTCAATTTTGTAGCACAACATCTATGAAAATTTAGCAATGAAACATGAATGTGTTCTTCCTGGCTGCTTGGGGTTTTTTCTGTTGTTTTTTTTACACTCCCTCAAGAAGGAACTTCCGTCTTTCATAATCAGTTATTCCTATGGCGAAGTCCTCATGTTCTTATTCAGGACCCAGGAACTGGATCTTCATATTAACTTGAACAAAGTGATGACCTGTTACTATGGGCGATGCAAAATGGTACAGAAGCATGGTACTTAGCAAACATAGGCCAAGGATGAGCCACAGTCAGCCACAGTGACTCACAACTGACAGATACTTTTTCACCTGTGCCAGAAACCAGAGTACTGCAACAGAGCAGAAACATCTACCCAGGAAAAAGAAGGAGTGGTACATGCAAACACAAAGCACAGCCATACTGCATCACGTCAAAGGTAGAGCTGGATCCAGTCTATGATAGCAGCCAAGAACGGACATGTAGGGAGGAGATCCCATATAATCCCGGGATACACAGTTTCAACATTTAAAATGCTTAAAATGCCAACCCCCCACCTGCTTGAATGGCTGCTTTCTGGCAATGCCTGGCGCTCTCTGTTGTTTTTCTTTTCAACGTAATGCAGCACTGTAAACCATATTGTACCCCACAGGATGAGAAATTACCTCTCCTGAAGAAATCTTCACTGCCTGGCTTCTGCAGCTTAATTCTCTCTTTTTCATAAGCACTGGAGTAAGAAGGAAAAGGAAGGTGAAACTGGTGCTGGTGCCATTAAGGGATCCCTCACTGAGTGCCAGTTCTCAGCTGCACAAAGGAGGAAATGACTGAAGCACGGTTATTTATTACAGGACTTTGCTCCCAGTTCAGCATATATGTCATTTCCAAGTCAGGCATTCCAGTAAGCAGGAAGGCCTGGGTGAACCTTAAACTTCAGTCTCTCTCTCCACTGTGCCTGAATCCTTTCAGATTTCTAGAAAGCACTCCCAGAAGCATCTCCCTTTAACATCTGGTTTTATGCTGCTCCAACACCACTGACTTCCCTGGAGTTCTCTTGGAATCGCCCTGTTAAGTAAGAGGAAAATCAGGCCCTCATCTCTCCCCTTGGTTTTGCACAGCTCTTTCTGTAAGGTCAGAAAATGCCCATCAGTCTATGTCCTGTGTGGACTGTGTATCACAGTACCTAGAGCTCAAAGCAAAATAAACTCATGACACTTAACTGAAATTGATACACATACACATACAAAGGGTCACAACTTCCTGGTTTTGTTACCATTAATTCATCTCCCAACAAACACCCTATCCCTGTGTTCCAGCGTCTAGGTGCATGTTAACGCCCTACCTGACCATTTATCTCTTTCCAAATTAGGACAGGATGGCCAATAGCTTCCCTCTTTCTGGTTGCTCCACATGTACTCTCAGTAATCCTGTGTCCTTCTTGCATACCCTGTTAAAATCCAGCACTAGATGTGATGTATGGGAAAGAAACAGAAGTGTAGTATATCTGTAGAGAGGCAGATACAGGGTTTCTCCAGTCAGAGCAAGGACCCAGGAGCCAGGCACATTTCAACCCTAATGGCAAGCCCAAACAGTGAGGACGAGATTTTTTCCATCTACCTTAACCCAACTGTATAACCCTTCTCCAAGGCGCTGTACACAGCGGGTGGCTTGTCTCACTATAACTATTCTGTATGCATGTTTAAATATGTATGCCCATATTTAAACATGCAAATGCAAATGTCCAATAATTGTGAACATGTGCTTGTATACCTCATACCTTAACTTTTATTTTCTTGTTTCCTAGGTTCAGTGTAGCTGCACTGTATGGTGGGAAAGATAACAAAAAGCCTCCGTGTTGGAGAGGTTCTTGGGGCTGCAGCTGTAGTTCCATACCCAAATCAGAGGTAAGCATTCAAGCATGGCAATAACTAGTTGGGAGTAATGAGTGTTCATCCACTTTACATATTTGTGGTTTAATACTAGCCTCCTTACCTGAGGTTTTTGTTTAAGTTGTATAGCAGAAATTAAGATACAGGTGGATAATAGAGCGTAGGCCCTCTAGAGCTTGGACACTTTTAGAGAGAGGCAGAAAACAATAAGGCAGGAAAGCTTTCTTAAAGTTTGTAACTGAGAAATTCATTCTTACTGAAGGATTTTGCTTCAAAGTAGTTCTTTAGCAGACTTACATCTGACACAACAGTTTTTAGAAGTCTATATGCTGTATGTGATTAACAAAATTTCAAGTACTGATTTTATTAGATGAAGGCCAAATATTGGCAAATAAATCAAAGTACATACCTTTATACTACTCGGGCAGCTATCTAAAACCAAAACTTTTTCTGTAATTAGACTGCAGAGAAAAAAGTGCCATGCATATTTCTTAAGCAAATGAAATGTACCTGCTGAAATTCCCAATTAAAAGTTTTGGAGCAGAGAATCTCATTCTAAATATATATACATTTACTTGTGATCAAGACACAGTGGGGGTGCTGTTTCAGAGAGAAGTACAGTATTTCTGTCCTAGTACAGTATATAAACTGTGTGAGATGGAAACATAGGGAACTCAAGGTTCTGAAAGAAAAACATGAGTCATTGTATGGCTGAAATATGTTTCAGAAGGGAAATGAGTTTCCACAGTTAAGCTTAGACATACTCAAGAGCCAGAAGACACAAGCTGAAGGAATAGAGACTTAATATGTGAAGCAGAAGCAGCCTAGATGCTTTGTAAAGCACATGTACCTAGCGAGAGGTGAGCAGGTGCCTTGCTAAAGGCTTCTTCAGAGAAGTGCCTGTGGGTGAATAGGGGTAGCTCAGGTTTGAGAAGTCACTGTGCAAGGGGGGAAAGAAAGGAGCTTGCCAGGAGCTGGCAACTCTGTTTACTGTTTGAGTTTGGTGAGAGATTGTGCAGGGCACAGATGGATTTTTAGCTGTAATTAGGGGTAATTTGTAATATGGCCTATGCTGATGAATAATGCACTGAGAAATGCAGCAAATTAAAATTGGATAATCCTTGGTGAATTTAATCCTGCTGTTGTTCAGAGCAATAGGTCTGTCCGGATAGACATGTGTTAACAAAACTGCCTCTTCCTGATAGCTTCCTAATTAAGAGATTCATGTCAGGATCAAAGGGTTTAATTTGCACATGGCACTACCTCTCACATTTCCTCTCCAGCTAAATCAGTGGCCCTATCATTTCTGCATCCCTGAGTCCTGATGCCGAAAATCATTTTATATTAAACTATTTTTTTTTTCCTAAGGTTTCTGCAGGGAGGTGGATTGGATATAACAAATTGCAATTTAAACTGTTCATTCAGAAGCCCTCCTGTCTACACCTCCCTCCCTCCCTTCCTCTAAGCAGATTTGTAGCTCTAAGTCACTGATGTCTGTTAACTCTGAAAGGCACACTGCAGAGAACAAAGCAAACTAAGTAACAAGTACATACCAGTAAAGGATTTCCAAGTGCATCCCTTGGTTGTCTTGAGCATTCTCTCCCTCAGGGAAAGGCTTATTTCATTCCAGCCAGTTCATGGGGTTGTACAGAGAGGCAGACTGGTGGGGCTCTGAGATCTGTGTCATTACACACCTTCATACATGCCAAGTGGGCGCTGCTTACTCTGCTTGCTAGAAGGCAGGTCATTCTTCCCCACTGTGCAATCCCATTATGGTCTGAGTGTCACTCTGTCCTTCCTTTTGGGATGCAGCCAAGATGGTATTACAAGAATATATTACAGGCTGGTAAGTGCCAAGTTCTGGCTCATGAGGGACAAAGTGTGCGCGCATACACAGATTACCTGCAGAATAGCTGTCAGAATTGATGCCTAATTATTCAGCCTTGCTGGGGTGAGGTTACTTAAGACATAGATGCACCCTGTCCTGTGCGGTGCATGTGGCATGTCACAACACTAGGCTTGGGGTTAGGAGGTATTTTTTCAGAAAGATGGGAATTCGTAACCGTTACGAAGGTACCTCTGTGCCTTCTTCCACTTTCAGTAAATGCAGAAATTCTCTATTCTGTCATCAATGCAGCCTCCGGGTGGCTGGAATTTGGGACAGTAGCTTGCCATCACTGCAGAGAATGACATGTATTTATAAATTACTAATTTCCAAGGAAGGCTACCATCATACTCTGATCCTGCTTGGAACTTAAGTATGTGATAGACTTCTGCATTTTCTAGGCACCTTGGTAAAATTTCCAGGTACCTTGGTATACCTTATTCAATATTTTTTTTTGTTAGTTTCTATTTATGTTTCCCCTTGTCCATTATTTTCTGTTACATTACTCCCAATTTATTTCCTACCTTACTGCTTTGTCTGCAGAGAACTTGATTTCTTGTGTTGTAATGACTCACATTAAAGTTGTCATACTGCCTTCTATTTAGGCAGTTGTTGAAAGCCATTACATTTCTTTATTGGAAGTCACATAAATTAAACAATGGGAGCCTCCCATCACATACAGGCACATGTGCCTGCTCCTTCTAGAAAAGATCTAAATGAAACCAGACAGTGCAGAGAGCTAAAAGCAGTAAAAGTTATATTGGAGCAGGAAAAAAGGACGTGATACCATTAAGAGCATGATCCTGAGGATCACTAAGGGACCTTTGGGGCTATCTGGAAAAGACCTATAGAGCTGTAAACAGAGACATTCTCTAGATGTTTTATGTATGCTGCTTTCAGGGGAAAAGGGTGTTTCTGCATTGTTGCTAAGAATATAGGATTGTATGCAAGGAACATCTGACTCCACTGCCAGTTTCTCCCAAGTGAAACGCTGTAGAAGATGTTGAGTAATGACTCAATTCAGAGAGTTCATCTGTGTTTAACATGGTACACCGGACTCCCTGCATTATAACTGTGCTTACTGCTGGAGTGTATGAGTTTATAATGGCTTATCCTCTCTGCCATCCATTCTAAAGTGCCTCTAGCACAGAAGAAATAATGACTCATTTTGACCAGAGTTCTCAACTTACTAAATTTTGACGTCACTGAACAAGACCGTAGTATGTAGGATTATAAAATTCACTGTTGTTTAGAAATATCCCAAATTGCACTGCTTCAACAGTTTTTTATTTGTCACACCTGTACCCTCTTAGAAAATGAAGATATTTGTTTGCCACAGAACAAGAAGAGAGGCAGGAGATCAGCACCGAATGCATTTATTAGGCTTTCCATTTTAAAATGACGCATCTGTGACAGAAGTCTTTCCTAGTAATCCTTTACTGACATATTGTAGGCATGACAAATAATCGAATAATGCACCTGCTCACAAGATAGTTATTAAAACAGAACATAACAATTCCTGCAAAAGACAGGGGTCGTTCTGCCCCTGTGTTTACTCTGGAAGCCAGCAATTACAGGGGAGTTCAGGGCTAGCTTTCAGGCCATTCTGAATGCTAAATCTGGAGGAACCACCCACATATGAACTAGATTGAACCACTGCTTCAGCTAAGGCTGTCAGACCTAAATTTGTTGACACTACTCCTCGGTTTCCACAACTAGCCCCAGGTCCCCTCTTTGGCCAGCAGCACCATGAAAGCTGTTGGTGCCCATTGCGTCCTCCAGAGCACATGTGCGTACCCGCGCCCAAACTCTGGTTTTGCTCTGCTGCCTTCTTGTAGAGATTCGCATTAAAGCTTGCTAACTGGATTTGTAGGGAGCAGATAAATTCACCTATTACTTAAATAGTAGAATCTTTCCTATTCCAGGCAGTAGATGAAACTCTTGATCTCCCATCCTTTACCAGTATAAGAAGCATTTTTACCAGCAATGCCTTTGACCGGCCAGAGGGAGATGTTGGGTAAACCTTGTGTGGTTCAGGGCCGTGGGTTTAATCAGTCATCATTTTCTGGGGTTTAGTTTCTTGGATGTTTGCACACAGATCATACAAGGAAACTCCCTTACTAAGATAACAACCATTTTACACATCTGTACAGCTGTTCATTTCCATGTTGATGCAAGGGCTCAAAATTGTCTCTTTTTCTCACAGGCTCCTTCGATTTCCCCAGCACTTCAGTTATCAAGCAAAAATCAAAAGTATTTTCTAGAAAAAAAATGAAAAAAAAATTTAGGGAGAGGAAAGATAAATGTAGCCCAGTTTGCTGCAGTTAGATCTGACCCTGAACGGAAGCAGTGAACAATCTCCAGTTTCCCCTCGCTAAAAAACTTTAAGCGGTTGGAAACGGCCTTTACCGGCGGGGCGGGGCAGCGGCGGAGGCCACGCCCCCTCCCGCGCGGCGCAGGCCACGCCCCCTCCCGCGCGGCGCCCCCTGGCGGCGGCTGCCCCCTGAAGCCTCGCGAGAGCAACCCCCCCCCCCGGAGGCGCGCGGGGGGAAGGGGCGGCCGTCCTTAGCGCATGCGCAGGGGCGGCTGCCGACCGTTCTGGGGAGAGGCGCCATTTTGGGCCTGTGCGAGGCGGGCGGCAGCGGCACCGGGTTCCAGCGGCGAGCGTTGCGCTGGGGGCTTCGCCCCGCCGCCGGGCCTCGGCGGGGAGGCGGGGCCGGCGGCCCGCCATGGAGAGCGAGTACTACAGCGGGGACCAGTCAGGTAGCGGCGCGGGAGCGTCCCCCGCGGGAGGGACGCCTGGGGCGCCGGGCCCTGCGAGGGAGGGTGCTCGGCACGGCGGGGCCCGCGGGGGTTGCCCTGCCCTGCTCGCCCCGTGGCCCTTCCCGGCTCCCGGGGCCCTTGGCGCTCACCGAGGTGTCGGGTAGCGGTGGCGGAGTCACGCTCGGGGGCGCAGCTCGGCGGGGGTGCCCGGGCCGGCTGGTCGGCAGCCGGCTCCGCGGGGGCCTGGGGTGGCACCGGCCGGGGCCACCGGCGTGATCGCAGCCCGGCGGCCGCCTCGTTCGTTCGGTGTTGTCAGTAGTGTGTCGGTCACTGCTTGCGTGTGTGTTACAAGCAGATTTGTGATCTCTGTGAGGGGTGGCTGCGGTGGGTTTGTTCCAGAGCTGCCCTGTAGATACACTCCCCTCCTCTGTGTTAGTGCGCTGTTCAGAATGAGTCTGTAGCACTGCCTGGCTCCCTGTTCATCGTCACTGTCAGTGCTTTTTTAATCACTGGGAGATGTCGCTGAGTTTTACTTTTCTTTTCGCAACTTCGGAATAGATGATGGTGGAGCTACTCCAGTGCAAGACGAACGAGATTCAGGATCTGATGTTGAAGATGAAGGAAATGAGCAGCATTCTGGATCTGAGAATGGGAGTGTAGGGCACCATTCAGAGGTACTACTGGAACTTTATCTAGATAAAGACCACTCTTCTATAAATTTTTTTGTTGTTGTTTTCAAGAGGCATTTTCTTTTAACTGAGGCTTACATGTTTACTCAGTTTCTTCAGTTGTTCTTAAGGGTCCTGTCTGACAAAACTTTACTTCCATAAAGAAATGTCAGATAATCTCTTGACCAATATGTAGGTGAGGGTCTTTTTATTTTTCTCCTTAATTGTTATAATAACATTCACTGTTTTGTACTAGAAAAAAATTAATATTGTTATACTCAATTGCAGGAAGATAAACTTTTTGGGTTTGAAATTCTAAGCAATGAATTATGAGGAATTTGGAATTTTACCTCAAATTCTGCATAGTAATGCAAACCCACAAATCAGAGGCATAGATTTCCTTACCAAAGAACAAATGCTCTCTCATCTACCATCTTTCCTCTCAGATGTGAGCATTGACTCTCGAGTCTGGTTTGTGTTATGTTTTTGACCTTGTCATTCATAAAGGAACAAGTCTCTATGTGGACCGGGAGCAGGGTAAGGTTCCTAAATGTTCTTCCTCTGAAGATGTTCTTGCTTTGAGAAGCTTACACCATGAAGAGGGTGGTAATGCTTCCAGCCAGGGTTGTTTCTGGGGGAAAGCCACTTAACTTGTGTGTTGACTATTTTGGTTGAAAAGAGATTCTGATAAAAGTGAAGGTTCCCTTTAGACTTGGAAGTCTAAGACATGTTTTCTGCCAGCAAAGTTATGTTATGGAGAACTTTTTGATACTCATAAAAACTGTAACCAAAGCCATTTCATTCTGTTCAGAATATTTTGTTGCACTTTTTAGAGATCAGGTTTGGCTCTGACGGGGTTTTCCGTAGTTATACATTTTGAAAATTGCTTACAATGCACAATGTGATATACACTAGTAGGCTGATGTGTCAGAAGGCTCAACTCTGCTGTGGTATAACTTGTAATCTCTTTTTTTTTCTACACCCCTTTGTTGAATTCATACTTACCTCAGAATTAGAAAGTAGATGAAGATTGTATATTTGTACAAAATGAAGGTTCTTCCCCTGATTTGAATTTGAGTGTAAGAGCAGGTTTTGAATTTTTTTTTTTTTTTAAGGTGTTGATATTTACAATGAAATACATTGATTTGGTGTGAGGCAGCATCTCTTATTGTTACAATCAGGATTTCAGTGTCAGAGAAAATGTTTTTCAGCATGGGAGATACAGCTTTCTTTCAAAGGGATTTAGTACTTCTGTTTTAATGAAAAAAAGTGGTAATGAGTGCCTGAAGAATCATGTTCCTGCTACAGTAACATTGTTTGCTGCTGTGTATGAAAGCTTGGTCATTTGTTCTTACTCCTGTGGGATATTAATTTTACTTACTGTGGCAAAGTAGTTGGAAATCTGGCCTAAAGAACCAGTAGCTGACTATTACTTACATCTTCAGCGTGTGTTTTTCAGGTTTAAATAACCAGAAAGTACTGGGACATATTATCATTGTTAACTGATCCTGCTTCACGTGCCTGTGTTATTTTAAGGGCTTTGTTCTGTGATGGCTGTTGATTATTCCTCTGTAGATAAAATACTTCAGAAAGTCTTATTAAAAAAAACCCCAACCAACAAACAAACAAAAACCCCCAACTTTCTGTCCAATAGTAAATGTGAACCTTCAAGCCTTAGTGCTCTATTTGATTCAGTTCAAATCATAAACATTTGAGTGCTTTGTTTTGTTATGAAGTCTTACATTCTTAGTTTTGCCTACATCAAATTCAAAATACAACTCAAAATGCAATAACATGGAGCAGCTATCTCTGAAAGGAGTAGCTTTCAGTGATTTATCATATTATTTACTTTAAATATTCTCTCATCCTCTTTATTTCCTTCATCTTTAGGAATATGTGGGAGGAATGACACTCAAAGGTAATAAAACCTTTGAGACAGCCTAATCAGTTAAGTCTGTTTAATTACTATTTCGTCTCTAATTTAGAACTCAGATGTAAAGAACTGAAGTTTTACACTTTTAAACTTTTTTTTCAGGTTCTTAACTTTAAAGAAAAGGGGAATCCTGAGGAATTACTTATGTAGGTCTCAGGTATGTGGGTTTTTCTTTTCCACAATTCTTTTCTGGCTTTCCTTCCCCCAATCCCACTTTATCTATAAATGTTCTCCTTGATGTCCTTACCAATTCTGCTTTAGACGAATTAGATAACACATAGTTTTAGTACAGTAATGAATATGAAATCATGTTTACAGTGTTTCTATAAGTCAGGCTCATATGGAAATCTTCAATGACTTAGATTCTTACACTTTTACCAAGTCGCTGCTGTCTTCATTAATTAAGTTATGGTTTGACTGTGACTGTTAACATCTACAAATATATTTCTGAAAAAAGAGAAACCTTCTGATCTGCTGCTGATGGTTATGTATGCTTTAGTTTAACAATTGTCATTCATGAGATTGTAGTGGATGGGTCAATTTTCTTGAACTTACTAAATTACCAAAGTAGTATCTCTTAAAAGTGGCTGCATGTTGATCCAATAAACTACTTGCTAACTGAAATTTTTATGTAGAAGGATAACACTGTAAATTTGATTTTGATGTATTCTTTATATTGTACTGTACTAAAACCTCATGTTGTAGCGTTCTTTCAGTTAAAAAAATAAAGGACATCTCAAAATGTTTATAGATAAAGAGGAGGAAGAAAAGAAAGCAAAGGAATTAGAGAAAAATGCAGTAGCAATTACCTGAGACCTACTTGTTTTTGAGGATGTATGATCTTTTATTTTAATTAAGTATTTGGAGAAGGAAAAATAGAAAACTCAAAAATTACATACTCTGTTTCTTTGAAAACATCTTTTTAGAGACGAACTAGTAAAAAAAAAAAAAGGGGGGGGGTGGGTGGAGGAGAGACTGTCCTACAGAGTTTAGTCATCTTACTGTAAAGTTGCATGCACTTTTTATATCAAGTATATTCCAAAACATCGACAGATGTGTTCATTGTATTCAGAAGACCTTTGCGCTGATGGCTGTGCTCAGGGCCTCTCTGTTGTGTGGAGGCCCTGAGCGAGTCAGCTCTGTCTCAGCTCTGCTTCAGAAGATGCTCAGTTATGTTAATGTGCCGAGTTTGAGGCCGTGTGTGCCATCTCTGTTCAAGGCTTACTGACTAATGGGACTCTGTGCTTTTTGGCTTCGCTCTGGTTGAGCTTTCCAGCCTCAGGACTAGAGTAGGTGGTGCCTGTCTGCCCAGTCTGTGTAGGGGCACCTGTGTTACTGGAGTGGTCCTTCTGTAGGTGACTGTGTCACAGTAGGTTTCAGCTGCTGTAACCACTGGGATTCTGTGGTGCAGAGCACTGTGCAGTCCCAGTGTGAGCTCATTAGGATGCATGTCTGCTCTCCCTCCTCAAACATGTTTGTTCTCAAGAGTGACTGTCAGTTTTCAGGAACAGGTTAGACTCAATATATTGTAAAGTGCTTCCATAATAATGCTGTATAATTGTAATGACTTCTTACCAAGTATTTTGCGTTGGAAGTTCCTTGTAATTTAGTAATGCATTCTGAATAAGTGGATATATAACCTGCAGCCACGCTTCTAACCTCAGAAACATTTAAGAATCATTATCAATTCCAGTTGTTATTTAGTTTTGTTTCCTTGCTCACAAAGACTTTCTAGACTGGCAGTTTCCAAGGTGACAAGCCTGATAGCTTATACAGGAGTATTTGTAGGGCTTTTTTTTTTTTATTTTGTTTAGCAAAATCCCTTATTTCTGCTTACATAATTATCAGTACCTGTTTGACATTAGCCATCTGAAATCAAGACAAGACAGAGAAACCGACCAAAAATGAAGTGATAGGAAAATGAGGATTAAAGCATTTCTATTATTATAATCAATTTCAGGGTAGACCTCTACATTTCAGTATTTCTCAGTGACCTTAACTGTAATACTGCTGTAAAATCTGTGCTTCCTGTTCTATTGGCAGCTGCATTTCCTTTAAGATTAAGTAATCCGGTGAGGGAAAATACATCACATACCCATGTTGTTAGTTTATGTGGAAGATACTGGGCAGGAGAGGACGATCAAATTATTTTTTTGCTAAGAAACAAAAGAAGTAAATAAAATCCCATAAGAATCTGAGAGCAGTTGAGTGTGTGTATGGTCTTCTGCAGCTGTGCATCTTCAATGTTGTAACTTCTTAATCTTCATATTTAATTATTTAAAATTCCAAATTCAGGTTTTAACAAGCCATGTTGCCTTTCTGTAAGGAGAAATGAGAAATATTGAATAATACCACCAGCATGATTCAAAAGACTGGCGTCGCTGTAGAGACAGGGACGAGCAGTAGAGAAAGCTACTCACTCAAATGATCACAGCAGCTGTTTGGTAGCTAGCATTAAGTAACATGGAAATAGTGAATTTGTATTTGAAGTGTATGTTTTAAAATTCTACAGTCCTGTTTTTTTACATTGTGCAGTAACTTTCTGTTAGTGATTCTGCAGTAATTTAGGAGTTACTACTTTATTGAGTGCTAGCCAAAGGAGTAAATATATAAGGTCCAAAATCTTAAAAAGCAATGTTATTTACCACTCTGGAGGTAAATTCTGGAGGGAATTGTTTCTAAAAGCAATTAACATTAACTTTATTTACAATTCCTTCATAATCTTATATTTTAAAGATTAATAGTATTGTTTGTTGTAGATGTAGGATAGATACATCTTCATTATTTTGTACGGATCAGAAAGTGGGAGTAGAATAACTGTAGAAAATAAAAATAGATAGAAAGTACATCTTTCCAAGGAAATAAAATTGCTGACAAAAAAGAATTGGAAGCTCCAGGACATGCAGGTTTTAAGGTATCTCCTAGGACAATACTGAGTTTGCAAGTATGCTAGTGTAAGAAGTCTGTAGCTGAGACAAAATCACCCCTGAGGAAAGCCTGGCTGAAGAGCAGAGTTGAATAGAGTTCCTTTTACAGTATTGTTCTTTTCAGCTGAAGATGAGATTGTGACGATGACTGGGAGGTGTACTGAGTTAATGAAATGAGTATTCGAGAGTCTTGATTTTGTTTTCTCAGGTAAAAGCAACTGAGATTTTTTTTCCAAGTAGAAATTAGATGTAGGAAAGATAAAGCAAGATGATGTCAGCAATGATAGTGACAGGTAGCTTATGAAAGGTCTTCTAAAAATGGAGTGTGTGGCTCGGTATTTTTTGCCAGAAAAAGACACAAAGGATTATGTTTCAATTCTAAAGTTTTAAGAAGATCAGTGCCTTTGTACACAGGTTATCTCAGGTGTCTGGCTAGGCATGGGAGCTATCAGCCTAAGGGGAGAGAAGTGTTAAATCTGTTCTTGCATTCTTACACATTGAAACACAAAACTTGTTAACAATAATACTCTGAAAGGTCTCACTAAAACTTTATTCCTGTTTTTTGGTAGGCTTTTGATATCGATGTGTTCTTAAGTAAGTTTCCTTGGCAAAGAAGGAAAGGGCACAAGCTCTATCGAGCTTCAGTTGGAAAGGCATGCATGTGTGCTTCCAGTAAAATGTATTTCATGCAAAAAAGATCTGTTTAAGATCTTAAGAAAAAGAAAATGACAAGTGCAAGATACTATTTCTTGCCATAATAGTGGGAATTTGAACTAAACCACTTTGAAGGCTTGACTTTTTAAAATAAAAGTGCTAAGCATTTACCGTCAAGGAACTGGAACCTTCTTAGACGTGTCTATTGGAGTGTTTTTTAAATTGTTACCATTTCCAAAATATGATCTGCAGGGTGAATAGAGTTCCACCGATCTCTGAATATTTTTCTTGTGCTGAAGTATTTGATAGTCCTTTTATGCAAATTGTCTAATAATTATTTCTATATAAGAAATATTTCAGTTTGCAGTACTGTGAGCAATCAGATTGGAAGAAGGACAAGCAAAAAATCAGAACATGTTTTGTTTACTTTTTAAGATGTGGGGGTTTTTTTGTTTTGTTTTGGGTTTTTTTTGCTTAGTTGCCTGAGATTATTTTTCTCTTTCAGAATGAACACAGTGATGGAGAAGATGATGGACAAATAGGAGAGCCTCATATGACAGACTCTGAAAATGAAGATATCCCAAGGCAAAAAGACAGTGACTCAGATAATGAGGAGCCTCCAAATCACAATGTAAGTGATTCAGACAATGAAGCAGCACATGGAGGGAAAGACAGTGATTCTGATACTGAGGACCATCCAAATCAGCATCTAAGTGACTCTGAGAATGAAGATGCCTTAAATCATCGAGCAAGTGACTCTGAAAATGGAGAACCTCACAGGGATCACAGTAGTGATTTTGAGAATGAGGAATCACACAAGCAGCCGGCCAGCGACTCAGAGAGTGAGGAGCTCCACAAGCAGCCGGCCAGCGACTCAGAGAGCGAGGAGCTCCACAAGCAGCCAGCCAGTGACTCAGAGAGTGAGGAGCTCCGCAAACAGCCGCCTAGCGACTCGGAGAGCGAGGATGTTTCCAGGCACAAACAAGAAATAGAGTCTGAGGATAGTGATGGGGAGGACAGAAAGGAGGAAGTGCAGAATGATTCTCATCATTCAGATAACGAACACATGAGGGAAGGATTTCAGGGCACTGACAGTGAAGAGGAAGCTCCTAAGAGACGAAAAATATCCGACAGTGATGAAGAGGAGAAAGAGGAGGAGAAGACAGTGAAGAGAAAACCAGCTATTCTTTCTGACAGTGAGGATGACAATGAGAAAACACGTAAGGAACTATCATGTGAAAATAAAAATGTGATGTGGCAAGCAGTAGTGTTAAATCATTGTTTTTATGCAAAGAAAGCATCCAAGATAAATATGAAACCATAAAGCAAATTTGGTTTTAGAGCACAACTGCATGTGTAGAGGCTATTGTTCTAACTGCATTTCTGTGTGAATGTGTATCTTTTTTGTTTATTTGGGTTTTTCTTTGTTTTTCAAATACTGGGGGTGAGAGTTTTGAAATACAAGTTTCTATGAATAGATGTGATATATGGAAACTTAATTTACTGATTGAATAAAACATTTTAGAATGGATATGTTTTTTAAGAAATGGCAGTGATTTTGCGTCGGCAGGCTAGTTGGATTTCCTCTTGTCCAAATCGAATTTGAGAGAATAGTTTTTTGAGAGTACCAGTTGTTACCTCTCTTACTAGGACGTGTAGTAATGCTCCTTTCTCTTGGCAGCTGCTAAAAAAGTACGAATTCTTTCTGATGTCGAAGAATCAGATAGTGATGCTGCTTCAGAGAAATCTGACAAAAGGAAGAAAAATATTGTATCAGACAGTGAGGAAGAAGAAGAAGAAAGTAAAGAAAATGCTGGGAAGAAAAAAGAAGAGAAAGATCTGTTTGGCAGCGACAGTGAATCTGGAAATGAACAAGAGTAAGTGCTTCTGGGAATATGAATTCCTTCAGGGTTGCAGATAGTGAGACTGATCATGAATGGAGAATGGATGAATCCCAACCAGAGAATGATTGTCCACCTTCATTGGTGGTGTGAAGAGGAAGGTCAGTAGCAGGTGGCAGAATGAAAGGTGGATTTCCACACAGTCATTAGAAATTTTGCAGAAAATGCACTTCTTACTGTTGCAGTCTAAATAGATAAGTGTTACTGTTACCTTCACAGGAACCTGATTGCAGATATATTTGGAGAATCCGGTGATGAGGAAGAAGAGGAATTTACAGTAAGTTGTATTGTGCATGTCTCTTGTTCACTTGCTAGAGCTGTTCTTCACGGGAAGCTACTCCAGAATGACTGCTTGGGTTTGAAGTCATGTTCAAGAATATGCTATATCAGGAGGGAAGCTTTGTAATCTGCTGGGACTCGCGGAGCTAGTCTTTGGGTTAAATCACATTCACAGCTCTTCTGTTGGGCGAGTTACTGGTGTGAAAGTCACAGGTGGAATTAAGAAGCCTTTGTTCCTTTTCTAGATCCTCTGCAGATTTAACTGAAGCTTTTCAAGTATCAGTGTCAGGTCCCTGAGTTAGATGCTCAGTCTTAATCCATATGCTGAATTGCATTGTTTTTACCTATCAGGGTTTTAACCAGGAAGATTTGGAGGAAGAGAAAGGTGATGCAGACATGAAGGAGACGGCAGATGAATCAGACTCTGATGATAACATCAAAAGAGGGAAGCAGTAAGTCAGTGTGTTACATACTCCTTTGTTAATAGCAAATTAAAGATCTTAGCGAAAGGGCTCCTCCAGAGACTGGCTAGACTTCTTAGTTCAGAAAAGCACGAGACTGTGTTTCTACAGAAAGTGTGTTCTCATAAACTATGACAGAAGGTCCTCTCTCAGCTTGTACAGTTTAGTCACTTGGCAGTCCAGAGCAGATTACCTGTGTTGCTGCTTCAGAGAACAGTATTGCATGGTTCACATCAAAACCTGAGTGAAATTAATATCTAATCAAACAAGCATCTAACTCTGCTTTTACCAGTTCAGCATTGGAAACACAGGTGTGTTTTTCTGCTGGTGTAAGGGATCAGGTATGGCAAGACTTGCCATCAGCGTGTCTCCTGTTTCCTTTCTGTCTGCTCCAGTAGCATCAGAGCAGTGTATTGCAGGTACAGGAAAGCTAAATCCTTGTCAGCTTCAGTGACAGCTTTAGCACAGTTTGAGCCCTGGGTATTGCATGTGTGCATGGTAGCTATTCCAGCGAGGGCGTGCACGCTTCTGAAGGCCTCTGAGCCATTGAAGCCTGTTGTTAGTTTCCCAGTTTGTATACTGAGGATAACTGGTTATCTTACAGGGACATTGAGACACAGTGCTTGGAGATATTTTGAAAGGTTATGCTATAGAAATAGAAAATAATTTCCTACAAAGACAGTAAGATCAAGCCTCTTCTGACCATTGGCAAACTCTCTTGCATTTCAGTATGGACTTCATGTCAGACTTTGACATGATGCTGCAACGAAAGAAGAGTATGAGTGGCAAGCGTAGACGAAACCGTGATGGTGGAACTTTTATTAGTGACGCAGATGATGTCGTCAGTGCTATGATTGTGAAGATGAATGAAGCTGCTGAGGTGAGTTTTTTGGGCTCTGAAGACACCTTAAAATCCAATTCTGTTCTGTGGGAACATCTTGCAATCAGTAAAATACAGAAATCTGGCTGGTACTCAGGAGGAGTAATATGTATGTTATGGAAAGCTGCCAATATCTCAATAACTGTTTAAATGTTATTTTGCTGTTCTGAATTAAAACTTTTATTCTGTTGAAATTTGGAGAAAGTATTTATTAATTTTAAAGGTTAAAATTAGTTAACTTGCTAAACTTTGATCAGCTCAGATCAGTTGTCCTATCAAAACGGATGTATACGTGTTCTATAAACTACATGAGTAAGCTTATCAAACACTGATAAAGGTACTATGTTTTAATTTCATTATAGAATTACTAGCATATGTAGTACTCTGGTGTTCGTTCCTGAGAAGAACCCTTTTCTTTTCTAAACTGTCTGGATGACAGTGCTGTGGTAAATGATGGTAGAGCAACAGAGTTAAGGGAAGTTCTGCCTTGGCCGACTGCCTGTTTCAAGGAGTCATGTTCAATAAGTTACTGTGCAAGACTTATTGGGGTCTTGCCTTTTGTCAGTTATCTTCTGCCTGTAGACTGTAATGGATATTTTTGATGTGGGAGCCTAAGTACTGAACAGATAGTGACATTATTGCCTTGTGTCTTGATCCACAAACAGTTCATAATTGCAATTGCGTCTCTTAACACGTTGGCTGGTAGTCGCTTCGAAACAGAGACACTGTTTTAGCACACGATGCACATTTGTGTGCTCTTATGTTACTTGCTTCATCCTAAACCTCTAGGTTATCCAGTTACATTCTTAGCTGAAGTGAATGTACATTTTTTTCACATCCCATTGTTTTGATGAGCTATTTTTCTGATGTTCAGGCGAGATTTTAATTGTCAAAGTTTCTAGGTTATCTCTGCATAGAAGTTATCTAGGTAATCTGTGCATGGAGGACTCTGCAAACCTCCAGTTCATTGCAGTCAACCTAAGTCATTAAATTAGGAGAAAACCCCAGGATGTTAGGGGAAATCTGATAATGTGATGCTTTTAAGGACAATGTTGACTAAGGTGGGGACCTTTTTTAAGAGAAGTCATCGTATAATGTGTTTTGGGGCTGTAGAAGGATGGATCAGGGTATAAAGTTAGCGTAATCCTGTCAAAGTTGCGCTTCTCATTTAATAGACTAATCTTTTTCCTGTAAACGTTACAAAGGATGAGAGTTGCTGATTTCTTCTTTTAACTTCTGCTGATTCTTCAACTCCCTACAGGAGGATCGACAGCTGAATACACAAAAGAAACCAGCACTAAAGAAATTAACTTTGCTTCCAACTGTAGTTATGCATCTTAAAAAGTGAGTTGTCATTCTTGCAGTTAATGATCTTGGGGAATATTGGGAATTCGGTATATTTCATGGAGTGACATTGTGGTTGTACTGAGTATGCAGTGAAACACTTCTTTCAAGTAAATGCTTGAGTTAGGTGGCCTCAAAACTGTAAAATTCTATGTAATTTTACCTGTTAAATTAACATGAAACAAACTCAAATACACTATTGTGCTGAAGGAAAATTACATCTTAAGATTTTGATGTATTTATATGACTTTGTGGCTTTTCTTTACTTTAAACTTTCTAGGCAAGACCTGAAAGAAACTTTCATTGATAGTGGTGTTATGTCTGCTATCAAAGAGTGGCTTTCTCCTCTTCCAGACCGAAGTCTGCCAGCACTAAAGATACGAGAGGAGCTTCTGAAGATCCTGCAAGAGGTTTGAAACTCACTTTTAACCATATTTGAGTTGTGGCTTCGCCGTGGTTTTACGATAATGTATTGTAGCTGCTACCAATGGACTGTGCAGTGAAATACACAAGGAAGCAAACTGCTAAATAGATGTGTTTGTTTAAAAGTTGCATCATTTTAACGAGTCTTTATGTTGTGGATGTGCTGTCTAGCTGAACAAAATTTGTCAAGGGAACTTCAGGCACTTAATTGTTACAAAAATTTTGCCCATGCTCACAAGAAAGCAATTGGCTCTACTAGCAGCAGGCCAGAAGACATTTCTGAGAGTTTCAGGTGAACAAGATGTGAAGTTCTCTACGCTCTCACAGGGAGTTGAGTGCTATGGCATTTTTAGAGTCTTGATAAATCAAAACTGCTTAGTCACTTACCTTCCTTCATTCTCAGTGGCTCACATGTTGTGCTTGGTCACTTTAATTTGTCTTTGCTGTGTTCATAAAAGAAGCATAGCACAGTTGATACTGAAGTAGAAGTCTTTTTTCTCTTGCAGCACAACTAGCTGGCTTCGACTGAAGTGCTAGAACTATTTCTCCTTGCTAAGAATTGGCAAGAGTTCTGCCTGAATTTAGATTATTTAGCCCTGCATGCCTGTTTCAGGTTAATGCACAGGGTTTAGTGAAGAGTCATTTGCTGTGTATCCCAGAGTTTTTCTTTTCTCATTGTCCCTTCTCTTTTCTTGCCTGTTAAAGTGTGTAGCGCACTAGAGAGCCCATTGTACTCGGTGTAGGCTTTCAGTGTTTGTAGGTCAGCTGATAGATTGAGTGCTTTTGCCACATAAGTTCTTATCTTTATAAAATGATTGCTTTGAAGACGGTAACTCAGTTTTTGGGTAATATAAGCAAACGAGCATTTGGAGTAAATAGTCTGGAAACTTATTTAATTTGTGTATAAAACCCAAGAATGTTAAGGCAAATTTCTAGGTTTTGGTGTTTGATATTTTAACTAATTCCCAGTGGGACAATGAAAAATGCTAATTCTTTCAAGCTTATTGTGAAGGTGGGTTTTGGCTTTTTTTTACAAAGTTCAATGACACTGTTAATGTTCAGACATCAGTTCTTGCTGCTTTCTGACGTTTCCTTTACCCTGCAGCTGCCCAGTGTGAGCCAAGAGACCCTGAAGCACAGTGGCATTGGACGAGCTGTGATGTACCTCTACAAACACCCCAAAGAGTCAAGACCTAACAAGGATATGGCAGGGAAACTAATCAGTATGTAAACCTCCCATTGCTTTGCGTCAGTGAGATTTCACTGATAATTTAACTTCTGCAGCAGTCTTTCTGTTGCATGTTTTTTGCTATTGTCTGCAGTAGAATTAATTCTGCAATGTAGGAATCTCGCTAATCAGTTTCATCGCTTTGTTTGTAGAGCTCTTAAATGCTGTTACATTAACTTCTGCATGCACCTTTTCCTGTTTCTTTCATTCTTGTTTTAAACCAGAGGATGGCATTTATTTTGCCCAGATTCTCTCTTGGCTAGTTGTCCAGACCGCATGTACGTGCTGCGAAGGCAGGAAGGTGCTGCCAGAAGACTGTTTATTCCACAGACTGTAGAGCAATCCTGGGTGACTTGAAAGTTTCCTTCTTAAACAGGTGTAGCCCATGTGTAGTGTATTCCATCCTGAGTGACTGCAAACTGATTATAAACTTACATTCTTTAGGAAGTAATTCTACATGTTTCTAAAATAGCATTCACTGTGGCATGCAGGAGTTTCTCACACTAAGTATTCCGAGAGCTCAGATTGATTCTAAAAGAGCAGGCAACAGCAAGAGACTTTATGGATGAAAGTTTTTTCTTACTGTCCAAGAGGCTGGATTTCACTGAAATATTATTGGCTCAAAAATCATTTGTTTGGTTGAAAGGAAGTGTAAATACTTGCCATACACTTTGAAAGCTGTATTTCATCACCAGAGTGGTTTAGAGAGAAACTTCAGAGGCCTAGTGTTTAACCCTTTTTATTTTTTTTTTAATAGATGAATGGTCTCGACCCATATTTGGCCTTACCTCAAACTACAAAGGCATGACAAGAGAAGAGAGGGAACAGAGAGATTTGGAACAGATGCCTCAGCGAAGGAGATTGAGCAGGTAGGAGTAGCAGGCAGAAATGTGAAATCCTTCTTTCTTTGAGACTCCATCAAGAAAAACAAAGTGGTGTGTAAATATTAAAGGAAATAAAAGGATAATAAGTTATGACCTCTATCCTTTCCCCACACTTGACTGTCTTTTAAAATTACTACCTTTATCTGTGTATAGATGCCTATAAAATTTTATATTTTCTTGCAGCTCTGGTGGTCAGACTCCCCGCAGGGACTTGGAGAAAGTGTTAACTGGAGAGGAAAAGTAGGTTGTATTATTTTTTAAAATTTTGATTAGAAAAAAAGATTTCAATGGTACTAGTCATAAACAATTTGTTTCGAGGTTCTAGGGGCAGTGATGATGCCGCGTGTTTCAGAGGTGGAACATGCTATATTGCTTGTACTTCTTTCTGTGTAAGATTTGTCTCTACCAGTCACATCTTCTTTTCTGCAGGGCTCTTAGGCCCGGAGACCCCGGGTTCTGTGCCCGTGCAAGGGTGCCCATGCCCTCCAACAAGGACTATGTGGTCAGGCCAAAGTGGAATGTGGAGATGGAGTCCTCCAGGGTAAGCACTGGCACTCTCCTAGTGACTCTGCACCTAAGCTGTCTCTGATTAAGCCTGGGAATCTGTCACCTTGTTGTCATGGTTACTGTACAATACAGTAGTTCCTTTAAGTGACTCTTCTAATTTGAGTAGACAGTAAGTTCTGCTATCAAATGGGCTGCTTTAAGCTCATGAAATACTTTCACTCGGGTATCATTGCTTCTCTAACCAAAAAGATTTTTTTGTTAATTGTTCTAGAGTTTCTCTCTAGGGTGAGAATCTGATTACAGGCCTCTTGTTTTAGAGCATTTTGAGCTAAAGCTGCAATTCAATAAGTGTGTCAGTGATATTTTTATACCTCTCCCAGTTTTTGTGTCATGTTTTTCTGATAATACTCCAGTTTGGGAAAACTTTGAGGTTTTGGTAAACATTAACACCTTCAGTAGAGCTTTTGCCTTGCTTTATTTGGTTCATCCATCTACCTTGTACAGTCCAATTTAAAAGCAGAGTACATGGTAGAACACTTGTAAATGGGAGAAGTAATAATTACTGTGCTTTCTGCTGTTATCTCTCCTTCTGTGCATTAATTGAGATATTGTTTCTAGCCCGGGACTATTAAGAGAGGTATTAGTCGCTTGGAAAAACACAAGAGACGGTTTGCTGAACAGAAACGACTCAGCAAAGTGCATCGGGCCATCAAGTTCAGCATTGAAGGCAACAGGATGCCCCTGTAGCCATGACACTGCCTTCCCCAAGTTTGAGAGGTATCCCTCAAGGGAGGTGTGAACAGTGCATGTGCTTCAGTTGTTGGCAGTTTGCACATACAGGAAAGGAGTGTGTACACCCTAAAACTCTCCTCATTCTCTCATGTCTGTACTGTGACCTAAAAGGTAACTTGTACAGGATACCTGCCTCGACAGCTCCAGGGCACCCAAATGACAGGTGTTACATGGAAATACCTGTACTCAGAAATAGCTTTGCACCACCTGTGGTTTTGAATGCTGTCCTGACATAATTAGGTTCTCCAGGTTTACCTGCACTGGCACACAGGAATTCTTAGCCCTTAGTATAGGACCTCATGTCACTGTGTACCAACATCTGTGGCTGATGTTTCTTTGGTACAAAGTAAAGTATTTTTCACACCTGCTCTTTCAAGGAAGTCGAGTCGTGTGAAACTAGGGGTGGCTGACAGGAGGCAGGGAGTGAGACCTCTTCTGCCGAGTAGGGGGAGAAGAATCCCCTGCTGTGACTGGGGGTGGAGGGAGATCGATTGACAACGTACATACATCAGCGCGGGAGTTGTTTTGATAATTTCTAGTCTGCATTTCAGTTCTGTGAGCAAGGCTGCCATGAACTTAACACTGACAGGAAGAGGCGAGCACAAATGGTAGATGACTGTTGAGTTTAAGCTTCATATCTAATAAGTAAAAAAACTATATAATTTAAATCACTGTGAAACTCCAGATACAATTTCAGCGAATAGTGAACAGTTTTATGAATAAAGTTTATTTAAAATCAGTGTGTCAGGAGCGCCTTCCCCAGTGATGGGAACAAGAGGTTCAGTTTCTAAGAGATGTTTTTTGTCAGATACGAAGTAGCGTGTTCTGGAAATCTGTCGTTTCTCCCAAACTTAAAAGATGTCAAGTTTCTGTCGTTTAATGTTCCTGTTGTCTAGTTAGGGGAAATTGCTTTCTAGGAAGTAATGGCTATGGATTGGGAGGTCCTTGCTGTTTGTCTTCAGTGACATTTCTTTACAGAAACACTGTATTTAATCTGTCCAAAATAACTGCTGCATCATCTCAGTTTTTCATTTGCAGTTAAAACACAGAGGCAAAATTCAATAACTCTTCTAATAACTTGTATGGTCAGCTGAGGCATTTCTTTTTCTTCCCCCTTCACCCTCTTTTTCCCAATAATCTCTTGCTTTATAACCACTAATCAGTGACCTTTAAAATAAATTGCGGTTTGGAATCGATGTGTTAACTCAGTCTGCCTCAATTACAGTGTGTGCATATCTGAAAGGCTTCCCCCCGGGAAGCCAGTATGTATGACACTAACCTCCAGACACTATAGACACACAAACGTGTTACACCAAACCGTATATTCAGATGGCATGTGAACAACTAACAAACTAACACGGGTTTTAATCCCTGTGATGTGTAAGCTTTACTGTGTGATGTTTGTGAGTGTGATGACCTCCATATATGCGATGCATATATTGGGGGAACCGTTTTCTCCACTTTGCGGGGAGTGAATGCACACCTGCGCGCACACACGCAGACTCTTGGAACTAGTGGCTTTATCAGCTCCCTCCTGCAGGTTTAACCTTGCATGCATCGCTCTTCTTAAACCTCTGGGACGTCTGCTTTTTTTCAGTGGTAATTATTAGTTTTATTTTTTAAGTTCCAGGGGACCTCTAAGAAAGGGGTGAGTCGACTGGACAAACAGATGCGGAAATTCACAGATATCAGGAAAAAAAGCAGATCGGCCCATGCAGTGAAAATCAGCATTGAGGGCAATAAGATGCCATTGTGACCCTTCACAGAATATCCCATGATCTCTGCTGTAAGACAATACACCCATAGACTCTTTGGAGACCTTTAAATTTTTTAACAACTCGTTCGGGGTTTTTTAGTGAATCTTTTAAATTGTTGGTTCAGGTTCTGGTATAAGATGTTGTCCAAGGACTGTGAATATGGGGACTTCTTTCTCCTGATTGTATTTAAACTTGCTCTATTGTGTCCTTTGTACAGATCACGTATTTGTTGTATTGCAACACTTTAGACAATAAAACATCTTCTCTTTTTTCGGGGGGCTGTCTGTTGATTGCTTGAGAGGATGTATGTGCAGATCATGTGGGAAAGCTGCCAATTGTTAATTTTCTGTTTACCATTGTCCATTTCATCTTTAGTCAGTGCTTTATTAATCAATTGTTCCAGCTTTGGAGGTCTACATGTATTGGTTTTGTTTAGAAATAATGACCATCTTCTACTGAAAGGATTTAATTTTTCATGAAAGCATGATGTAAAGTTCAAGAGAAGACCAGCAGACCAACCACTGTTCTAGTGGCTTCCAGCTAAAATGCTTGATGAGACAGCGGCGTTTCACTACTGATCCTCCGTGTGACCGGCACAGCCTTCAGCAGTGACTGCTGTGGAGAACAAAGGGCTGCAGCTGATGGGGTTTTCTGTGACATGTGGTAGAATAGATTATTTTTAAAATAAGCCAGACTATGGAGTGGAGGTCAGTGAGATTGCTTGAGCAGACTGAGTATCGGCTTGCTGGACACTTCTTTTTGAGCGCTCTATGCAGCGCTTGGATTGGCTGTGGGGAGCCTTTGCTGCAGGGCTTGATACTGCTGTGACTTCGTTTTGTAGAGTTGAAAGCCATGTAAATTGTTCTGTTTTGTGCTTTGGTATTTGGGTAGCTCAAATGCCTGTTGCTCTGCAGCCCCCTAGTGACTTTCTGAAAGGTTTATTTTACCTAACACAGAGAAGGTTCCTATCTCTGTGTTAAGGGCATAATGCTGCTATTTCTTTATCCCGAGTGCTACAGAAAAGACAGCAGAGCAACATTTTGTACCTCTGCTGCTTTACCTCTGCCTTTGAAAACGTTTTGGTCTGCTGAGCTTGCCTACGAGAAGAGGACTCTCCTCCTCACATGGATAACTGGCGGCTGGGATTTCGGTAAGAAAGGCGCCTTCGTTCCAGAGGAGCACAGCCTGTTTCCTGCAAGGTGTGTGCTGCAATTCCGTGAGTTCTTTGCTGTAGGGATCTTGGTGTCGGCCGACTCGGAGGCGCTTAGTACCTCTGGAGCCTGCTGGCACTGGTAACGGAGAGCATGCGAGCCTGCGAACGGACACATAAATACGCTCCTGGGAGACTGAAGGGGACTGCCAATAAAAGCAAGCTGTGCGATGGAACGCGAACTTGAAGCACAAACTGAAGGAGGATGCCTGCACTGGACTTGCTGAAGGAATTCTGCTCGTGAGACAACAACTTCACCTACTCTTGCCAGGTAGGTTTACAGCACAGTAACTGTCCATGGGCGGGGTGTGTTTAGCATGCTGAGAGTTTCAGGGGCTTGGGGTTGTTTTCCCATTTTTAATTAAGAATTTATTGAAAGATGGGGAATACCTTATACTTACTTTATTGGCAGGTGCAACTGTGAAAAATAAGTGAACAGTGTAGGGCTGTTCATACCCAGGTTCTGCCTGGCCCTGAAGGTCTCTGGGTTAGGATGGGCTTTTTTAGCTTCCTTCCCCCTCCCAAAGCTTTTTTTTTGTAGTTCTGGTACTGCAGCCATGGGGGACTGTGGGCTACTTTTAAATACTAAGAGATATGTCCTTAAATTACTGACCCTGGTGGTCTTGTGCAGTCCTAATACAGGTTCTTGCCATCAAAATTAATCATACTAGCTTGGTGTCACGTGTTCTCTGAGGCAAACAAAAAGGTTCTATTTCTTGTGGAATGGTAGTAATGGACTTCATCAGGCGCTGAACAAAGCTGAGGAAGAGAACCACTCAGCAGTGTGGGTACTGTTGTTATTTTAAACTTCATGGTGAATTGTCACAAAATCAAAATGACTTCTCGCATGGGTCACAAAGACACCTATTAATTGCAGCAGAAAGAAGCAGCAGAGAGGGGTGTTTCTACAACTGAAAGGGGATAATTAGTTGGGGGCGATATGCTTGCCTGCAGGTATCTTACTTCACCTGCGTTTTTGGCATCATACACTACTTTTAAATATGTGGAACATCATAGGATGTGTAGGGAAATCAGCCTCTTGGAGGGCTAGGTACACAGGATCAATCTTTTGTTTTAGGGTGATGATAGAGAAGTTGTCTCTTGCTGGGGTTGTATAGTATTTTTTTTTTCCCCACCATGTGTGATCACAAGTATCTCATGGCTGAATTGCTGGTTTTCATCAAATACTGGGAGAGGTAAATTATGTACGTGAGGAGGTGGGGGTGTCTTCAGAATAAAGAAAAGGGCTTTTTTGTTTTTGGAAAAAGTGTGATAAATGGACAGTTCTGTTGTTTGCTACTTCTGCAGCTCCAGTTTTGTAGTTTGGCTTGAGTGAAACTCTGCCCAGAGCGGGCTGGGGTGGCGGGGGCCTGGGGCCCAGCTCCCTGCCTCTCCTCACCAGCTGCTGGAGCCACGCTGTGCTGCAAGCAGGGCTGCCTGCTGAGGCGCAGGAGATGCCGTTTCCTCACAGCTCCCAGAGCTCACCCCCAGCCCCCAATAAATAATGTATTTCTTTCAGAATTCTCCCATACAATCCTTTCATGTTCCTGTGTCTGCAGCTGGGTCTGTCCCTCAGTATCCAGTGCTGTTGGTAATACATGATTCTGTACAGATGTTTTTGTATCAGAAAATATTTGCATTTTAGTAAACAAAATTGTATTTGAGGTAGCAGGGGTACTTGGTGACAGATTCTCAGATCCCTCTCTGCTGTGTTCAGCACCATGTGTCATAACTAGAGGACAGACACCACTACCAGCAAAGCCCGCCCTTTTCTGAGCAAGGGATTTGCACAGAGGAGTATTGGCCTGTTCCTGATAGGCATGTAGGCCTGAGAAAAGGAAAGCTTTTTCTTTCTCCAAAACAAAGCATTTCTGATAGGAATTTGCATTAAGAGAAGTTGTAGTTGTCTCCTTTGCTAGTTGCAGAATAGTTCTTTATTATACACAGGTATTTTACTCAGTAATCCTTGCATGAATATTTTAACCACTTACGGTAAGCAGAGACTTAGAATTTCTTTGACAAGAATCTTGATTTTACATCATTAAAGACAGGAACTGCACAGTGTCTTTCGACTGAAATACTCTGTAGCAATAGTAGTGTCCCTGCCTTTAAAGATGGCATTAAGAAAAGTTAATGGAAAAGTCTTCTGAATCTGTCACGCTTTCAACCACCTCTTTAATCCAGGGGATGTAGTTGGATACTCTCGTATAAACACCGTACTTTCCTCTTTCAGCGCAGCCCTCGCCCCAGCTTACGATCCCCAGGAGAAACCAAGTGTTGTGGTAAGACACAGTGAAAGGGCCCCCGCTGTCCCCTTTGCAGGCGTCGGCAGCCTCGGTGCTGTAACCTGCGCAGAACATGTTGTCGGTGACGAGCCTGGCGGTGGAGCGCTGGCAGGTCTCCCTCTGCACGAGGGGCAGCTGGACTTTCATCAGGAAGCGCAGAGTCGAACCTCGGCCGTGAGTGGCACCCCACCCGCTCACCATCCCTGTTCTTCCTTCTTCGGAGAGCAGGGTGGCAAGGCTGGGGCTTGGGAGGCAGATGGGAAGGGCGTACTCGTTAAAAATAACATCACTGCTCAGGTACAGCAAGGCGATGTCACTGTTGTAGTAATTGGAATCATAATGGGGATGTGTCCAGGTCCGTTCCACGTCAATCTTCTGTTCTTTGAATTCTCTCTGGTATTTGTCGAAGTCTCCTGCATTCATGACAAGTTGAAATGTTAAGCAAACTCTTAAGAGCCTGGAGGGTACGGTCGGGGGGGAAGAGAAAGGACAGAGAATTAATGCTCTGACCTTTCGTCCCCAGAAGGCACAGACCGAAACGCAGCATGCTCTGTAGCAATAATTCCTTATGAATCAGATACAATCCTGCAGATCAAGCCCACCCCTTTGCCCTTCAACAGCAAAACAAGTTGTTGGCTGGGTGAATACAGAGATTGTGGCTTTGGGGGTAGGGATTTTTACTATAAGCAGGTATTGTGTCTTGAAGGCTTTGTCTAAGATCCTGTGGGCCTTTATGCTTTCCCCCTCAGGAACATGACAGGAGCATCAAGACGCAGCCGTGGATAAGGCTGAAGAATTGTTCCCTGTCAGTTAGCCAGTGCTGGGTTCACTTTGCTTCTCTTGCCTCTATCTCTTTGGGAAGTTTCAAGCCCAAGACTGTGTTTATTGCAGTGTTCCTGTTGCATGGGGTTCCCGTTCCTGCTGTTGTAACCAGTGCTGTAGTGTGTTACCTGGCAGTGAGAAGCAGGCAGTGCAGCAGGAAACTAATCGTGGGGCCAATTAAAAACCAAAACTGACTTGAGAGCAGACCATGACCTCCAGGAACCCTCCTTCCTTTTGAGGTGTAGTACCCTGAGTTGTGCTCAGTCTCCGTGCACAAAGAGTTTGCCAAAATGGGTGACAGAAAAAGAGAAATCTCTGCCTTGCACTCACGCCCAGGTTAGCCATGGAAACAAAAGAGCAGCTGGAGCCCCTTTGCCATGAAAATGAAGCGTTTGGTAACCCCACATCTGTTTCTCAGCCACACCTCCCTGTGTTGGTGCACAATGCAACGCGGGCTTTAAGGAGGCGCGTACAGCGTGTTCGTACAGCCGGTACTCACCGACGGTCACGTGGTGCGGTCTGACGAGATCGAAGCAGTGAGCAGCAGTGACCACCCAGCGACTGCTGATTAAACTCCCTCCACAGAAACCCACATCTCTACTATTCCGGATCAAAACCTGGATGAAAGCAGCGGAGAAGGGAAGGTGGTGCCGGGGCTGTGCTGGGTACACAGCACCCTGGCAGGCTCTGGGTCTTGAAAATAATGCTTCTGGCAGTAATGACTACAGCCTGACAAGCAAAGAAAAACTCCATTAATGCCTCAGCATCTCTTAATTAAACTCCTCCCTGAACCTGTTACTCCATGAAACTGAAGGAAAAGCTTAAATTTTTATACTGTGCAGTTTCAGTGAAACTGATAATCAAATAGTGGAAAAAGCTGCGACAGTCTGGCCCCCTAGCTTGGGCTCATTCCTGGAGTAACATCACGTTTTACATAGAAGCCCTTCTGACTTCATTCTATGTACTGTTGATGCTGTTGGTTCTGTTCAGTAGTACTAGAACAAAGCATTGAAAATTAGCAAAGAAAAATTATCTGAAAATTCCATCTCTGTTTATGAAGAACTATAAAGGGTTTGCAAAGTCCTTTTTTAAAAAAAAAAAAATTTCATATATATATATAAAGTAAAAGATTCAATTACAAATCGCCTGATGGAATGAAAATTTAAAACTTCCTGGACGGTAACAATTTCAAGAAGAAAGTATAGATGTTAGGCAGCATTCAGGCCACATTTCCTTCTCCCAACCCAAAATCCAGTCTCACTTGCTGGGAAGGGAGGCAGCTGGGGTTGCTCCTGGAGGTGTGTGAGGTGGCAGAAAGCTACAGACCTTACTAGCAGTGACATTTCAGCTTGCAGATGTGCACAATGACTGAAGGGTCCACCCAGGTTCAGCCTATTTTTCCACCTGTAAAATACCTCCTGATGTGTGGAATGGGAAAATCTTTTCATGTGACAGCACTAAAACAGACCGGCAGTAACCTGAGTGTTTTAGATCACTCTTAACTCTATGCATGAGCCCATAAACAATTATAGTAAACTGATGAAATGGAGACAATATAAGTAAGTGAAAATTAGTAACAAATAAGGATACACCTCCCCCACCCAAAAGTCCCAAATCAAGATTAAAAACCCAAAATAAGATAGTGGAAATAGAAGCAACACTTCAGGGAGGTTCTACTACTTGCCACATGCCACTCGCCTTCACATTTGGGCCCTCAGTTTTATCTTCCTTACTGTAACAAGCAGGAAGAGCTCAGCATGCTAATGGAGAATCTCACTTGGCTGTAGAAAAATTTTTGTGAAAAATATCACCAGCCATTTTTCCAGCAGGAGTCAGAAACACAACTTTTCACCAAGAACATTAAGGAACAAAGACCCTGAATGACAGAGCAGGGGAAGAGCTGACTGATGTAGTTAAGAGAAAAAGTATGAAGCTGAGCTCACAGAAGCGCATCTATCTAGGATAGGGGGGAGAATCAAAAAGACCTGCAGGAGGTTTGCAGAATACATGTGGCTGGATTGCTCTAAACCTGAAAAAACCCTTTATAATGGCTTGATGAACTCTGCTCCAGACAGAACCAGCGGTGATAAAGGAGGCAGTTACGTGTGGTATTTATGGCCCGGCTGGCAGAAGTGTATTACCTGCCAGGGGCAATGTCCACGGTGACACAAAGTTCCTCCCGTTATCCTGGAGTCAGTGTGCTCTGAAGTAGAGCTGGCATTTGTCGGGACCAGCTGAGGCGTATCTGAAGCGTTTCCCCAGTCCCTGCTCTGCCCCAGCCCACCGTGCAGGGCCCGAATGGCCCCTGGCTGCTTCTGGCCAGCTCTCGCCCCGCTTTGGTTTTGCCCAGCAGCGTTTTCCACCACGTCCTGCCCGGCAGCAGGCGCCGTGCTCTCGTCGTGCCGCGCAGGGCCAGGGGTCGGCTCGCTCCCGGGCTTGCCCGGCCTGGCGGTGCCCTGCTGGGGGACACCCACCCCCGGCCCAGCAGCACCGTCCCTCAGCGGCTGCGGGGCCCCAGAGCCCACCAGTGTCTCGTTCCAGCCCGAGGCATCGCCTGCCACCTCCGTCTGGCCAGCGTCCCGCTCCGTGCCTGTGCTCTGCTCCAAGGCAGCCTTTGAGGTCTCATTTTCCCCAACAGCACCTTGCTGCAGCTTGGCCACCTCAGCCCCGTGCTCACGCAGTCCCCTCGGGAGCGTTTTCTGCCCCAGCTGCTCCAGAGTCTGCCTGGCTTTAATCAGGCCACACGGAAACCGCGCTGGAGGAAGGAAAGACAGAAAGATTTGCGTTCGGGGTGCACAGCGGCGTGTCAAACTCCAGTGCAAAAGCAGCACTTTTCCTGTCCAAGAATGGGCTTCAACCCTCCTGTACGAGCCCAGGAACAACTCTGGCATCTTGGTGTCAAACTCCACTTTTGCCACCCACCCCCATCGTCATCTGACCAGGGCGTGTGGAGCTAATGACCGAGAAACAGCACATGGCTGTGCCTTTGCTGACCCACAGCCACTCCAGGAGCAGCCTGCTGAGGGCTCTCCTCAGGACAGCGCTCCGCTTGTGACGGGACACCTTAAAACCCAAAGTTTTAAAGCCCCTTGTCACGTCCCTTCGCCTAACACCGTAGTTTTAGCTTTGTAACTCCATTAAGTTGATCTAAGCTTGTGCTGCTGTTAAAAGGAACAGACTGTACAGCTGCTCCTTCACCCAGTACGTGCTCACAGGGGCACTAGATTAGAAAACCTTAAAGTTGAAAATAAATAAACCAAGCACTAACAAATAAGGCAACTCTTTTCCATGCACTGAGTACAAGCTGCAGGAGCTACAGCGTGTGTAGCTCTTCTGCAACTAGCGAAAGGGAAAAGACAGTGCCTGCCAAGCTGCTCTCCACCTGCAGTAGCCCCACGCTTTACCTGCTTGCACGCATCTCTTCCCGTCCTCGTGCAGGGTGTAATCCTTTGCGCAGGAACATGCCACCTGAAAGGCGCTGCGGCTGTCCCGGCAGTACTGCCAGCACCCACCATTCTTATACCAGCATTCAAACTTCTCTGCAATGGAAACACACAGGCGTTCGCTCGCTTATCGCTGCGCGTGGACCCCTGCGCAGGGCGCAGCTTCTAGCACGGTTATTATATGAAAGGAAGCAGGGAAAAAATCTGCTGAAGTATCGCAGGGCAACAGAAGGAGGTACCTCTTACAGTTCCAGAAAACCACGCTGATCCATAGCAAACCAAACACGCCACCTTATGTCTATTGCTGTTCACCTATTTCTACCATTTTCTTATTTGCCAGCTTTGTCTCGAGGCCACAGCTGGGCTCTAAGGCCTTTCTGCCTGTAGGGCAGGGGCAAGAAAACACCTGGAAGAGTGAACACTTCTAAATGCATCCATTTTTGATCCGTGTGCACATCTTACCTTTTATATCATGACAGATTTAAAGATTGTGGTGGGGGCCAAGTCTGTAAGAAATTGGTGGGTTTTATACATTGTTATATTTTTTTAAAAAATCAGGTTTATTTGCCTCACTGTAAAAAGAAAAGGTTGACAAAAGCACTTGTGGGGATGGGGAAGTACTTATGATTCGTAAGTTTCCACATCAGTTTGGCTTTTGTTGTAATTTCATGCTTCAGCCATTTGCAAACTGGATACAGTATTTGAGAGGACCGAAAATCTGCAGCTTTTTTACTTTATCATATATTCATATATTACAACATACATAAAAGGGGTTTTTTGTTTACACTAAGCTTTGGCTAATCTGTTTGATGCCTTTACTCAATAAAATTAAAAAGAGAATAGAGCCTCACCATCCACGAACGCTCATCAGTGCAGGGACTGACGCCAGGAGATACTAGCCTAGTGATCAACAGAGGCAACTCCCCCACCCCTGCCGGGAGAAGACGGGAGGTGGCCCCGCGCCCTCGGGGCTCGCGCGGGTGAGCGCCTGAGCCCAGAACTGCAGCTGCCCCGTGACAGGAGGGGGTGCTGCCCTCGTCTCCCTCAGCACAGCCGAGCTGCAAGTAGCTATGGCCATTGTCACGACGTGGTTCCCTTCCTAGGCTGGTGTCACCACGGATAACCTCAGCGAGAAGCCTGTGCAAAGGTTCAGCTCAAGTATCCAAGAAGCAAATTCCAGCCTTGATCCTTCCTTCGCAAGGAATGTCAGTGTGCCCGTTCCTGTACTCACCTTTTTCACAGTTGTCGCCTCCAAATTTTGGAGGGCAGATGCAAAAGTAATTGTAGTGTCTTATTTTGCAGACTCCGCCGTTGTTACAGGGGTTGGTACTGCACGGATTTAAATCTAAGAAGAAGAAACAAGGCATAGTGTAATTCCGGGAATTAAGATAAGCCTGGCTTTAAACTGCCACATAATTCTTTGTATCCACAAGGGACACAAGAAACAGATTTTTTTAATAATTCCATTATTTACCTACTTTTGTAATTGAACCAGAACTCCATCTGCAAAAAGAAATCACAAGTGAGAAAAACATCAGTAAGTGGTCATACTGGTTACTGAAGATAGAATTTAGAAAACCATTTTTTTTAGGGTGCATGTAAATTAACACTTTGATTAGAACCGTGAAATACATTCTCAAAGCAGATCTCCTGATCATCACCATGCAGCTCACTTTCGTTTGCATCATGGGCCCGACACCGAGTGCACGAACTGGACCGTACTGGAATGAAAATTAAACTGAAAGCTGAGATCCATAAATGCTCCAGCCAGCGGCAGGTCTGTCTGTGGCACCAGCTTGGAGTGACACCCCCCTCCTCCCCGCAGCGTGGCAGCGCAGGGTCCTCGGCACCAGCTGCTCCACTCGGAGAAGCCATTTCTACTGCGCTGCGTGACCGGCTAAGGAAGACAGACATCACCTAAGCAACTTGGGTGAGATACAGGAGAAATCGGGCGCCTCTATTTACAACTGCAGTTCCAGCTCCTGCCGCAGCAGAAGGTCCCCACCAGAAGGCCGGCAGCCCCCTTCCCAGGTGGGTGCTCTCGGGCCCGGGGAGCCAGGTGCGCCCCCTCTGGATTTGGAACAAGCAAGTGGCCTCTGAAAATGTCAGAAACACGTTGCTGGGTTGAGGCTTTCACAGAAAAAGGTTTTGGATCCTTTTAAGGAATCGTGTTTCATGTTTACACAACAAACTGCGCTCTGGGTTAGAACGTGAGATCTCTCAGGTGCCACGAGTGACCCGTCCCGGCTGCCACCAAGCTGCCGAAGCCCCGGGCACACACCTGCCAGGGCCGTGCCGGGCGGCTCACCAAGGGTTACCTACAGCTCACTGTTAACCTTCCTCTAGCTTTCCCAACATAAAGTTTCTCACCGTTTTCTCCTGTGAATGGAAGATCTCCTTAGCCTCCTCAAATGAACACTTTTCCTCATTGCATTCTCTCTCCAAGCTCCCTGGACGAATCTCTTCTAGAAAATAGTTAGCACGTTTGTGGACTTTCAGCACCTCGTGCGCTTCATCTTTTTTCATAAACACTAGAAAAACAAAATTGAACAGTTGATACTAGAAGACAATAAACCGGCCCCATTACAGCCAGCCATGCATGCTTTCAGTTGAGTAAATAATATAAAGAAGGGGAGCAGGATTCTATGTAAACAGCCCAAAGGAAAATCGAATTAGTCTGTGTTCCAACAAAAGACACCAGTAGTTTAAGCTTTCTTTTAGGGGATCGAAAGACCCACCACTCAGACACTACTGAGGTTAGTGCAGAAATATTTTTTTATTCCACAAGACTCTCGAGTATTGTAGCTTCTTCTCTGGGGGCTGGTTGCATTTTTCTGCCTAACCTTCCTGATTCACAACAGTTATTAGCTGCCTGGCTGTGTGTGCATGGGGAAATAAAGCCGAAAGGAGCAGCTTGGTTTATAAGTGGTGTCAGCTTTGTTAGATACTCAGTACTGGAGAGCCAGTGCTTTCCAGGTAGCTGCTGTGGTCACAGGACAGACACTGCTCCGTGTCAGTTCTGCACTTACATTTAGTACAACTCAACTTTGTTTCACTAAGCTATCTGCTGTCCTCCTGCAATGTCTTAACGAGCTATTACTGTCAATAAATTAAGGGAGGAGTGGCCAGAAGAGGGACTATGGCAGTAAGGTCCTTCCCACACACCCCCCACTGCTCTGTAGCAAGTCTTTGCTAGGCACCTCTAGCTGAAGCACCGTGCTCCCAGGATTTTCCAGCCCGGATGCTCTGAAGGAAAACGAGGGCTCACTCAGCCCTCGTGGATGTACTGATACCACGTGCCGTCATTATGTAGAAAAAGATGGAGGTTTTTACCTGTTAAATCTACAGAAGTGCAACCCTATATCCAAACCCCATCCAAAAGATTGAGAAACTGCTGCTAAGAAATGTTTTAAGAAGAAAGGTCACTTTGTAATGCTGACAAAGCCCACTGAAATTCATACAGCAGTTCACTTAACAGCGCGCTGTTTTTCTAGTACCGGTTTGGTGTCCTAGACAAGTCAAATCCCTCTGACAAAGAAACTAGTTCTGGAAATGGACCATAAAGACACACATTTCTTTAGTTGCAGGATTGGTATCTACAGCTATGACTGAAATTGACTGAAATAGCTGAGAAAAGCTTTGGACAGATCCTCCTGTCTGGTAATGGGGAAACTGCCCTTCACCACCCCTCGAGTTCTGGGGTCGTCATTCAAGGATTTACCTATCGTAAGTAGGCACCCCACAGAGAGGATGTGCCCGTTGTAAAGCCTTCTGGTTTGCAGATACCACTTCCACTTCTGCTCTTCCTCCTCCGCAAGGACAGCCATAATGATTCGTGAGATCCTGCACATTCTCATGCCTGTTCTAAAGCTCTCCAAAGCCATTTCCAAACCTTGTGTACTTGTAGTAAAATCAACATGAAGTCCGAGAACACAAGTTGAACGTGCCCAATTTTAGCTTCCCAAATTGGAAAATTTGCCATGCAAAGATAATTCAGATTTTGAGTTCAATGTCACAAGGAGAGTACTTTTCAACAGGATAGTGGTCTAAGTAGCAAGCGAAGAAAGGCTGATTTCTCCTGGAAATATATACGTGAGTAGTTTTTCTCATGCATTTCAGGAACTACTTCTTCAACCCACAGGACTTTGTGCTCAGAAAAGGAACGTAATTTCATTTTAAACACCAGGACTGCCACAATAAGACAATTCGGTTAAAAATATAATTCAGAAACACCTACCTGAATATGAAAATGGACAGCTGCTGTTGATGGAACACATCAGTAGGAGAAACATCACAAGTGAGGAACTCTCCTCCATTTGAGCGAGCACTTAGAATACTCTGACTTCCCGATGATTTCCTTTGGAGGGAAAAGAAGAATGAAATTGCTATACTGTCATAAAACCAAGGGTGAATTAGCCTGCAAAAAAGGTAAGTAGGAGGAAAAGGACAAGACAAGGTACAGAGGAAGCAAATTCTATCGAGTTCATTTTGACCTGGTGTCCGTTGTTTCTCCAAGCCGCGCTGATGCTGCGCGTGACAACGCGAATCCCAGCAGTTCGCAAGGCAACGTGCAGAGACGGGTCCCGCCCGGGATGTGGTGCAGGGCCTGATCCAAAGCCTACGGAAGCAACAGAAAAGCTACGGTGGAGATGGGAGGCGTGATCCGGCCCAGACTGAGCCGCAGCCAGTGCCAGCGACAGCCTTGCCTGCGGCGCGAAGGATGGCAGGCTGAGGCCGAGCTGCGCGGCAGCCGGGGCGCCCAGCGACGGCAGCTGCTGCGAAACCACCCCCGGCCGTGTCAAGTGAAGCCATGCACACAAACCCCAGCGAGGAAACCATCCGCCACGTACCTGGCAGTAACGGCTACAAGACAGAAGTTTGTGCTTCTTCAGATTGCCTTCCCAGGATAAATAATTTACCAGGATTCAACAGGACATACCTCTTTGTTTTTCGCCAAAACACAGGATCCGGAATGCATTCACTTTACCCAGAACCATGCAAGTATACTCACTTTTTTCTTTTCTTTATTTTTTTAGGGGAAGACAGGAGAGAAATTTGGATGTACACCAGGAACAGCCATGAGGTCAAGCGGTTGATCATTAACCAGTCACAAATATTGACAGAGGAGAGACAACCTTCTGGATTCTATGAAACACATCTGAAATCCAAAATCAGAGGAAAACTGTGTGTGTGTTTCCACACACATACATGTGTGCATTAAAAAAAAAAAAAAAAAAAAAAAAAGAAAAAGACCTTAAAAACATCCTCCAACAATACAAGCTACTTCTTCGCAACAAATTTCCTCAGGAAAATCTGGATTTTTTAAGAGAAGATTTCTGACGCTCCATCTTTCAGTAGGTAAGGCCAACTGATCTGGAAAATACACAGGCTGCTCTGTAAACATCTGTTGAAATACGCAGAGCTGTCAGTGTGTAGGAGGATTCACAGCAGTCACCTGCAGGAAGGCAAATACTGCCCTGTAATAGTCACAGCTATTCACTGACACTATGATTTCTGCCTTTAATTACACCCATGCTTTATTGGCTTTGAACACAATAGTGTTTTCCCTTGCAATTCAATGACTAGCCATGTCAGCCTTCTCAGCAGCACGTATTCTTGGGGCAGGCCCTGGCTGGGAGGCTGCTGTTCAAAGCATTAGCCTTTAACATTCACTGATCCTTAAATCCAGTCCCAAATAAAAAAGGGAAAGGGAAAAAAAGGAAAAAGAGATAGACACAGTGACACAGGGAGATGGCTGGCTGTACTCTTCAGCTTACCTCCCACATGAAGTCCTTAGCCTGCCTGTTGCTTTTTTAATGCAGGAATCAACTTCAGCACTTGCTTAATAAGCATGTAAACAGCCTGTAAGTCAACAAGACTAAGTCCACAAGTTTAAGAGGTATTAAACCTCTTTGCTGACACCCTATTACATTCCTTACAGATCCTAATATAATTTTGTTGTAGCTGAGGTTTTTTTGGTTTAACAATCTCATCACAAGAACAGGCTGAAGTTCTTCACTGACCCAAATCCTGATTGAGATGTTGGAGGCGTGTATCACTGCGGCACAGTTTGTTTCACTTTTTTTTTTTTTTCTACAAGATTAATTGTATTTAGGAGGCTTAAGTGCTAAGATTAAAAACAAGTATAAATTGTGGTATTAAACTTCATTTTGACTTCCTATGAACTTACTGGTGCTATGTATATTTTATTTACTGATATACACACAGACAGACAGATAAGATGCAAACACGCACACATACATTTATCAGTAAGTATGAGTAATGCTAATATAGCCTGCAGCTGATTGCATTCACTAGAAGAGGACTGAACAAAAGTGTTTGTGTAGCTTGCTAATTAGAAGACACTTACAAACCTCAGGATAAATAGAGCATGCAAAATCTTAGAATTAAACCTCTTTTTAATAACAGCAGAATTCCCATTGACTTTTAAGGAAGTGTGTGTGGGGGGTGTGTTAAATCAGGCATTGCACGTTCAAAGAATAGAAAATACAGAGAAGTTCTAGTGAACTACTGACCTGCTGAATCAACTTCATGTGTGAGCACTGGAGCAAGACGTGAATGAGTGGAGGCAGTGATGATGCTATTAAAATTTCATTGTGTTGAAAGAAAAAATATACAGAGTAAACCAAAACTGTTCCTGTGCATAATATGGTAAGAGTAAAGCTGGCATGACAGAACCGTATCACTACAGTAATTGCTAAAACACTTTGTCACCTCCTGCCCCTCACCCAAACCAAGTCAGTCATTTTACACTTCAAAGACAGAGTCATCTGACCACAGACCATCTTACCTTCTACAACACTGTCCAGCATCTCGGTGTAACAGGGTATTATTGCCTGTAAGGCCTAAGTAGGAGCGTGCTATTAACAAACAAAATAACCTGGAAACTAGCCAATGTAAACAATGTAAAAAAGAAAGAAAAAAAGAAGTAAAAAAAATAACCAAGGAAAACAGTACACAAGCTTAACACATACTCAATATTTAATACTGAAGGTCTGACAGCACATTACACTGCATACTGTCACTAGCACATAGCCACAATATTCCAGACTCTCGGGATCAGAATCAACCCTTCCGAGAAGCAGCCATTTCATTTATGTGGTGCTGGATCCACTCAAGATACTGACTAACTTTGGTGTAGACTCCAAATTTCTCCTTTCTCCCACAGCCTTCGCCCCAGCTCACCAGTCCTACCAAAAACCAAGTATCTTTATATTTAGTGATCATAGGGCCTCCACTGTCCCCACTGCAGGAATCTTTTTTGTCCCCTAAGCTGCCAGCACACAGCATGTTGTCAGAGATAGCAGATCTCATCGCCTGAGCACACTCGTTCCGGGGAACCATGGGGATTTGAATATAACTGAGGAAAGTAGAATAATTGCTGTTGACATCACTTGTGCTGCCCCAGCCCGTTACCACCATCTGCCTCCCACTTCTTGTCAGCTCCTGCTCCGCCAGGTCACGAGTGGGAAGGCAGATAGGAAGCGCGTACTTGTTGTACATCACGGGCTCAGCCAGGTGCAGCATGGCTATATCATTATCGGAGGTCTCCTTGGTGTAATTTTCGTGGCTCACACATTTATCAACCCAAATGGTTTGCTCATCTGCCTCGATACGGAGACGGTGGAATTTACCTGGAGGAGCAAACAAGAAGATGACAGATGCTACCGAATCTTCCTTCACCTCGAACACCAAGGCATCCGGATTACACTGCGCTTTAGCACTGTACTTCACGTTTCTATTTCCCTTGCAATATAGCTATTTGTCCATTTTATGGTATAGGTTAACAGCATTCTTACTAGACGGACAAATCTGTAAGCTTTCCATATTTACCTAACTCAGGAATACATACAGTACTAAACAAATTAGTATCCTAGAGGTATGGTCGTCAGTTGAGAAACTGAAATGCCTGTGTATTGCCTTGTTGTGTTGATATTACAGTACACCCGTGCAACTTGAAAGATCTTCTTCAGGAGGAAAACAATCTTCTTGGAGTCAGCACTAAAAGCTGGGAGAGCAAGCACACAGCAGAGCAAAACACAACAGTCCATGAGCTTTGTGGTGTATAATCGGTGTCCGACTGACTGAACTTCAGGATTTGTAAGACAAAGGTAAGGCTATTCCTTTCTGAAATCTTGCATTGGTATTTTAAGGAGTTTCTGACTACTTAAGACTTCTCAGTTGTTACTTGTGCTACGTGATCATGGCCACTTTGTGGGCCAAGCAGTTATGGAACAGTAAGCAGGAAACTAAGTTGAAAAGGGCCAGAAAGGCAAGAGCAAATCACTTGTGATACACTGGAGAAGACAGAAACAGATCTCTCCGATAGGATGTGAAGAGATAGCCTCGAGAGTAATTATCAGTGGCGGCCACACTTCTGAACTGTGCTGTTGATTAATTTAAGCTTCATTTCAAGGCCTACTTCAGTACATACTTGATAAAAACACTTCCTTGGAGAACTGTCCATTATGCACATTCGAGCTGCAGGCAGGCACACACACATCCAAGCACGTGAGGTGGCCGGACATCCAGGCTGACACCTCACCCCTGCCCATGCTGCACATGTGTGACAGGAGTGCCCTTTCCTTTTCGGTCTCTCTGTAAGTGTGTTGGAAGTTGCTGTTTATCACCACCTCTTCAAATGTGTGCTTCACAATACCATCCTTCCAATTTGTTCCTCCACCTCCCCTCTGTTAACTTTTGCCTTTGTTCAGTCTTAATTGAATCCCTCCACATACAAACTCTAAATCCAAGTTGCTCTGACTTTGTGTGAGCAAGGTCTTCTGCAGTCACTTGCCTCAGTGTAAGCCCCCCTGTGCTTCAGGCTGTCAGTGTCTCCAAGCGTAGGGACTTTACGATCCACAGTTGTTCCAGAAATAGATTCTCAAAGACCCCCTTAAGTCCAGCTTTGGATCTTGGATTTCTAGACCAATTATTTCTGAGTCTCTCCTCTTGCTCCTCTGCAGCCAGCCAACAGACACTTCATACATGGCTACAGCAGACTGCTCTGACAGGCACCTGTAGTACCAGAGCCTGAGGGACTTGCTATTATCAAGCCAACACTCACAAATCTGTTTTTCCCTGCTATCGTGACCTTTCTTCTTTGTGGTTACAGTGTCCGTAGCACCCTTGGAGCACGCTTCCTTGCTACCCACCCTGCAGCTGCTGGGGCTGGGGGCTGACTGGCAGATAAGGGGCAGGGAGTTATTCTGATCTTCACAGATACAAAACTCTGCTTTAGGCCTCAGAAAAAACTCTGGACCCGAACACGGTCAGATGATCTTCTCTGAGGAAGGCAGTTTAGTTGTGCAGGAGCATACCCCCTGCTAGGCTTCACATGCTCTATCTACAAGCACGGCCATGAACTGTCTGTATCCCGAGACACCTATGAACAAGTGGCTGACAGCTTTCACACCGTACTACTGTAGCAACAGCTTCCCCTGCCCCAGCCCAGGAGAAGACCCTTTTGTCTTCTGGTCACGAATACTTCCTTTCTCAGTTTCTCATTCCAGAACTCCTACCCACACCTACATGTACAGAACCTAGGGGCTCTGTGAAATGCATCTAGGTTCCTTCTACACAATAAGGAGCATCATAATCTTATTGCTGGCAGAAAGACATTAACTATGAAGTTCTATATAAATAAGGAAGTGTAAGACCTGTTCTCTGAAGGGAAAGACAGTATTCTGAATTGAATTATTATATTCGCTTATATGTTCTATTTTCTTGGAGCTCTGAACACACTTCTGGATGCTCTTAAGCTGGAGGCAAAGGAGCAAAAGCCACTAACAGGAAAACTGGGTTATTCTTAAATCCATCTTCTAAAACTTCAGGGACTCTAACTTTTCATTTCAAACACTAAAAAGCCATGTGAGTCCTGCTACAAGACTGCTCCCCAAGCTCATGAGTGCAAACCCAGATGCGAGCTTCCCCTCCAGTTTTGCTGTTGTGGGGGGCAAGCAGAGAGCTGCAGCTGGACAAGTACAGAGCAGTGCTGGGTACCCCAGCCTGACAGAGGTATCGCCCCTGCCACCTCAGTACAAACACCTTCATTACCCTCACGGAGCTCACGCCTGCCCCCCCAGACACAGCATGTCTCCCCTCAAATCTCTGCCCCGTGTATATCACTCGATGTCTCCAGGGTTTAGAGCACGCGTTCCTCTGATGAGAACTGCTTTTCCAGTTGCAGTGAAATGCCCAAAAGATACATGTAAAAGGACAACCGTGTGATGTTAGCTGGGTCTTAAAAAAGGTTCCCTTCTGCTTGACCTGAAGTATCATTTGGAGAAGAATCTCTTCTCTCTTGCTGAAGTCTCAGGCTGTAGTCACCTCAGTCCTGCACACCACCCTCCACCCCCCCCCCCAATACCACAATAAAGGACCCTCCTGTCATTTCCATCTCACCACAGCAATATTGCTCAAGGCTGAATGAGAAGGGTTCTCCTCTCGTGTGTCAACTCTCAGTCCATGACCACACGCTTGCTTCCTCCTCTATTAATAAGGAAGATCTTTTGGGCAGCTAGGAGAGTCAGAGACATTTGAGTCCCTATCGCTGATCATCCTCACACTATAAATTACTCTGTATACTCATCCCAGATTTATGTGCAAGGCGTCTTTTCCGTTTCATTTAAGCTAAAAAAAAAAAAAAAAAATCTTCTCCAATCATGGTTCTCGAGTGCCAACACTCTTCTTCACCCACTGAAAATCACTTTTTATTTGGACAGCACAGGACTCTCTTGACAAATCCCACCCCTTCTTTCTTTGCTGCAGAGATCTCTGGGTGTGGTTATCCCAGCTGAAAGCTTGTCAGACCGCACAGGTCTCTACCAAATCCTGCAGTACAAGGCCAGGGTGAAGTAATTTAAGTGCAGCCTCAACACTTCCCCTGGTTATCATCTTCCTGCTGACCTATCTCCTTCAAGTTTCACTCAAAACTACATCTAGCACTGCAGAGCATTCAAGCACCACATCTGACGGTTGCTTTTCCCCTTAAAACATTCCAAGATCCTTTACCAAGCAAACTGCACAGGTTTATTTATTCTTCTTGGACCCCACTAAAACTAAATATACATATTGGCAATCACTTAAAAGGGAAGAAAATTACTTGCCTGTTACTGGAAGTGCCTAGAGATGTGTAGTCTGTATACATATTTCCAAACTACCACATGCGCTTCTACTTTGAAGAAGAAGAAAGGCTTTTTCATTTTTCCTTTATGTTGAACAATGGAGGATGTACATAAGCACAGCCATCCGTGTGTGCCTTATTGTCCCTGTTCTCAAACATCTGCACATCCACAGTGTATATGGAACACACATACAGACAATATATTTCTAAGGCTATGTATACAGACAATATACTTGCAAGACTTTCCAGAATTACTGGGAACAACCTATCTTTTCACTAACGGAGAAAGAAAGTGGTTGAGCTGTTATGCCTCTGTCACCAATGGTAGTTAGAAAACATGAATACAAAAAAAAAAAAATTCTACGTAAGTGTGAATAAAACACTAATTATTTTTGTCTGTTAATTCAGGAGCAGTACTGTACTTGACATATATTTTCTCATGCTTAAGAGCAGCAGTGCCGATAAAGGAAGTGTTGCCATTCTGCAACACCTCTCCTCCTTCTCTACTGACACTCTTCTAAGTAATGGTGTTCCAATGTATGGAAAGGCTGGAAGAGGCACTGTGACATTCTCATCCTGGGATCAAGACTCTTTTTTTTTTTGGTATTGGGATGACCTTGAATATTTGCACCACCAGAAAAACGTCAGCAGAAAAGACCAAGTCTTTCTACTTTATATACAAGCAGCAGTGCTCAGAAGACATCAGCTCACTTCCATAGTAAGGTTGACAGTGGCTTAAATTAGATCAGATATTTACTAAGCTTTTTTATTTTCTGCTAAAGTGCACATTAAACACCTCCTAGACAACCTGCTCCAACAACGAAGGACTTTTGTTTTCATAACCTGCTAGTCTTTCTTCTGAGACAATAAACCTTGGGAATAAAACAGTTGTATTTAAAAAAAACAAGGACAGACTTTTTTTTCCATACCAAGTCTTACTTTGAGCCCCTCTTGTCCCTCAGTGCAGTGTGCTGCCGTTAGGACCCAAGATGGATGGATGAGAACACCCCCACACAGAAATCTCCCATTGCTATTCTGCAGCATAATCTGAAAGAAAAAAAGAGAGGTGTGACACTGTATGGAACATGGCTCATAAAATACTGTACACATTCTTCTTTGTGGTTGCAAAATACCCAGACACATCGATCACCACAGCGTGTTACATTCACGGAAGCCAAAGCTCTAGAGTGGGGCAAACGCAGCACGAATAAGGACTTTGTGGAACACCTACAAAAAAGTTTTGAATATTCTTCTGGAATGAGGGCTGGCTTCACCTGAATCAGCATGGGATGATGCTGGTCACTGCAAAGAAGCGCTCTGTTACTTCAAATCTTTGAAGTACCCCCTTCAAATGAGGGGATTATTCTTGTGTCCACAGCACACCAGAGACAGTGCATCATCTCAGGCTGCAACTCTCATGCTACGGTGTAAAAGGGCCTTCACTGTCAAAGAGAACCAGGCCCTGATTATATGCATTCACTAGTTACACGATACGCTCTGCGAGGTCTCCCCTTTCCCTGTGATGGACCAACCTGCTCCATAAAGCGATGGCATATTTTGCTGATTAAACCTGCTAACTTGTATTTATGACAGATGAGGTTTCTAAGAACAGATCCATGAAGAAAGGGGAGAAGATTACCTCACACTCCCACCAGAAGGCTGTTACAATAGCTGGAGCAGCACAAGCTGCACTGATTAAGTGGCCTTCCCCAGGATGGAGCAAGAGAGTAGGTAAGTGTCACCACTATCCTCTCTCTTGATGCTGTTGGCAAGGCAAGGTAAGAAACTTGGCAACAGTGACAAGGTCAAGAGTCCTAACAGATAATAAACTGTTCTATTTCCTGCTACTCCAACTTTTGTGTTGCTATTGAAAAAGCTAGCTAAGGGAATCTTAGCTTCATGTGACACCACACCGAGTAATGTATGAGCCTTTCTGGAGCATCTACACAGGCAGAGCTGCTCGGGGAGAGCCTGAACTATTTGTGGTGAAAAACTCTTTCCTCCTTACCTGCCAAGGGCTGACACCCCTTCTTCCTATTTTTCCCTCAATGAGCCGAATATTGAATCCTGCTTTGGCTTCAATGTACTCCATTTTCACTCTTCCGCAGGGGAACTCCACTGCAGGAGATGCAGAGAAGTTAACTAGCAAAGACCAGAACACTCAACACAAAATCTCTTTCTAAAGCTTTCCCTCCATCTCCCTGACCTATTCGTGGCTTCATGGAAGTCCCTCCGTGCTTTGCAGAGGAAGCAATTTCCTGTCTCCATGAGGCAAACACGAGTTAAAGGCCATACGGTGGGTATGGAGTTGGGAAAGGCAGACGCAGCGTTACCTCTGCATGGAATGGATGTTTTGAAAACCAGTACAAAGCACACTGCAGACAATTCTCCCATAAAACCCTCTTACTTCACGTTTGAATAATTCTCTGTCAAATCTGAATGATGAATATCCTCCTCTTACCTACAGGCTTGCACGTGGTGTGGTCATTCATCAGCTGATACCCAGACGCACAGCTGCAAGAGCGGCACTGGTTGGCAGGGTCATCCCTGCAGAAGTGTTCACATCCTCCATTTCTGACAGAACAGTTGGTGTATTTGACCTCTGCGGAAAAAATGATCAGCAAGAGAGACATGAGAAGTTGGAAATCCAAAGAGTCACGGGAAGGTGAAGTGGCAAAATGACATCGTGATTCAAGTGAGCAACAGCTGACAATGGATTTGGGATGAGAGCTGTGGGCTTTTATGGCACTCGGGCCCTGAGACAGCAAGCAGACCTTGGTCCAGAACAAGGCAGTGGGGAGATGGAGAAAACTGAGATTACTGCCAGGGCAGGTAAGCTGGAGAACAGAAAATTCACCGTTACTGGGTGCAAGTCAGACAGGGCACTGTTGATGACACAGGACATACATGCTCGTCCCTAAATATGCCATCCAGCTTTTGTCCAAGGAAGAAACTGTCACAGTAATGACAACCAAATATTTGGAATGGATTGGTTTTTCCCCTGTATTGCAAAAAACCTCACCAACATCCCTGTGCTGACAGTTCAAACGTAACTGAAAGCCCTGCATTACAGAATTATTTCCAGTATTTTTGTAAAATGTAGACATCTCAAATCTCCAAAACTCTCCCATGGCAAGAGAAAGTTCGTTTTGCTTTAGATAAGCACAGATAATCCTTTTACCACATCATGAAGTAAAAGAGAAATTACATTAGTAAAGGAAGTGAGTAAACTGCACAATGACAAAAGTATCGATCCCTGTTACACAAAGATCCCTGTCACAAAGAATGTTATTTCATAGTGGAGTAAAGGCAGCATTACCGTAACTGCACAAAGTCCCCTCCCAGCCTTTGTAACAGATGCAGGAAAATTCTCCAATATTGTCCTTGCAGATCCCATTGGAACAAGGCTTTGGCTCACACTGATCTCCATCTGAAACAGAAAACTCAGTCCCTGAAACATACAGAGCTCACACATCAAACATTAACATGAACAGACCCTCCCCAGGTCCCCAAGCATCATCCGTGGTTTCTGCTACCGGATGGGGACACCTCTGTGGTGCTGGCCCACAGACAAGAGGGTTTGTTTGGGTTCCGAATTACAGCCGCAGAGTGAGCGGAGTGGGCAGAAGGGGAAGAAAGAGCAAAACCTGAGGCAGATGGGGCAGAGGCAGGTTACTGTGAAGAGTAGGTGTGGGGCCAGAGAGCACTTTTGACTAGTGCCTTCGCTCTGGGGAGGTGACTGATGATAGGCACAGATGCACTTCAGGTTTTTTAGGAAGGTTGCTTGTACAATAGAACAGGAAAACATTCTTTGCACACCCCATAGAAGAGGGAACGAGAATTTGAATCAGTAGGTGATATGTGGCAGCACGAAGGCTGAATACCAGTCACTCTTGAGGAAACACAGAGAAGTGATTAGGAAAGCCTTTCACTTACCTACATACTTGGTCCAAAAATTTAGCTGTGGAGAAACAAAACTTATATTAAGGCTAGAAGCAGATTTTTAACAAGCAAGGGATATAAAGTGTACAATGGTCATGGCCAACAGAGCACAGCATCCCGGTCAACAGCATTGGTCTAATTATTCATGACAGTGTCGTGACTGGCACTACAAACCAACAAAACCCAACCTGGACACCTGTGTATTGCCCATACCCAGCACACACCCCCCGCCCTGCTTGCAGACCCAGCAGCGCCACAGCCCCGCAACGTCCCCACAACAGCTTCTCTGTTTTCTTGTCACTTACCACCAGGTAAGTCACCTGTGTTGTTGCGTGCACAATTAGTTTGTGCCCAGCTAGACAAAACGTGGGCACTGGGAAGACAGACCCCACTCCACTCTGGGGTCTGAGGGACAGCAAGGACTGGTTCATCCTCTGTGGTGAGCCTACTCTGCTTAACAGAGCAATAAAACATCCAAGCCAACATGACTGGGAGTGGGAAGGGGCAGAAATCAGCGATGTTGACAATAAAGGTAGCATCCAATTGAAAATATAAGGTTTGGAAAAGGAAGGAGAACCTAGTGATAAGAAAAATGTTTGTCAGGCACAGGTGGGAGACTGGGGAGACACAGTGAAAGGCAGCCAGGGCTGGCGAATGGACAACAGAGGGCAAAGGACTGTGAAAAACTCCATGGCAGCAAGAATAGCCAACGGGGTCAAGCAGGGATTGGGATTACCTGGCGAGGACTGAAACCTCACAGTTAGGTCAGGTGGGACAGGCATGAGCAGCCAAGTTTTGTGGCCTGTTACAGGTGGTAACTTGACAACCACAGTAACACAATTACATTCAAAACTATGCCTACAACTCAGGAGTCAGGAGTGAGGCACGTTCAGTGCTGCCAGCAAGATCTCCTATGCCCAGCATTGCAATATTTTAAGAAAACAGTTAGTGAAGTCCCATATTCATCCTTAAAAAAACAACTTACTGTTGCTTCCTTGGTTTCAAATATCTCACTGGCCTCCTCAAAGTCACACCGCTCTTCAACGCACTCACGTTCCATAGAGCCTGGTTTGAGCTCCTCCAGAAAAGAGTTCGACCGCTTCTGGATTCTCAGAACTTGGTTTGCATCTTTATTGCTGTAAAATACTGGAAGCAAAAATGTGAAAGCACGAGCAGGGAAAAGACCTGGCTGAAAACTGGTACTGGTCCTTCCCAAAGGACACTTATCAGAGCAATATCCCCCCTCTAGCACAGCAAGAGAGCCTGCCCTAGAAACCACGGGCTGTCAGTGCTGTGCTGCGGAAGCAGCTCCGGCCTCTGCTCGGTGGTACCCAGACAGCTCGTAGGGCTCACGAGGGCTGCGACCAGGCAGCCAGCGTGGGCCAGCACTGTCTGTCAACCTCTGTTAGAGGAATTCAAACCCCCCTGATGGGAATGTTTCCAGCCACTCCCCGTGACCGACAGAGTCGTCACTGGCAGTGACTGGAAAAGGGGGAAGGGGACATCTAAAATGAAAACATACTTGAGGTACCACAGACTCGTGAAGAGCAGGCAGCCAGCAGCACCCCTATGGTGACGAGCTTCCACATCCTGCAGCAGGAGTCACCTGCAGAAGAGAAGGCAGGTGAGAAGGGGAGCGCGCTGCCGGGCTGCGGCACGACCCCCACGCCGCAGACAGTTTCTGTTCAGACAGATCAGCTAGCTGCTTCGTTTGCTTTTCTCCGAGCAGCTCCCTCACCGAATCCTGCGTTGTGCTCTGACTTTCTCCGATTCCAGCCCCAAAGCGGCCGTTTGCTAGAGGACCTCCAGTCTGGTTCCCTCTAACCCACCAGCAGGTCTCCCAGAACACTTCTGCCCCACCATCCTCCCCTTGTCACCAGGCATTTTTGACAAGCTTTATGTTTCATTAAAGCAAGCTGTACTTTGAAATCCCGAAGGATACGATACTTTTGAAGCACTTACTGCTTTATTCAGTGTGAATCAGCGTGATCTATTCTTCCGCCATGAGCTCTGCTGGAACTTAGTTAATCCATAACTTCAGATATTTACTCTTCAGAGTGACATGAAGTGCCTTCTTTTTAGTCATTAAACAAACAGTGCTCAGGGGGAGCTTGACAATTTACCTGCATGCAGGAGAAAAGTGAAACAGCTGAGGCATCCACTCTGCCTTTTTAAAATCTGTTGGTTTTGGCTTTTTTGGCAAGTAGAAATGGTTATATTTAGTTTGAAAGTGTAACCACCCAGTGCTGAGATCTCCTGAGAGATCCTCCCACCTTCTCACAGCACGCAATCACCCAAAAGAGACACATTGCTATTTTTAAGAGTCCTCCCACTTTACTTTCTCATCAAAGGCTCCACCACAAAACAGCCAAGGCAACCAACCCCCTTACAGCCAGGAGCAGCCCCCGCCTGCCCCACCAGCTGCCCGCTGTGAGGAGGCAGGGCAAGAAGCTTGTACCAGCATGCTGCATTTTTCTGGTGTACTGGATTAGCTACCATCAGCACAAAATCTTCTATTGAATTGTGAATAAAAAAAACATTTTACAGAAAACCCACACTCATTTTCAGAAGTTTTCTTGCACTGGAGATGGCATGAACCACTGCGTCCCCCTTCTCTGAAAGCCGTTTGTGCGGCAGCACCTCTGCGAGCCGTCCAGCACGTCACATCTCCGCGTGAATTACCTCTGCAACTGTGTGTCCTTCAGAGGAAGTGCCACCGCGTGCCAGGAAAAGGTGGGCCTCCCCGGGATCTCAGCTCATGCCCACTGAGACTTTTTAGGAGAGCTCTGACTCCTTACAAAACTTGGTTTTCTTTTTCCCTTACAAACTTGGTCATGGACTTGCTTGAAAACAAGCTCCCTTTAAACAGAGGTTTCAAAGTTCATCCATTTGGGAGTTGTGCTAAAACCAAAACAGATTGTGGCATCCAAAATCACGGCTGGGAAGATGTGTGCACTGCAAAGCTCTATTGATACATTCTTTATCCTTAATTCAGCCATTCAACAAGAAAATTTCAGCTGAGACTAATGATAACAGATTACTGCTGAAAATAAATTTTATGAAACACATCTGAAGACAGGAAACATGAAATAGGAAATCTAAAAAGAAACAAGTGTAGTACCATATATTCCATTTATTACTCACAATATTTGTAGCTGACCTGTCTATCTAGAAATAGTGCCTTGCTACCACATAGGTTACATGTTTTTGAATACACTTGTTCCTAAGACCTGGTATAAGTTGGAAATTTAGGACACGCACGTCAACTGCCAACCTAAAACATTTATACCAATGTGTCAGCCTCCTAAAAAAAATTTTTTTTTTTTTAAACATACATTGATACACAGAAAGAATTAATTTAGCTCTCCATCAGCCCTTGTGTTTTGGGGGCTTTATATTCCTGCTTTCACATTTCTCTTGCTACTGCAGTGCAGAAATACATATTTTAAAAGCCAACACTTGGGCTCTCAGGTAATCATACGACTCCAGGTGCAGGGGATCGAAGAAAAGATGCTTCAGGATACTTCAAGATCTCCCAGCTTTGCATACCAGGGAACCGTTTCAATCGAAACAATTACAGTGTTGGGCTCACTACTTTCTAGTTCACCTTCATTAAAAGAATAGTGAT